TATGATACCCCTTTTCATGGACGTGACATAGAATGTGTTTGCGCCAATTGTATCAGTTATTTTTTTGACCAGTTCAGCACAATTTGCCTGTCGAACATAAATAGGTGGTTCTTATATCAAGCCGCAAGAAAGTCGAAGCAGCGACCGTCCGTGTCGGCTCAGTCGACATAATATCCTCAAGAGAAATCCGATATCTCGGAGTAATGCTGACCACGAGGGGACCAGCGCCAATCTGGGCAGAGGCGGCGGGGACAACGTCCTACAGGAGAGGGTTAGACGCAACTCGCCGACTAGCAGCTCTACGAGTCTGCTGCGGTTTCCGAACCATTTCGGATGACGCGGCCTTGGTCATAGCAGGAATGCTCCCAGGGGCGGACCTTGACGCGGAAGCAAATTAAATCTCCTCAGAACTCGACGCAGCACCGCAGAATCGATCACCGGCACTAATAAAACAAATAAAGGCGGCAGCGAGCGAAAGGAGCTTAAACAGATGGCAGGAACGATGGGTCATCTCAGCAAAGGGCAGAGGTCGAAGAAACCGCTGAGCACATTCTTTTCAACTGCTCAAGGTTTGCAGAACAGCGAAGCGGCATTGGCGGCGACACGCTGATCGCCGAGAATCTGATCAACAGGATGGTTTCGAGTGAACAGTACTGGTCAATGGTATGCGGATTTGCGCCAGAGGCTATGCGGAAGTGGAGAGAGCTGGAGCGGAGTCCCAACGGCATAGAAGGAACGGTCTAAGGGGTAACCTTAGCCACCTTGTACCCTGCGAAGCTAAGCTTCGCGGCATACCCGCAAGAACTCGGGCTTTATTTAAATTATCTTCCACCTATTGTTTTCTCTTGTTACTCTATACACTTCTTTGCCTTTGCTCCTTTCATGAAATTGAGCCGGCTACAAATGCGTTTTATTGTTCCTTGTTCCTTGTTCCTTGTTCAATGTCTTTAATACCTATCTACCTTTAATTTCACCTTCGCGTCATGTTAGTGGCCCTATTTGGTTCACCCCGCGTTTGATAAACCTTCGGAATATTAAAACTCGCTTGTATAAAAGGTTCAAAAGAACTGGTTCGCAATCTGACTTCTCTAAGAATTCAATCGCTAAGAGTAAATTTCTTTTATTTATAAAACATGTTATAATGACTGTCCAAATGTAGACTTAACTTTAAGCGTGTTCCGAAGCAATTTTTTAGGTTTGTGAACTCGAAACGTAACTCTTCGCAATTTCCGTCATCTTTTTCTTTTAACGGCAGCCAGGCTGATAATGATTGTGATATTGCTAATCTTTTCGCTTCATTTTTTCAACTCTGCTACTCGGTTCCCTCTAATAAGCATCCCTCTCTTCTCGCTTCTTCTGACATACTTCGTCGCAATCAATATTATCCTTTCCACATGAATAGTTCTAACTGTATCTATCCCCCCTTCATGGACTATAATGACCTCTTAATTAATTTAAAGTCATGTACATTTTCTTTTTCTACCGGCCCCGATATTAGGTACCTAGTGCTGTTATTAAACTGTTTAACCTATCTCTCGAGCTCGGCGATTTTCCCACCGTCTGCAAAGAGTCATATATTATTCCCATTCATAAAAAGGGGTTTAAAACGTCGGTCTATTTCGTCTAACCTCCTGGAATTCTCCACTTTCGTGCATGAGGGTTTCGCTAAGCAGTCTCAAACTGCCGTAGTCTATACTGACTTTAGAAAAGCCTTTGATTCAGTAAATCATAATCTGCTTATTCATAAATTATCTCTCCTAGGGTTTCCGCCTAAACTTCTTTTCTGGTTTAATGCATACCTTTGTAATCTATCTCAGCGTGTCTGTTTTAATAACTCCCTTTCTAAGCCTGTTTCTGCATCGTCGGGGGTACCTCAAGGTAGCCATCTTGGCCCTCTGTTGTTTAATTCGTCATCAATGATCTTCCCCAAGTCTTAACCCATTCCCGAGTACTTATGTAGGCGGACGATGTGAAGTTATGTTTCTCCTATAGCGACCCCATGTCTCCGTTATGTCTCCAATCTGATCTTGACGCCCTCAACAACTGGTGCTTAATAAACATTCTTCCCCTTAACATTTCCAAATGAAACGTCATGACATTCCATCGCAGCAAGCCATACCTCTTTGACCACAATATCCATAACTGTTCCTTAAACCGCCGTTACAAAATTACTGACTTGGGAATTATGTTTGTACCTAATCTGTGTTATAACTCACACATATCCGCTATTTCGAATAAAGCCAGAGCCCAGGACGGGCTTTATCAAAAGATGGTCTAAGGAGTTCACCGACACTTATACCACTAAACTTTTATATGTATCCCTTGTCCGGCCTATGCTTGAATACGGTTCCTGCGTTTGGTCTCCGCATTATCAAAAATATCAGGATATGATTGAGTCCGTTCAAAAACAGTTTATCCTTTTTGCACTTCGTGGCCTTAATTGGGACCCCTCTAGACATCTTCCTTCTTATGAGAGCAGGCTCCGGCTCCTCGATATCCGCTCTCTTGAAAGCCGTAGCACTTGCCATGGAGTGCTTTTTCTTCACAAACTTCTTGCTGGTGAGGTTGATTCCACTGCCCTCAGTAGCCTTATTAGCATTTCTGTCCCTTCCTGCCCGACTAGGCACTGCTTTCCGCTTCATCTTCAGCTCTGTCTTTCTAATTACTCTGACCATGAACCTTTCCGTAGCCTTTGCCGTAACTACAATACCTTCTTCCATCTTTTTTCCTTCGACACTATGTTAACAAATAACTTAATTTAATTAATCTTAACTTAATAGGCTATAGGCTATTTCCTGACCACAACTTGCTGTGAGCTGGACCATAGCGGCTATTTGGCCAATAAATTAGTCCTGTTGGGTCAGGATAATATCCATATTACGTTATAATTTGTTAGTTTAACTGCTCATAGTTGAACCTTATAAAATAAATACAAATAAAAATACAAATAAATTGATTAAAAAAAAAAGTCAATGTATTTATAAATTTGTGAGCTAATGATTTATGTAGAATATTAAAATATTTTCCATTTTTTTGCTACATCTGTCATCTACAACTACAATATACATATGTTATACATCAACTGAAAATTAATTTCTTCATTCTGGCTATAATACTGATTCGATCTGTACCAGATTCGGCGATCTGACTATTACGTTACAGAACAAACACAGAAATTAATATATTGCTGATTGAATGTTTTATTTCAAAAGTAGGCTGAAAATGCAGAAAATATTTAAAGTAAGTATTTTGCTTAGTTAATGCATAATATTTTTCATAAGGAAACTTTTAATAGCACTGCTCGACAAAATTTAACTTTTTCTTCCCGCTGTGGACCAAAACGACTTTTTTTTGCAGTTCTGAAAAGCTGACAAGTGCAGCTATAAATCCGACACAGACACTTTGTAGCTGCAGCTTAACGCCGATAAGATATTAAGCTTTCAAATTCAAATTTGATCATTTTTTGCGGTATCTTTTTGGAGAGGGGGGAAAAAGAAAAAGAGGGGGGGGGGGGGGGGGGGGGGGGGGGGGGGGGGGGGGGGGGGGGGGGGCCGCCGGGACCCCAAAATGTAGAAATTTTTTCTTTTAAAAAATTCTAGGAAAAAGGGCCGAGTAGGAAAAGTCGAAGAAAATGCCATTGGAGTGTAGCAGTGTGATATATGTACATATGTATGATTCGTTGCTCTAGCTCTTATAGTCTCTGAGATCTAGGCGACAAACAAGATGGACGGACGGACGGACAGACGAACGGACAGGCAGACATGCCTATATTAACTCGGTTATTGAGGCGGATCAAGAATTTATATACTTTAGAAAACGGTCGGAAACGTTTCCTCCTCTGCGTTACTTTACACACATCCACTTTTACCACAAATATAATATACATACATATGTACCCCTTAACTCGTTTTAAGTACGGGTATAATGATTGTTTTTAATCCAAAAGGTCTCGGACTTATTGATCCGCCCTCGTATCAATTCCCTTGGTTTTTGTAGTTTTTTATACTTAGCGTCTATTTTTTTAATTTAATATGCCAGGACGTGGAAATTCGGAAAAGCTAATGAATGCAGCTATCAAACGGCTCTCCCAATTTTGTCCGGCTGGTACTCAGACTGAGTGTGTGACTAACACTCCTTTCGGATTGTATTGTACATACATACATATGTACATATGTAGCACCATCGAAGAAAAAACTGGGGCTAGAGTGTACACACATACATGCATGCATACACATGTATGTTTATGTATATGTATATGTAGGTCGCAGCAGCCCGTGCCAAAGCGAAGGGCGAAACAGTGGCAGGTGATGGTGATTGCACGCCGGCGATGCCCGCCGGTTACTCACGTGGCCCAGATGCGTGACTGACCCACAAAAATACTCTCACTTGCAATCATACAGGCAAGCGCCCGAGCCCCCGCAGAACGTACAACATTCTAACACAAAGTATTTTCAACGTGCCTTCGAAGCAGCGCCCATCCAAATTCTCACCCTGCGGACCAACCACACACCCCCAGTGCCTAATCGAAGCCAAATGCGTCGGCTTCTTTTCCCCACTGATTGCGCTGCTGCTTCTTAACCCCCTGGCAGTGCCCGAGGGTTACACAGCCACATGCTGTAGAAAAGAGGTGTATGCCAGCTGATTACGGAACGACAACTATTCAGTTTTGTGGCGGAGGGGGAGATGTTTATACCACATCTAAGAAAACGTCCGCGCCAAAGCTGCCAAATTAAATTTACAGTAGGTTAATAATATTGCACCAGTTGACCAGGGCAATGCTCTTCTTAAAGCACAAAGCTAACTGGACGCTGCCTAAGGGTTAAGGCGAAACCAAAACGTTGTATGTACACAAATACACATACGTGCTGTATATCGAAGCGATGAATGAATGCCGAACGATAAAAGCCGAAGCTGGCAATGCAGAGCAGAGCGAGGCGAGCAAATTTCAGCAAAGCTGCGTACGCTGGCGCCGCAGCGCTCGTTTGCAACTCGGGTATCATTCAGTACTCGTTTGTGTTTCCAACAAGTAGGTCGAGAAAAATTGAAAAACGTCTACAGCAAGAGCAAACCAACCAACTAAACACGCTAAACAACGCGCAAGCAACCTAGATATGCATTTATTTTGCACATCTATACTCTTTTTTTATTGGTGTCTTTATCAGTTCTGAAGCTGAAGCAGTTCAAAGTGAAGTAAATATACGTACATACATAGTATGGTGTATGTATGGTGTATGGTGTATGCATATGTAAATTCATACCGATCAGCTCTCTGAAGCGGATGGAAAATAACTATGATACAGGGAGCACCAAAGCGAGAGACGGAGATGTCACGTTGTTGTAAAAAAAAACCAAACACTTGGCTGGAAAAATAAAAGCAAAAGCGACTACTTACATAAACTAAAGTCGTTGTTTTTCCACTCGTAACATGTAATGTGTGTATTATTAAAAGCGATAGGCGGTAGCGAATGGCTGGGGCTGGAGTGGCTGAGAGCGCCGAATGGGAGCTGGGACAACGGCTGTCCGTACCGGCTCTCGAGTGGCACGTTGCAAAAACGACATAAAAACATAATTATATAATGCATACTTATGCACCTACCCACAATACACATGCACCTACATACTCGTAAAGAGGAACTTATATTCTTATCTTAAATCTACGAGTGTGTATCTTCGTTTTTCGGCAGTCCTCGCCGAATAAAACCAGTACGGTACGCCACAATTCGCATTGCTCATACGTCAGTCACATGAACGAAAGAATGAATGGTGAATAAATGGAAATCTAGGATCGATGCCCGAAGTGCCTCTCTCTATTCGAGAATACCTTTCCCGAACCAATCACAGCGGCTCATTAAGCCCATTACAACGGGCATTATTATATTCCTATAACTTTTTCTTTACGCTTCGAGCCAACCCGACTTTTTCTGATTTGGTAGATTTGGGGCTTTAATTTGTATACCCGTACTTAAAACGAGTTAAGGGGTATATTAGAGTTTTGGTAAAAGTGGATGTGTGTAACGCAGAGGAGGAAACGTTTCCGACCCCATAAACTATATATATTCTTGATCCGCATCAATAGCCGAGTCGATAGAGCCATGTCTGTCTGTCCGTCCGTCCGTCCTGATGAGCGCCTAGTTCTCAGAGACAAATTTTGTATCCAGACTTAAAATTTCGTCACGCCCCTTCCGCCCCCACAAAGGACGATAAAAATGTGGCAGCCACAATTTTAAAGATTCGATCATATTAAAACCGCAGTATCGTAGAGAATGACCATATCTACCAGATAGCCGAATCTCAATCAGATCACATCATTATTATAGCCAGAGTAAAGAAATTAATTTCCAGTGGCTACCCCCACCACCACCAGCCCGAGACCTCGCTACTCATTCTCTCTCTCGCTCGCACACGCTCAGATATGGAATCGACATTATAGATGTAGATGTAGATAACAGATTAGCAACAACAATCTAATATGTAACATATTTTAAATTCTACATAAATCAAGCTCACAAATTTATATTCTGACTGAGTACAGAAGCGACTCACTCGTTCCTTCTCATTTGTTTAAGAATTGTTGTTTTCTTTTATTGCAGAACTTTGCTTTAAAGAATTAAAAAAAAAAGTTTTAATTATTTTTGTTGCTTAAGTATCTTACATCTGGTTGTAATCATCTTTGCCATTCCGAAAGGCTGATTAATGCAGCTATAAATTAGACCTGAACTTTTTGTACCTTCTGAGTAATATTAAATTTTAAAATGAAAAAAGTATGTCCTGCGTCTTTATATTTTTTGTGTATATGTGCATTTATTGGAAGTCGTTTAAGCTATTGTTTATTAAAATCTATGGAAAGCTTAAATTGTTTGACCAACCCTCCGAAAATCAAATTTTACCGTTTGGAACGTTGTTGCTCCAACATTTTGGGCCCTTTCATAATTTTTACTCTGCATCTGCACCGCGGATATCCACAACAAATAATAAATTTACAAACAAAATTGTATCACCTTTCACAGAATTGTTGATAAGTGATGGAATGGATATACCTGCAGATACAACGACTCAAAGTTGAAGTTTTTTACCATTTATAATGTTTCTTCAACTTTGGAATTTTCTTTTTTCGAATAGTATTTTATTGTTTTATTTTCAGACATTAACATTTTACCGGCATCTATTCTTAAAAAAAATAAGCTAATAATAAATAAAATTATGATTTATTTATTTATTATTATTTACTTCTTTATTATTCGGGGGGTTGGTCAACCAATTTTAGATCCGCTGTCTCTCCATAGATTTTAATGAGCAATACCTTAAACGACGCTGAATATATATATATTTTGTTCGACTTTTCCAGAGTTTTTAGAGACAAACATTTTGCACTTGAAAGCTTAATATTACTCAGACCGTAAGCTGAACCCACAATGTGTGGCTTGCGTTTAGAATAGTAAAAAAATAAGCGTTAACTCTGAGAAAAGCATTAAAAATATACAATATTTTTATATTTATATTAAATATACACACATGTGTTTTAAATTTATATTTAACAAAGATATAGATATTCACATACATACATATGTGTGTATGAACACATCAAAGTTAATTATACATATTCAATTAAACTATGTTTGTATATAAAAACCGCATGCTTCAATGGGTGTGTGTCTTTTTAGTATGCCATTTTTCTCTGAGTGTACCTACATATACACGCATTTAATGTACATTTAATGTACCCCTGCACTCTTTAAAAGAAAGGTCCGAGGGACCCATCTTTGCTTGCACCAGACGAGAAAATTACGAACATGTTGCAAGATGCACTTCAAAAATTTTCGATTTTTAATTTTCGTCCTGCAACGAAGGACATCCACGATTGAGTTCGCGATACCAGTTTTTGCATTGGCAATGCATGGTGCTTCATCAATAAAAGTTGAACTAAGCTCATCTAACGCATTCTTGACATTTTATTTATTTATTTATTTATTTATTCGCCAACGGATAAACCTTATCTGGCTAAACTAACCTATTTCTATATTAAAACTTATTTTCATGTGTAAATTAAAATTTTTGGCTGAGATGAATTTTCGATTTATCTTTAATCGATATCAAACGTGGCCGTACAAGAAAATGTTATATGGAGGTTTGGGTTTGTCCCAGAAAATACTTAACTTTTTAATGCAATTAAAATCAGGCTAGAAGTGCCCTAGGACAGAAACTTAAATATCACCCCTCGCATGTTCCCTGTTCAATTTATTCATGCTGAATCTTGTTTCGTGGGTTTCGGGTGTTTTGAACTTCGGCTAAACAATGAGTGTTTTTGAGGGATTATATATGAGTAAGAACTTTAGCTCATGCGTAAATTAAGAAAAATTTAAATCAAATTTTGTCATTTGATTGAATTTAAAAATAACCTCTCAATCTCAATCATTCAGTTCGTTTCTCTTCGGTGAAACGTTGTGCGACCGAGTCTAGCGTGAACGCGAACTTGACTCAAACTTGTATCAAGCTTTGGGACATACGTATGTCACTAATTGTTTGCAAAATAGACTAGTCAGACAATTTCCACTTTAAGATTATAAATATAAATACTGGCATTTTTTGGAAAAATTTTGTTAATTAACTATCACATACATGTATTGGCTATAGATGACAAAAAAAGTATGAATAATTTGGCTGGGATTGTAATTTGTAAAGATCAGAAATAAAAGACAATACAATAATGCAATTTCAATTATGAAGCTAATCCTGACCCCTTTTGTCTTTTGTCTTCCCAAAAATTGCAAAATTCGCTCAGAGAGTTGAATTAAGAAATCGTTGAATAATCTAGTCCGACAGCTACACAGCACAGGCACAATGGAAGGCGAGTCAACAGAGTCCACGCACAACACTAAGGTGTCCGATTCGGCCTATTCCAACAGCTGCAGCAACAGCCAGTCGCAGCGCAGGTGAGTGGCGGACCCCCTGCTTCGTCTTCCCCGCCAAAATCTAATCAATATGCATATGCATCACACCCACAGTGGCAGTTCACAGTCCAGACTGAGCGGCAGCCACTCGTCGGGCAGCAGTGGCTATGGGGGCAAGCCCTCCACGCAGGCCAGCAGCGGCGACACGGTCATAAAACGCAACAAAGAGAAGTCGCGAAAGAAGAAGAAGGCCAAATGCGCACAGACTCAAGCGAGCCTCACCTTAACACTGGAGGGCGCCGAGGAGCTGCCGCTGCCCCACTCCAGCAGCACCACCTGCGACCAGCAGATCCTGCAGGTGCTGGCCGGCACACAGCAGCTGGGCGACCAGCCGGCGTCGTTGGACCACAAGATTGGTGATCAGCTGGATTCTAGGCACAATTTCGGGGTCAACAAGTCGGAGCAATCGCAGTCCTTTTCGCTACCCTGTCCGCTCTCAGTGTCCACCCTGATTCCAGGCATCGGCGTTTGCCATGGCAGCAGCGCAGCAGGCGGCAAGTGGGAGAAGACCTTCGAGTCGTGCAAGCTGGAGACGGGTGCCGCCAAAACGGAGCGCGTGAAGGAGGACAGCTTCTGCTGTGTAATCTCCATGCACGACGGCATCGTGCTCTACACCACGCCCAGTATCACAGACGTACTTGGCTTTCCGCGGGATATGTGGCTGGGCCGCTCCTTCATCGACTTTGTGCACATCAAGGACCGGGCCACGTTCGCCAGCCAGATCACCACGGGCATTCCCATTGCAGAGTCGCGCGGCAGCATGCCCAAGGACGCCAGGGGCACTTTCTGCGTGATGCTGCGCCAGTATCGGGGCCTGCAGACCAGCGGCTACGGAGTGATCGGCCGGTCCGTCAACTACGCGCCTTTCCGCCTGGGGATGTCGTTCCGCGAGGCGCCCGAAGAGGAGCGTTCCGATAACTACATGGTTTCAAATGGCAGCAACATGCTGCTCGTCATTTGTGCTACCCCCATCAAGAGCAGCTACAGAGGTGAGCTCTCAGCCTCTCCTCCCAGCAGCTTCTCTCTCACGGGCCTTTTTGTTCTTCTTGTTTTTGCTTTTGGTTTTGTTTTTGTTTTTGTTCACCACAGTTCCCGAGGAGATCCATTCGCAGAGGAGCCCCAAATTCGCGATCCGACATACAGCCACCGGCATCATCTCGCACGTGGACAGCGCGGCGGTGAGTGCTTTGGGCTACCTGCCGCAGGACCTCATGGGGCGATCCGTCATGGACTTCTACCACCACGACGACCTCCCCGCCATCAAAGAGATATACGAGTTCGTTATGAAGAAAGGCCAAACGGCCGGCGCCTCCTTCTGCAGCAAGCCCTATCGCTTCCTCATTCAAAACGGCTGCTACATCCTTCTAGAGACGGAGTGGAGCAGTTTCGTAAACCCTTGGTCCCGCAAGCTCGAGTTTGTCGTCGGCCATCATCGCGTGTTTCAGGGTGAGTTTCTCTAAATGTGCATACATACATCTATATACATCTATATACATCTATGTACATATATACATGATAAGTTAACACTCGTAAGAAGATCGTGGGATGGGGGCTCTTTCTGTGTAAACGGGAAATAGAATCAATTAAAGGTTCTGTCCGGCTTGCTCACTTCCCTTGCTTCCCTTCGTTTTTCGTTTTTCGTTGTGTCGCCAGTGCGCAGTGGAAAGATAGAATATGCACTCGTATGTCTATGCATTGGTATTGATTCTTTTACTGGTAATAATGGATCGGTAATATTTTTTAATCTTGTCTGAGTACTGCGACATTTCTGGAATCTTATCGTTCCCATACGAATCTCATCCCTGTGTGAGCTGTGTGAGCTGTTTGAGCTGTTTAAACTGTTGAGCGATAATTATCGCTAATCATTATTATTATTATTATTTGTTGGTATTTTCATGTGGACAGGTCCGAAGGTATGCAACGTTTTTGAGACTCCGCCCAACGCCAAACCGAATATCCCGGAGGACCAGCAGAACAGAAACACGAGCATTAAGGAGGAAATTGTGAGTTTGCTGGCCGAGAAAGTATCTCGTCCCTCGGACACGGTCAAGCAGGAGGTGTCGCGCCGGTGCCAGGCCCTGGCCAGCTTCATGGAGACACTTATGGACGAGGTGTCGCGGGCGGACCTCAAGCTGGAACTGCCGCACGAGAACGAGCTGACTGTGTCAGAGCGAGACAGCGTCATGCTGGGCGAGATCTCGCCTCACCACGACTACTATGACAGTAAGAGTTCCATTGAGACGCCACCCAGCTACAACCAACTAAACTATAACGAGAACCTGCTGCGTTTTTTTAACAGCAAGCCTGTCACTGCGCCCGTGGAGCTCGACCCGCCAAAAGCGCAGTCCTCGGATGTGAGCAGCATCCGCGAGGATGCCCGCAGCACGCTTAGCCCCGTGCACGGCTTTGGGGGCAGTGGCGCCAGTGGCTCCTCGGGCAACTTCACCAGCGGCAGCAATATTCGTATGAGTAGTGTGACCAACACGAGCAATGCCGGGACGGGCACTGGCACGATTACGGGAACCAGCACCACAATAGGCAACTCTGGCATCGGCACTGTCACATGCGCCGCCGGCAACATTGGCGCCAGCACCTCTGCCGCCGACAACTTTGGCGCCGACACCTCTGCCGCTGACACCTCGGGCGCCTACAACTCTGGCGCCGACACCTCTGCTGCTGAGAACTTCTGTCCCGAAAACTTTGGCGCAGAAAATTCTTGCGCCGAAAACTCATGCGCCGACAACTCTGGACCGGACAATTCGGGGGCTGACAACTCTGGACCCGACAACTCGGCCGCTGACCACTGTGGCGCCGATAACTCTGGCTCTGGGTCCGGGTCGGGCACCTCCGGCGGCGAAGGGCCCTCCAGTGGTGGGCAGGACACCAGACCCACCGCTGCCGTTCCCGATTCCCCGCCCGTCTCACTCACCGAGTCGCTTCTGAACAAGCACAACGACGATATGGAGAAGTTCATGCTGAAGAAGCACCGAGAGTCCCGCGGGGACCGCCGCACCCTCGAAAAAAACAAGAACAAGACGGCCAACACAATCGACTCCATGAAGATACTCGAGTACAGCAGCCCTGGCCCTGGCCCCGGCCCCGGCCCCGGCCCCGGCCCTGGACACGGCACCAAGCGCTGCGGGTCCTACTCGTGGGAGGGCGAGGGCAACAAGCACAAGCAGCAGCCGCCCACCCTCAACAGTTTGGGCGTGGGTACGGGTGGGTCCGAGGCCCCCACGCCCACCGGTTCGGTCTCGAAGTGTCCACTGGGCAGCAGCTCTGTCGGCGGGGGTGGGGGTGCAGATGGAGGCAGTGGAAGTGTCAGCGGCAATCCGTACTCCTCGAGTGGGATATCCTGCACCCAGAATATCAATCTGTGGCCCCCCTTCTCAGTGGGCATCACCCCACCCGTCCACACCACTCACACGGCCATCGCCCAGAGCAGCTTCTCGACACAGCACAGCCTCTTCCCCACCTTCTACTATATACCGGCCACCCCGCTGGCCCCCTCCACGCCCGCAGCGGCAGCGGGAGCGGTTAGCCCCACGCCACGAACCAATAAGAGCAAGCACACGCATCAGCATGCGCCGAAGGTCCCAGATCCTCCAAGCCCCTCTCAGCAGGCGGCGGCAGGAGCAGCTACAATGCCTCTCCAATACGTGGCCGGCGTGATGTACCCGCACCCGTCGCTCTTCTACACGCACCCGGCGGCGGCTGCCGCCACGGCCATGATGTACCAGCCAATGCCCTTTCCCGGAATAGCCAACGCGATGCAGCTGCCGGAGCAGCCTAGCACTGCGCAGTCCAGCTACAGCAAGACCGTCTTCTCGGTAAGTGCACTCCCCCCTGGAAGGTCTCCCCACTGACTATAATTATCATCGTAATAACTGCTTCGGTAGACTCAACAGGTCATAGTGGCCCCACCAACGCAGACGCCGACGCCGACGACGACGCCGACAACAACAACGGCGACGCCGACTCCCAAAACACAAGGAGCCTTCCACTCGATCACACCCGCCCAGTTGCAGCGACCGTCGGCACAGGACTCATCGGTCAAGACGGAGCCCGCCTCGGGTGTGGCTTCTTCACATTCGTCCAATACGAAGGTGGCCAACTCGGACATCCCCTCCGGCATAGGCGACTACGCCTCCGACCAGGCTTGCTCCAGGAATCGAGCCAACGTGAAGGTAATACGAGCAATCTCCTCTCTCTAGCTTCTGCACAATAACCTGAAATACAAATACACAAACGCACAAAGAAATACACAGACAGCAATGGAAACAGCGACGACATGGACGGCTCTAGCTTCTCATCCTTCTATTCATCGTTTATCAAGACCACAGATGGCTCCGAAAGTCCGCCCGACAACGACAAAGAGGCCAAGCACCGCAAGTTGAAGGTGAGTCAGTGGGCGAATTGGCTGAGCTCCAGCAGCAAATAGTCCACTCAATCTGGTCTTATTCTTGTGAAGAGTCGAGCGGGGGTGGGCTGTTGACAGAGTGACAGAGAAGCTGACTTTGGTAGGACCGGCAAAGTCCGGCAGACCTCTCCCAATTTGCTCGCACTTGTTGTGAGAGAGGGACAAAAACATTGAGAGAACGCGAGGAGCCACGACCGATAGTTATGTTGTGTGAGGTTATGTTGTAATGTTTATTTTAGCACTTAGCACCCCTTTCCATTCCCATTGCCATTGCCATTGCCCCTTATAGCCTTATGGTCCTGAATACATCACTTTCTCACACGAACTACCATCCGGCTACAATAATGATCCAATATAATACTGGTGGATCTCTTAGATATGGTCACAATGCTGCGCTTTCAGTTTTCTCGGATCCAGTCGTGTTGTGGATGCCACCGATTCTCGCCCTTGCTCATGACTTAACTTTTTTTGCATGAAAATATTTTGATCGATTTGTGTCACTCGCAGAATATTACCCGATTGAGCAGCAAGATAATGGAGCACCCGGAAGAGGACCAAACGCAGCACGGAGATGGATAGCTAACACCGCAGGTGCTGCTGACCGACGTACACAACCATGTCCATGTCGTACACAATGTAACCGACGTCGACCCGTAGGTCCCGCGAAGCAGCATCAGCTAGAACCCGTTGCGACCAGAGCAGTGGCTAGGTAATGAAGAAATGGCCCACAATTAAAGCTACCACCAATTCTACTACATTTTCAGTTCCCATTATTACATCAAGCAAGTTAACTTTACTCCTCAGTCGGAAGAAGATCCCCGCATTAAGGGGCACTTGAGTTCGTCGGAGTTGCATAAATTAAATATCTTAATCGTTATTCCACATTGTTTGATATTTACATATGTATGAAAGGTCCTTTGAAATAAACAATGCGATCGCAACCTACCGCTATCGAAACCGCTAATCTATTTAATTTAATTTAAATTTAAATTTCGCGACCACCTTGAATGGGTGTGGGTGTGGGTGTGGTTGGGAATAAGAGTATGCGGTGCAAATTAAAGAGAATTCACTTTGATTCGAAAGTGAAAATATTAAAAAAAAACATTAAGCTAAATATAAATAAAATATTTACGAATAAATAAAAATACCGACATACCTACATCGGTACATACAAGTAGATTAAATATCATTAAATGAAATAAATATTGCATATTAAATAAATAAATAAGTACTCCTATAGAATTCCCAATTCCCAATTGGTTATACATAGCTGCTGCCGCCTTGAATACCAACCCCATGGGCCAGGCTATCTTTGCGCAGAGGCATTGTTGTAACCCACGAAGCTCTACTGAGGTGCGGCTATTGCTTGTTACGAGTAGATACATATTTACATATTTAATTGTGAGTGAAAAGACGTCTTTTTAAAATTTCCACTCTCGCAGCTGTATTGGTAAGTACGTACATACTTATATGTACATATTTTTACATCTAGTTGTACAAATGAAAGTGCTATGACTTTTTCCCTGGGTGTATTATTGAACCTTCACTGGTATCAAAGAACTCTTCATAAGAGATGTTGTCCCAGAGACTCTGCAGGATGGCCCTGAAGGACCGGTCGCAGGCCTCGTTGATCTTGGGCTGTATGTCCGCCGCCAGGGCGTCCCACTCTTCATTAAGAACCTTCAGCGTGCTTTCGCGGACCTCCCTATTATCACTAAAGAGGTTGGACAGGTTAAAGTGGCCCCTGCACATAGAAAGGACAGCGTCAAGAGATGGAACAAACTGGAAGGGCTCTGGGCGGTATTGTACTCACTCCTTGACCTTGGTGACTGTTTTAAAGTCGGTGATATTGAGATATGTGTTTCCATCCGCCCGCTTTACTGGGTCGGCCACGATGCGCAACTTAGCCTGCACCTGGCTCAGCTTGATGACCATATCGCCCTTGCTGACGATGGGTAGAACGAGGATCTTGCCATTGACATCGTACTTGGAGCGGACCTCTAGTTCAGGCATGAACAGCAACAGGACCAGCTTGAGTGGCTTGCTAAAGTCCTTTGTGAAACCCTTCAGACTCTTCACCACCACCGAGTTGGCCAGATTGTACAGCTTGGCATTGGTCATGAGCAGGTTGAACTGCAGCGATGCGGAGTGGCCTCCGCTATCGACTCGCAGCGTTCCCAGGTCAATGGGTTCCAGGCTGGCCATTCCACGCTCGGGTATGCCCTTCTTGAATGCCCCAAAGAAAGTCTGTGCCTGCTCCACATAGCAGGCCTCGTCCCCAAAATGACAGCGCTGCAGGGGCTCAGCTGTGGGTAAGCTTTTGTCAGACTGGCTGCACAGGATCTGCACTCATTGAAAAACTCACGGAACTCATTCACCGCCAGTGACCCGATGAGAATGCCTGCGATGACAACTGGCACTACAATAAACTGCATTTTCTCCGGCTCCGTGTCGGTCTCCGTCTTCTGATATCCGTTTTCGTCGAGCAGCAACTGGCAAACTTCAGCCAGATGCCGATGTCGGGCCTATTTATGCATCCTCTCGGCCTGACCTGGCCTGGCCTGGCCTGGGTGTTAGCTCAAGCGCGATTCTGGATACAGGTCGACTTAATTGCTCGCCGATACCGGTGTGGCACTCGCTTAAACGAGTTTCTCACTCTACCGCATTGACATTTTTGCATTAGTTAAGTTTAGAAATTCCCTTGTGGGGGGGAAATACATATATGTAAATGTTGTAGACCCTGGTATTTGCGTAACTCAAGTCTACCTACAGAAGAAAACTAATTAATTTCATTTAGAATATGTGATGTGTCGTTATCCCGAGATTGCTTAGCAGACATGGCATGGCAGCTGCGTGAATAAGGAGAGATTATTGAATTTTCTTTAGAAAGCTCCGAAGCCAATTTTCTTTTCAAACGCGATCCTCCTTCTTCATAAGTTAGAAAGCCAGCCCTCATGTGTTTGTTTAAATCGCTGGCAATGCCTGTTTGCTTTATTCAACATCTTATTAGTTTGGAAAATGAAGTTTTTATACCCGTACTCAAAAAGAGTTAAGGGGTATATTGTATTTGTGGTAAAAGTGGATGTGTGTGGATGTGTAACGCAGAGAAGGAATCGTTTCCGACCCTATAAAGTATATATATTCTTGATCAGCATCAATAGCCGAGTCTATGTCTGTCTGTATGTATGTCCGTCCGTCCCGATGAGCGCCTAGTTCTCAGAGACTATAAGAGCTAGAGCAACCAAATTTTGTTTCCAGACTCATGTGATATCCACACTGCTACAAGTGTATTTCGCCCCGCCCCCTTCCGCCACAACAAAGAACGAAAATCTGTGGCAGCCACAATTTTAAAGATACGGTAAAACTAAAAATTTCTGAATCTTAATCAGATCGGATCATTATTATTCATTCATTATCATTCTCTCTCTCGCTCGCACCCACTCTGCCCTGTGCAGTGCGTGACCTTTGCGGAGAAGATGTAGAATCTACATTGTGTATAATTTACACTTTATATGTGGAATCGACATTGTATATGTAGATAACAGATGTAGCAAAAAAGTGTAATATGTAAAATTGTTTTAAATTCTACATAAATCATAAGCTCACAAATTTATAAACTGACTAAGTACGGGTATAAAAGTAGAGTCGCGTCCCCAGAAGCGACTCACACGTTCCTTCTAGTTTATTTTTATTTTGATGTCATTCAGAGCAGTTTCTGGAAAATAATCTTCATTTATTTGTGGGCACATCCAGTCAAAGGTAGCGCTTATGCTGCGCCCATTGCTCAACCAAATTTCCAGCAAATCGCCTCGCCGAATATTGACCTTTTTTGAACACATGAAAATAATTCGAAATTGCGAAAATATGCGCTAACTCTACTTAAATATACATACAATAACACACACTACAACATAAAGAATATGAGCAGCCACGCGCAATCTTACTACTTCTACTCCAAAAAAGATTACTATTTTGAGGTTAGGTTGGAAAAAAAACATCTGCCAATAAAAGCATTAAAATTAGAACGAAACAAAAGAGCATCTAATAAAAGCATTCTAAACTACATTCTAAATACCTTGATGTATATTGTCCATATTAAATAATGTTGTTTGGTTGCTTTAAATGGAGATGGTGGACCTTCAAACGTAGACAATATTTACAGCCAGAAACAATGAAAATTTTGACAGGCTCAAACAGCCGACTTTAAAGGGCTACCCAAAAGCCAGGGATGGCCAACAAAATATTTCTTTGTATATTTTTATGCATGATGGACATTTATTTAAAGGGAGTAATAAAAAAATTATGACATTATTACAACTTAGTTTTGGGGTTAATGGCAAAAAAATGCATTTTCGTCGAATGTGCAGTGTAACGTTGTGCATACATATGTATGCAGGTTGACTTTGTGCCCAATCAACGAAACAATCTTGCCACGTCAGAATGATGACGATGATTCTACTATAGCAAAATGCATTTCATCTAACAATTCCGAACGACCCATGTACAGACATATGTATGAGTGAGAGTAGCTAAGTACCCTAAGTTAGATGTGTTATCACCTTGCTCCAAGACGCGGCTAATTAGCGAGCAATTAAATAATAAACACACACGGCTTAAAGTCATTTAAAAAGGTAAACAGCTTTTATTTACATTTATCGAACATGAACCCAGGGGCGCAAGCGGAAAGGCGAAAAGGTGAGCGACTTTGGTTGGGCTGCAGGCGAGTCAAGATGACTGCTCAGATCTGGGGTGATTTCGTATCTTTGCTCAGAGTTGTTAGCGATTTCTCAAACTCAACGGACTCCACCTGCCGCCTCTGCGGATCGTGAGGCGGCGGCCCAATCAGTTTAACCACCTCATCGTAGTCCAATGTTTCCCTTTCCAGAAGTGCCTCGGCCAACTGGAACAGCAGAGAGGAATATAATAGAACGCCGTGGAAAGTTAAGAGACAGAAAATATAAGAATGTAGCTGACCTTCTCTAGCTTGTCGCGGTGTTTGACGAGTATGTCCTCGGTTATCTGGTAGGCACGGGCCACGATATGGCGCGCCTCGTTGTCGATCAGGGTTTCCATGGCTCGGGAGAAGGGTTTTGCGCCACCGCCCGATTCCCCGCTGTCGGACTCGCCCGCATCGCGCACATAGATGGGTCCCAGGGTCTTGTTCATGCCAAACTTCTTGATCTGAGAATAGGCGATCTTTGTGACCTTTTCCAGATCGTTCTGGGCCCCAGTCGTAATGCGATTGAAGACCAAGTTCTCAGCCGCGCGTCCGCCCAGGGCCATGCACATCTTATCGAACAGCTCCTCCTGGCTGTACAGATGCTGCTCGCTGGGCGTGTACTGGGCAAAGCCCAGGGCCAAGCTGGTGCGCGGCACAATAGTCACTTTGAGCAGGATGTCCGAGTGAGGCAACATCCAGCCAACAAGGGCATGGCCGGACTCGTGATAAGCAATAACCTTCCGCTCTGCCAGAGACAAGGCATGCGAACGCTTCTCAGTTCCCCCTGCGGAAGAAAAAGCGGCGAGAAAAGCGAGAAAATTTGGATTTTGATGGATTGTTAATCCTGCCACATTTGAATTTAGCATCTAACGCACCAACTAAACGCTCGACGGCGTACTCCAGGTTCTTGGTGCTAACCTCTGTCTGCGTGTTTCGGGCCGCATGAAGAGCGGCCTCATTGCAGACGTTGGCAATGTCGGCGCCAGAAAAGCCGGGCGTAAGGCGTGCCAGACGATGTGAGAAGGTGCTGGGCGGGGAGTCCAGCTTGACTGAGGACAAATGCTTCTCGAAGATTTCCTTGCGTTCCTGCAGCGTTGGCAGGTCGATTAATATGTGTCGATCAAAGCGGCCGGGTCGTAGCAGAGCCTGAACACAAGAGTTTTAATAAATCAGTGTTTAAAATAGATCAGCTGCCCGAAGGATACCGTGCCTTCCACTCACCTTGTCAAGGATATCGGCCCGATTCGTGCTGGCCAGCATGAGGACACCTTCCTTGGTGGCCATGCCGTCCATTTCGACAAGGAGCTGATTGAGCGTCTGTTCCGACTCACCGGAGCCACCCTGGCCCATGGACTCTGTGCCAGACCTCTGGCGTCCGATGGCGTCGATCTCGTCAATGTAGATGATGCAGGGCGCCCGCTTCTTGCCTTCTTTAAAGAGATCCCGCACGCGGGCGGCGCCTAGGCCGCCAATCATCTCTATGAACTCAGATCCATTCATACTGAGGAAAGGCACTTGAGCCTCTGTAGCCACTGCCTTCGCCAGAAGCGTTTTTCCGCAGCCGGGCGGACCCAGAAGTAGGGCTCCGCGCGGCACTTTGGCGCCCAGGCGCTGATACTTTTCCGGCGTCTTCAAATAGTCAACGAACTCCTTAACCTCCTGTTTAGCCTCGCTGAGGCCGGCCACGTCCCGGAAGAGGACGCCACGTCCGCCGTCGAAGGGATCCACGAGCGTGAACTTAGCACGACCCATTTGATTCTGCAATGTGGGTAGAGATTACTCAGAGATCTGCTATGTCAGATTAGAGATATAAACGTACAAACGAGTCCATGCTGAGCGGACTCTTGATGCTCTTCATGCGAGTGGCAATGGACATGAACAGAGCACAGATCAGCAGGAGCATAAGGATGCGCCCCGTAGTGTCCGACTGGCGATCGTAAGTGACGGGGACACCATCCCTTATGCCCAGACGCTTCTCCACGTCGCGCAGCTTCTCCTCGAACTTGGTGGCATCGGCCACAGCCATGTGAAATATGGTTGAGGTCACTTTCCTGCCCTTGATAACGGCTCCTTCGTGAAGTATAATTGTTACCATTTCCATATCGGGGCGTATGATAAGCTCTTTCACCTCGCCCACGGCCAGCATGTGATGCACGAATTCATTCCACGACACGTATCGCGTCGAACCCTGTCCGCAAAAGGTAAAGATCAAATAAAAAGAAAAGGTTGCAGCCGAAGCGAACAAGTATAAGAGCGTTACCTCGGGTCTTTCCGACCGTGGGGTGATCAGTAATGAGAAGAATGCCACAAACATGTAGATGGTGAACAACCAGAGCACAGCCTTGGTTAACACTGAACGCATTTTCTCATCGTTCTCATTGCCTTTCTTTTTTCCGTCTTCACCCGGTTCACTGGCGGCACTGCTGCTAGAGGTGGCATCTGCCGAAGACTCATCTGAGTTGGCTTTGGTGCTGGTCTGAGATGTGGGCGCTGACGGCAATGGTTTCTCTTTGACGGAATCGTCGTCACTGGACTTGGATGACTTTGCCTGTTTGCTGTCATCGCCAGTGCTACTGCTTTTGCTGTCAGGGGGTTTCTCCGATGTTCCTGTGCTCATGCAGCGCAGATGCATTTTACGCACCTCGTTTGGCGTTAGTTGCAGAGAGCGTGATATCAGGCCCACAACCGCTTTGTACTCCGCCTCTAGCTTGAGCACCTAGCAAAAAAATGTCGGCTTTATTTTTCTGTGTTTGCTCTTTGGCAGTCTTCTTACCTGTCGCCGGCTGAGCGGCAAGAGACGGAGCTCCCGCCTGAAGCCATAATATAGTTCCGACAAATTTTGGATGTGTGAAAATTGGTGGGATCTACTTTCCAGCAGATTTCTCACATGCCGCAGTCCCTTCAACATCATTTGCAGGAGTTTGTCCCTCTTGTGAACCCCTTGGTACAGGAATACGTAACTCGATGTTATTTGCTTGAAATTACATACAATGACTCTGCGGAGTTGCCAGATCGCAGCAAAACGGTGACAGCAATAACAGCTGTACTGTTATTTATCGATAGTAATTCAAGCACCAATATTCCCGTATTCCACACCACTTTCCGTAGACCGATATGCAGGGATGATTTCTTATCGGTTTTATACAAATATCATCCCTGATTTATGTCGACGGAAAATTTAGCGCGTCTGAGTACTAGGCTTTAAGGCAGACCAGATGTACATGCTGAGACTCTTCAATTGTGTGTAGTGGAACCATTACCGTTGGATAATCGAGATATCGATAGTTAAGATGGCGAGAAGCAATCAATTCTTCAATACCTTGTGCTTTCATAAAATATTGTTTGCTTTTTATTAAAAAAAAAATTGTTTGATATATCTTGGCCGGTTTAATAAGTAAACAATTAAAAGCGCCTATTTTTTTAAATAAAAAATAATAATAATAGTGCTATACAAATATTACTTCGTACTACGTAATAATAATGTCACTGAATTGAGTAGCTAAATTTGTTAAATGTTTTCACTGTTCATTAAATGGCATTGGATCGCACTGCTCTCAATAATTATTATTCACTGATCCATCAAAAGGACCCATGTTGTCGCCAAAGTCCTGCATCTCCTCCTCCATATGTTCGTCGAAATCATCGCCCAAATCCTTTGATTCGGGACAGTTTCGACAGCGACTCTCGTTAACGCCGTAGTTAATACATGTCGAACCCACGCACTCACAGCAACCGTCGTGGAACCATCTGATTTGTTAGATTGCAATGAAATATACAGTCAATTCGGTTTACATATGTATGCATTATTTTTACCTGGTGCTGCTGGCACCCGTGGTCTGACAACTCTTACGACACTTATTCCAGGAAACGCACTGGTCCAGATATATTACCGTGCAGTTAACAGTCACAATATTATCCCGCTCTTGGATTGCTTCATCTAAATTTTTATCATTTGTTCCTTAAATACAACAAGCACGTTTAAACACAAAGTAATAAAGCCGATTGGTTTGAGAATTACATACTCAAATAATAATGGCCATCCTTCTCGAGTTTTGGACCCTTCAAATACTTGTCAAAATCCACTTGAAACGTGAACACATTCCAATTGTACCCGAAAGTATCACTGTCATCCGGAGTTGTGACCAATACATTGAACAGTTCCGGCACACCATCGAAATCCTCGACATGAGATTTCTTTGACAGCGAATTGCGCGTGTCGTTCGGCTTCGGGCAGAGCTCTGTAAATTCAAATACAAATAGGAAAGTTCAAAACGCTCCCGATCAAATTCATCTGCATGTTTTATGAAAGACAGATGTTCCATTACATGAACAGGCCAAACACGTAATTGTATCAACTATATAACCCTATGTTATGTTTTCATGCAGCCCTGCTGCAGGCTGGAAGGGTCGGTAAGCTGCTAGTCGGTAGCTCAATCCAGCTATCGATAGCTATTTGGCACATTGCTCGCGCGCACTCACACCCACACATGCGCGAACACAACACATTTGGAAGCAACAAAAACAATGCGAGCTAAAGTGACAGCCCGATTGCCATCACCACACTATTTTTATCTCGTTAGACCTCTGCCCAACCCCACCCTCAGTATGGAAGGCCACCGCCAGCCAGACGCATTACTTACCTACACAGCTGCAGCACTCCTCGTAGTACTTCTTCCCCAGGCACTTGAGACACTCTTTGCAGCAGGAACAGTTCTTGAGCTCACATTTGCAGCTCTGCGTCAGCATGCACTTGGAAACGATTGATGCGCAGACGACTTCATTGCACGACTCCACATGGCCATATAAACACACGAGCCCCAGCAGCAAAAAAGCGCCAACTGTGAGCGATCGCCAAATATCCATAATGTTAGATGCTTTGGAGAATTTCATATGATTGCACACGGTGGACAAGGAGATGGCAGAGACAACAGAGACACAACAGCAGTGGACGGTAGTTGGGGAGACTTTGACTGATATGTAGAAACTATATAGTGAATAATAGATGGGGATGCGATCTTTTCTGTTTGGCACGTATGTGCATACATATGCGTATATATGTAAGTATAAAAATATGTATCTTTATGTATGTACGGACCAGTTGCGCTTGTGTGATTGCAATTACAAAAAATAACAATTGGGGAAAACACACACAAATACACTGACAGACTGTTTGTTAACAACACATGTAATTGCACGGCATTCCATTCGACTCAGATACTTTCAATATGGATTATTGAAATATGTATTTACATATATACATATTGAATCAGACTTAGTCTACGAATATATTTCTTAAATTATTGTACAAGCGCGTAACAACAGCAACAAGAAACGGCTCCACAACGTACACTAAGAAGACAATAACTATCGAGCGACAGATCAGATTCGAGAGATCAGCAGCGGCAACGCAACGGCAGAGGCGACAACGAGACAGAGACGGCGGCGGCGTCAGCCAGCTTGTTTTTATTATTAGCGCGACCCGCAACGCAGCAGGGCACTACTGTCTTTTTTCTTTCCGATTCCAATCCAGGCCCAGAGGCTAGAAGCCAGCAAGCTAGATACAAATACGAATACGCGAATTGAGCGCACACACAGATTCAAACCCAGCACACACGCAACTCAGACTGGGGCTTAGAAACGTAAACACGTTACGAAGCGTTGATGACGCTGACGCCGGCGCTGTTGGCTTTGATTGTTGACAATTCTGGTGCTTGCGTTGGTTGCCAACAAGGGGACGGGGAGGTACGGAACGGATCGGATCGGATCGGGACACAGAGGCAAGCGCACGCGTACGAGCTGAATGATCAGCTACCACCAACAACCTTTATCAACACATACTCACATATACACATATGTACATGTGCATGTCTATCAAATGTTGACTTAGAGATGAGCAATATTATCCGAAAAGTAAACATGATGAATTTTACTGCTCTTTCATATTACGGAGAAGACAATGCAATAAACACACACATGCGAGCTGAAGTTTGCATTTCCAATTGTATACTCTTATTTTAAATTTAGCAGATATCATGAAGCATAAGTATGTATATTACAAACCACCGCTGTAAATAAAAAGAGTATCTCCATCATATTTGTCTACGAAGTGGAACAATAATGAAAAATTTGTCTTGATCAGTTCTTACCTGTTTTGTTTATTTATTTATTAATATATGCGTTATTTTTAATTTAAACTCTCCTCCCTAATACTCAATTGCACCATCTCGTATCGATACTATCTGGTATCAAGCCGCAGCGGTCTGGCAGCGCCATCTAAATAACAACAAAAATACAGAACTAACAGATAAGATTGAAAATTAAACATTTTTAAAATGTTTATGTTTCGAAACTGTGCTGTTCTCCTGGTGATTGGTTCGATATGCTGTTTTATATATGGCATCATTAACCTGTACGTAGATGTAGAGGCGAATGCCTGTCGCATGACCTATATGTTTGGGCAGCCGATGTTCTCAGTAAGTTATTAGATTGGATTGAGATTATCATTAGCACACACAACATGTATCTATGGAATTTACAGCGTGTCCGGATAAAAAACGGCGAGCTGTTTCCCAATTACAGACTTTTCTACTACTACGAGGGACTAGGGGATCCGGTGGACCCACTTACGAGACGCATGACCGGAGCTCCGGTTATATTTGTGCCCGGAAATAGTGGCTCCTACAAACAAGTTAGATCGTTAGCCTCCGTTGCCCTACGCAAGGCTTTGTCTAACGACGCCGGCATTCATTTAGACTACTACACCATCGACTACGACGAGGAGCTGTCCGCTCTCTATGGCGGCTACTTGCATCATCAGCAGCGTTACCTTAAGTTATGCATCCGCACAATCCTGTCCCTCTATAAAGGGCGCAGCGAGCAGCCGTCCATTGTGCTCATCGGCCACTCAATGGGTGGTAAGCTGGCGCAGTCTGTACTCACAGACCTAAGCATTGGGCAGCACATAAATACGATTATTAGCATTTCCACGCCCCTGGACCAGCCCGTGGTCAATTTGGATGCTCAACTAAACGCTTTTTACGCACAGACAGATGATGCCCTCAGCAAGACTCGCACAGCTACTCTACCAACGACTCGGACCAATGTCTGCAATAGCTTGCACCAAAAACCGCCAAGTGTCCAAAACATGGCTCTACGAGAGACATCGGCAAAGCTGGACAACGTTTTGCTCATTTCGACGGGTGGGGGTAATCGCGATCTCCTCGTGCGTCCAGGCCTGACAGCCTCCAAGTTTAATGATCTTCACGCCATGGTAGGTTTCTATATAATTATTTCATCCCCTCCTCTTCTTTCGCTATTTATTTAGTTATTTCTGTTGCCTTGCAGACCTCAGCGATACCCCGTGTGAGTCTGAGCTGCGATCATCTGTCCGCTGTGTGGTGCTTGCAGTTCGTTCAGTCCATCAATAGTTTCCTCTTCAGCATTGCCCACGTGCGAGCCGATCGATCAGTGGTCTTTGGCATAGAAAAACAACGCAACCTGCAGGCGGCCCTGTCGCACTTTGTGGTACATTCTAATGCTTATACCCGAATTCTTCGTTATTTATTGCGACTTGTCTTTCAGAAGCCCACAACGCGCCCGCAGAACACTATGAGCTTTTCCGTAGCCAACAACTGGAACGAGGAGCGAAGACTAGTCATTAATAAGTACTTCGCCAATGGTCTAAAGACTTCCTACTTTGAGCTGATTGGACTGAAGCGCCACAATCGCTACAAAAACCTGGCCATTGAGGCGCTGAATGTGGGCGAGAGCGATTGGCTATTCGGCTGCACTGCCCAGGTCCACAACGAGACGGGGGAAACTTACTGGTGAGCATTCCTTTCTGCACCATGCTAGAGCCCAGCCCCATTACATACTTCCTGTGTGGCTCTTTAGCGAAAAGGCTACACCGCTCATCCATCTAGTTCAGCGGCTGCCGAACAGAGAGCGAGAGCCGCGAAGCATTGCCGTACTAAATCTCCACAACCTGCGCAATACCTACTTGGAGTGGACACATGTGCTAGTACGCCTACCAGCGGGCAGCGGCCACCTTGGCTACAATCTAGACATCTACGATCCCCGGGAGCGACACGTGGACATCCGCCTTCCTCGTTGGTACTCCTTTGCCAGGCAACTAGCCGTCAATGAAACGCTGCAGGGCACCCTCCACTACAGGCTGCGTATCAGCGACCTCTTCGATCCGTACCAGAGTCTGAGGGTGATAATTGAGCCCCTGCAGTGCCTCAATCCACAGTATCGCGTCACGGCCAGACTATGTGTTCCTTGGGCGGCAGGCTTTGAACGCTTTCAAACGTTGACGTGAGTTTTCATGTTGATGCTTTCATGATTCAGTCAATACTTGATAGTCTATCCGATCCGCAGTTCTCCAGGCGAAAAGCCTCAGCTTTATGCGAACGTTCCCACCCTGCTTCCCAGACACTATAATACGTCTCTGAATCCAGTCACAATAGACTTGTACCTGGACCCCATCTGTCGCTATCGCATCAGGTAATTGAATACTTTCCCACTTTAAATGATTTGAAGCAGTGTGGTGTGGATCTACAATTCTCCCGCCCTCTTCCTCAATCTCTCTCCTTCTCTTTCTCCTTCTTGTTGACGTCTTCCATCTCACTCGGATTCATTTGTTTAACCTAAGCTATGAGTATGGCTACTCCTCAGCGCTGTCCCGACTGGTCCTGGAGTTTTACGGCTGGCTACCGGCCCACCTGGCATGTGTGCTGCTTATCGTTCTGCGTAAGCAGGTTTCAACCTTCCAAGAAGTAGGCAGCTTCAGGAGCCTAAAGCCCTACACCGGCTACCTGCAGTACACGTCACTATACGTGGTCACAGGTTGTCCGAGAGAAATGCTCCAACTATGTACGTAGCCGTACAATGCAAACAAGTTTTCCCTTTTCTTGCAGCCTGTCGCCTGCTGAAGAAGCTGATACTGAGTAGCCGCGTGCTGCCCGCTCCGGAGCCCTTGGACTACAGCATCAACGTGTCAATTGTGATCCACTGCGCAGCGATTGCGCTCTCTTTGGTGGCAGCCCTGGCCACGTGGCTGGCCCTATCCCTCTACGGGAACGCATTCTATCGCTTGGCCCTGCGTCTGACGCGCCATTCGCAGGCCAGCTCCAACATACTGATCTCCATAATGACTAATCTGCCCATTACGTACGGCATCCTAACCATCGCGACGGCCATAGGTACCTGCAGTGGTGTGGGTCTGCTGCTGGCTTTTGTTTTTTACTTTCTTATGTTGTCGAATGCCTATAAGGATTACCTGGAGGACTTCCTCTGGCAGAAAGCGGCCAATTTGGTTCGGGGTACGATGGGTGAACCGGCTGCTCCAGCAGCAAGATCTCAGGAAACTAGCGATATGCTGTCGGGCATAGATAATAGCCAGTCGGACGAGGACAAGCAACAGCAGCAGGAGGAGGAAGAGGAAGCAGAAAAGAACACGGAACAGAAGGGAAATGATCCAGAGCCCTGTGTGGGCCTGCAAAACTTTCCCTTTCACGTAACCCTATTGTTGATGCTGCTCATGCAGCTTCTGCTCAATGCACCAAGCACATTGGCCTGGGTCCGAACTCGACGGTAATTCAAAGTTCTAAATGAACTCAAGTGAATCTCTACAGGAATCTTTTCCCCCCTTTTCCACAATAGCCATGGCATCGACCTGCCCGATCCGAGTTTGCAGCCCAGCGTCGTGATCTTGGTATCCCTAAGTTTATTGCTGCAGTTTCGGGCGCCCCAGAAATGGTAAGTAAAGATTGCCACTAATCTTAGCCAACACATTCTCACCCGGTCTCTCCTCTCCCCCTCTTGCCTGCCTTAGCTCTGGCTATTGGATGATTTCCATTGTTCTGTACGTGCTCTCGGGAATTGTTCTGTTGTACTGTCAGGCAGCCATCTACAGGCTGAACTTTGTGTTTGCCGGTGCTTTCGCCTTGCTCTCCGCCCACCAAGGCCTCTGGATTCTGTGGCGTCGCCTGGCCTGAACAGGTTTAAGCGCGTGTGTTAATTTGTTATTTGTTTGTCCATTAGCTAATACAGCTATTAAGTTAGAGCGGCCAATGGCAATACCCGCGTCGAAGTGTGCAATTCAGGCTTACATAAACACGGCAAACGACCATTGCAATTCAAATTAAGCCGATATTGGTCCTAGCGGGAAGTCCAAACTAGTCAAACGCACATTGCACATTGTACATTGCTTTAAATAATTGTTTTTTACGCTTGCTGCCGGCGTTTATGGTAAGCGATATCAGGTATCAGCTGGTAGGCATGCCAATTACCATTTACGTGAAATGTGTGAAAATTCCCATAAACAAGGCCACACTGTACTGCCATACACGGGTTTTAATTCAGTTCAGACCAAAAACCAATATTTTTATATTTTAATTCCATCCAAAATTGTTTATTTTTTTACTTTCCATTTCCCAGCCGATGCTTAAGATATTCGCAAATAAATGTTAGGCTCAACTAAATACTCTAGCTCTAGTCTATATATATGTATGTACATATGTATATATTTTGCCGTTTTTTTTTGTTCAAAACATTACCCCTTTACCATGATGTACGTATGTACATATGTATGTATATGAAGGGCGTTTGGTCTGTACATACATACACATATAATATTGTAATAGCAATTTAATTTATACATAATATAGAGTTCATACATTTGTTCATACTGTCTGCCAATGTTATCAGGGGCCGTTAATCACATCAGTTATATTTTTAAAATCAATCAATAAAAACAAAAATTTAGTTTACATTTTAAGGGTTTTCTTCAGCTGCAATCATTATTTTGTTTATTTCTATTATTAATAATAATCCATAATTTATGATAATATGACACTGCTATTAGAAAATACAACTAGATTAGTAAAGATATGTATACATTCTTTTCTGAACTTCCTATGACCTTTTGATTGTTCAGCTTTGTTCAGTTTTAAAATTAAAATTTTCAAATAATCACAAGCTATGAGCTTTTTTATTTTTCTACTCTAAAATAATTATGTATGTATAACTAATAAAAAGATATGCATGGATTATACTCAGAGCAGCCTATGGGCATATTAAATTTTTCTGTGCGTATTAAATTCCAAATTAAATATGAAATTAATTCATCCTCTGCATTTAACTGAAAATAATAATTGTTTACGTTCCCTGATTGTTATATACATACATATATATATATATGTGTGTATGTATTCGTTTCGTTTTCGAAAATAAAGAAATTCCCATTACATCTCCTAAATCACCAATTGCCTGTTGGAGAGTGTTGGGGGCTTTATTGCTAAAAATGTATTGAATTCATATCGGTGTGGCTGTAGCGCCCCGAATTCAGCTCAAAAAGTCCAAACTAAGGTCGGGCCACTTCCATTTAGACTCAGCATCATCTGTCCTTATGTCTCATTTGGCAAAGTGTTGAATTCCATTTGAAAAAAGGCGTCAGATGAAATGTCCGTCACCGCTATTGCCGAGTTATGGCACAGCTGGGCGTGGCAAAGTCATGCTGACAGCCGCGGTAGCTGCCGCCAGCGCCCGATTTGGTTCGATTGGCGGTTGTAGATGGGGTTTCGTTTCAGTTGAGTAGTCCAACACGCTGAATGGAAAATAAAGTAAATAAACACATCATCAGTTTCGTCACTTTTAATACTAGTAACCACGAGGGGGAACGTTGAGTCGCTTCTGTCGCCGCGACTCTACTTTTATACCCGTACTTTTTTCTGTAAGATATTGATCAATGATCAATATAATATTGATCCGATCTGATCCAGATTCTGCAATCTGGTAGATATGGTAATTTTCTACGATACTGCGTGTTTCGTTTTCTCCTATCTTCAAAATTGTGGATGCCAGAGATTTTCCTTTGCGGGGGCGGAAGGGTCAAATGCACTTCCAACAGTGTGATATTACATGAGTCTGGAAACATAATGTGGTTGTTCTAGCTTTTATAGTCTCATATCGACTCGGATGTTGGTGCTGATCAAGAATATATATACTTTATGGGTTTCGAAGTCCTACCCAATTTGCAGAGCCTTGCAATTTTCCACCCCAACCTCGAAAACCAGTCCTGTTTTATGTAACGCAACTTCAGGTCATATTTTAGCCATATCTTTTAAACCGTACGCTCGATTATCGACATTGTTTTGTGAACAAAGGACTACCCTGTTACTATTAAACAAGGATAATCCTCTGGCTATAACAACGATCTTATCTGAACCAGATTTGGAAATCTGGTAGATATTGATGGATAGATACATGGTACAACGTATAAGTTAAAATATTTATTATTAAAACCAAATATAAAAAAAATTGTTTGTTAAAAGAACATGGCATTAAAGCATCTGCATCGGTATGTATGTAGATATAGATTTACGTAGCCATATGTATGTGTATGTGTGTGTATATTTTTACACCTCGAGCTTAGATAGAATGAGTGGGACGAGTATAACGATGAATGCACTAGAGAAGCGGCGACTACTGCCAATAGCCAGGGACGAGCTGTGCTTGTCCCGGACCATATGCCAAATACCCGGGCGGCGGCATCACATCGACCCTGTGAAACAGACGGGAATAATTTGGAGAGAAAGTTAGCAGCTGTGTGGGGGGTATACAAACCGCGTGGGCTCCAGCTGTGAAGGAGCGGCGCGATAGTAGCGCGGTCTGGGCGCCACATAGTTGCCAGAGGCGAAGCTGCGGGGATTGGCAACGGGAAAGCGAATGGAAGCGGCGTTTGCAGGGCGACCGCCGACCCGTGCCCGGGCTCGCGAACGCGAACGGGCGACTGTAGCGGTGCGTGCAGTGGCAGCCGCTGGTCCGTTTCCGGCTGCTGCTAAGCCCCCACCCAGTCCCAGACCCGACAAACCACCAAGTCCGCCCAGACCGAGGCCCACAGATCCTGCGCCAGGCACCGGCGTCTGCCACATGGCGGCTAGTTGAATGGGTACCAATGCTGGCAGCGAGACGGTAACTGGCACACCGGGAGGAGGTCCGGCTGGAGCCTCTTGGGCCGGTGCTGGTGCTGGGGCCTCCGGTTCTGGTTCCTCCTCCTCCTCCTCCTCTTCGGGAGGATGGGTGGTGGTTACCTCCGGCACCGGCTCATCCTCCGGCTCGGGTGGTGGTGACGGAGTCGGCTTGGGCTCCACATCTTTCCAGGCCGCCAGCAGAGCAAGAAGTTCGTCCTTTGTTACATGCGGGCTCGATGAGGGAGGCAGAGGGCTGAACCCGAAGCTGGGACTGGGACCGGCCCAGGCGCCTCCGCTACTCCAGCCGATGGGTGGACCGGGTGGACCAAAGAGGGAGCGCTGTTGCCGATGCGGCTGCGGGTGCATCGGTCCGCCCGGATAGCGCAGTGGCTGGATGATCTGGCCACGGACCTGGCTGAGGGACAGCAGGACCAGTGCTAGGCAGCGCGAAATCTTGTGGGCCTGCATTGCTTAAGATCAGCTTGAGTGCGCGATGTTATCTGTGCATCAATTGGCGACCGAAGCCTTTTATATGAGCCAGACCACTCCTGGCCATGCCGTGTCTGGGCAGAGCAGGCCAGTCTGGGCCTGATCGAGTCGTGAATTGGGTTAACAATTGTCTGCACCACACTGGACCGGCCTGGAGCGGACCGGAAGCTTCGGACCGCGAGGCAATCGGCATTGGCATTTGGTCAACTGGTTCAAATCGTTATTTACGCATTTCAGTGGGCCTAGGAAGCTTGCACCATTTATGGCTCCCATTGCATCACTGCATCAAAGCCTAAACAAATAGCTGCAAATGAAAACGAAATCGACATGGAAAAAGTAGACTCAGAAAGAAAGTGAAACTGGTTCGCATGCACGCAGCTAAACAACTGTGTAGCACAGTGTTTGCGCCTGGCTTAGTTGGCTTAGTTGGCTTAGTTGGCTTAGTTGATGCCGGGAGCAGGCAAGTTCCACGACTTTTTGTCCTCGTAAAACTGTGAATACCAGTTCGTAGGTAGGCACCGTAGTCTTAGTCTCCACCAGCTGCCTCTCAGCGTGTATCAGTATCAGACGCGGATCCAACTAATTTTAGCCTGTCATCGATCATGGACGCATGCTCACCGCCAGAAGTAGTTTCCTGGTGATGCTAAAAGACTTGAGACCCATCAGGGACATCAAAACCCACCCGAAGCTGCGCCAGCTGCTCCCGAGCCCGATCGGTCACGTGACCACGTCCAGAATGTCAATGCCTCGGTCATGGGTTGTTGACCTAATTTGAATGGATTGGAGGATGGTGCTCCTGAGTGCGACTGAGCATGCTCACAAGCAGGCGGAGATTACAAAAAAAAAACGATCATATGTACATTAAAATCACACACCCAAATATACAATTATAAATACACGTACAATTTATAATCAAATATAAATAATAATTTTTAACAAAGATATTATTTAACTAAACTAATAATAATGACATTAATTTATTAATAAACGAATAGTAGAAGCGGCAACAGGGACCGCCATTGTGATTCAACGATTTACGCCTGCGCATAGAGCATCGATACGTTTGCACACTTGCGCCCTCCTTAACTAGAAACATCGATATCAGCAAGAGAATATATCGCAGGGCCGTCGGCTAGGGCTGCAACGATATATCCAAACCTAGCTTTGCTTTGGCATTGCAACGCTCCGACAAAAACAAACGGCAGGCAACCGCAGCTCGGTACTCTGACAAAGTGGTGGCAGAGTTCTTTTCTCGTTCTTTGTTGTTGTTAGCGTTAGTGTTGTTGTCCATTGCCAAAGAAAACACGAACTCGAACGTGATCGGCGGAAATCTCTTGCGCAGAATCAGCCGAAACAGCTGCAGCCTCAGCATCAGCCACAGCCACAGCCACAGCTTTAGCCCAGTGTGTCACTGCCAACGTCAGAGCCAGTGGATGCTTTGATAACCATTATTCGAAATATTGTGTACTCTACTCGCGAATTGCCGACAAGTTCTAATACGTGTTTTTACCAATCTTTGTGTTTTTTGATTGGCCGAGTGCTGTGCGTCGAGCCAAAATGCAATTACATAAATAATATTTAAAATCGGTTAACAAAGACAAAAGTACCAAAAACACGTTCGGGTAAGCCAAGGCAGGAATCATACCAACAATTTTAGGGAATTGTGCAGGCCTATTGTTGCTGCAGTAGGTACACACACGCACACACACATGGGATGTACCATAACGAAATGATAAAGAAACGGCTGTTCTGTCCCTTGTTTGCCTGCCTGAATGTCCGATGCAACGGCATTCGGAATTCAATAACCACCCTCTGTCGAGCAGCTTCACACACACACACACACACACATACGTACACTCGGGTCAGCCTTAATCGTGCTCACTAATTTCCTTTGCCCTATCCTTCCTTCTAGTTGATTCTGGTGCGCTGATTTCGATTCGATTTTAAAACTATCCCCACATCTACATATCTCGATCCTGTGGCCAAGACCCGCTGCACAGATCCCAAGCGCATGAATCACCCTCGTATGTACCCTCCCCCAGCCACCGCAGTCAGAAACCGCTTTTTCACTGGCTATCAAGAAATTTACATGTTTGACTTTCGATTAGTCAGCAACACCAGCGAGATACTATGTACATATATTTTCGGTGCAATGACATCAAAGAACACTGAAATACTGGGGGACAAAACGCTATCTAGAAAACATCCAAATTTTTAGTTTCGTTGCAAACAACATTCAAATGTATGTGTGTAGTTCCTGTTACATATTCCTGATTATCGTTCTTGCGCATTTGAGAATGTAAATACGCTAGAACCTAGATTCCACTTATAACGGAAACAAAGTACCGCTGCCTTTCACATACATGCTATGTACATACATATGTACATATATACAATCCTCTGCCATTTTTTTGTCCCCAAAAACATCATGCGACATACATGATACATAAATATTTCTTCTGCTACAATGTATGGAGATCTAGGAATACGGGCTAAAAAATATTAGTTAATATGTATTTAAAATAGATTACGTTGCCTGCCTCTCTAATCAATTAAAAGTGTATGGCCTTAGCAGATTTAAGAATATACAAAATCAAAAATCATCACTTTTGGATCATTTCCCACTAAACGCACACTTTATCTAGTCATACTGCATACATAATAATAATTAAATCAATTGACTAATAACTATGTGCATCTGTGCAATATCTACATTACATACATACATATTTATGTATGTATTTAAATTCTGACTGCAACAAGTATTAACAACTTTTTTAACCTACTACCCGAAGAGGTAGACGAGTATAACTATAAGTATAAGATGTGCATACGTAAAAGCGAGAAGCGTTTCCGACCCCATACAGTATATACATACATACATATCTATATATACATACATGTGTATTTATGTAAGTACTTACATACATATATTCTCGATCAGCATCAATATTCGAGTCCGATATAGCCATGTCAGTCTAACGCCCTCATCTAATAAGCTTTGCATAAGGACTAGAGCTGTACGGACTCTATGTTTTCCCCATCTCTCATAAAAAGTGCAAGCAAGTGGTAGATACGCGGTCTGCCTTGCCGTACTCATTGAGGACCGGGTGTAAAAATGCTATATATGTATGTACATATCTATATACATATGCATATAGCCTTAAGTAAGCCTGCAACGACAGCACTGGTAGGTATGTATGTACATATGTACATACATGTGAATATACATTTGTTGATTGATAATTTTTTGGGCTTTCCTCCGGTTCTCGTCTTGGATTTCCCAAGAATTTCGAGTGGTGGGAATTCAAGCTTGATAAGACTGTTTCGGGTGTAATTTCATATGCATACATACATATACATACATACATATGTATACATAAGCTCCTATTTGCTTAGCTGTGTGTGCACAGTGCGTTTATAGAGGAGAGGAGTGAGAGCAGAGCATATGTAGTAATCCGCTGATCCCGAGTGGGGGAGCATTATCTGAAATCTGTGCCATCATCATTGCCAACTGGTTGGTTGGGGGGCTCCACTGTATTGTGTACACTCACGCAGCTATGGGAACGGGATGAGATGGAGTGGGATTGGATGCATGTACGGATAGGATATCCATTTGCGGGGACCGGTCCCCTTGTCCGAAAATCAAGAGAACTGAAAACAAACACACATGTTGATCATGCATGAAAGCAACCAACCGCTTCGTTTAACCCTCACCCTAGCTCTTTCTGGTGGTGCTGCTGCTGGCGCTGCAGCGTCACCAGTTCCCAGTTCTTCGGAGAGCGTTCCATGCACCGGAAACATACATATTTAAGTGCGTAACAAGGCGCATTTTAATTTAACCGATCCAAATAAAACAAACACAACAAAAAAACCAAATAAATTAAATTGTGTGTGTGCAAAGCAATTTGAGCCTCTCGTTGAATTTATGCATGCGCAGCAGAAAACCTCCCATGATACTCAACCCAGCTCAATTGAGATTTCCATTGATTTAGTATATCTGCTTGTTTTCCGTTGTATTTGCATACATACATACATACATACACACATACATACATAAATGCATAAATATGTACATATGTATACTGTTTGACGCGTTGTCAAGTTCATGCAAGTTCTTCTGTTTGCATTCCAACGATCGCAATTGCATATTAGGTGCGTTGAAGTCTCTGTGTGTGCGCGGGGTGGAGGAGGGTTGCCTCTTGCAAGACTGTTTCCAGTGCAGGCGCAGCCCTGCGCCACTTATTATCTCGAAAAGAAAATTAAAATTGAATTGGTCGTAAAAAATACATTAAAATTGCCGCTGATAACTCCTTGCCAGTCCGCACAGATAACCATTAAAAATCCAAGCTGTGAGCATTGGAATATGGAAGAACTCATGATTGTGCATTGTTAAGAGTCAAATAACATGCGCACACATTTAACTTTTTGTTCAGTTTTCGACGTTTCAACAGAACCTCTCATCAAATAAACTTTCGTTTTGCATTACATACAACAAATACATGGACATACATATACATATGTATATCCCCTATCAGTTGGGATTTTCAGGCCAACAATACCAACCTGGATATAAAATTCATTATAAAAATAACTGGCACACTTATTAATAAAGTTATCAAAGTCTCTTAAAAATACCATGAGCGCTCTGATTTTAAACATGAATAGTACATAGTAGAGGTGGGCATGGACCGTGTTTTCTTCGTGTCACGTCGTGACACGATGGGCGCCCGCGTGTGCGTGTTGAAAAAGGCAATCGGTGTGGCGTCCAGAACCATGCGAATATGTACACAATTATCTACATTTTGGCGGCTATTTTTTTTTAATTTCAAAACTCCCCCACATATGCTTACACACTGGACGTTACCACCTAAATTGATACAGCTTACAATTTTAACTATTTAAACTTAAGCATTTATTTTTAATTTTTTAAAATTATTTTTAGTTAAAAAAATATATTAATTTGTTAGTAAAACTAGTTGGCAAGTTTTAGGCTCGATACGGATTGTCAAGACGACAGCGAATGGCAATTTTACTAGAGCTTTGATTAGAGTGTTCGTACAATGTCAAAAAAACGAGAAGGAACGTGTAAGTCGCTTCTGTGGACGCGACTCTACTTTTATACCCGTACTCAGCCTGAATATAAATTTGTGAGCTTATGATTTGTGAAGAATTTTAACATATTTTACATTTTTTTCTACATCTGTCATCTACATCTAACATGTATATTATACACATAAAATATAAAATTGTTAAGCAGAGCCTCTTCTTTTATACCCGGTACTAAGTCAGTCAGATTATAGAATATTTTATCTGTTTCCATTTTACCGCTATGGTTTTTAATTGGGATCGGGGCTTAATTTTGAAGTCCACCTGTAACAGTGTTGTATCACAGACGGACGGACGGACAGACAAACAGCTTTATCGACTCGGCTATTGATGCTGATCAAAAATATATGTACTTTATGGGGTCGGAAACGTTTCCTTCTGTGCGTTATACACATCCACCTCGACCACAAAACTAATATACACCTGAACGCTTCGAGCACCAAGGCCCAAGCCCCAAAGCTTTAACACATCTCAGCAGGGTCAGCTCTTACACAATACATATACCCCTATATTCTGGTTGAGTAGCAGGTATAAAAAGTCTGTATTCATAGCAATTGAATCAGGAAGACTTAGACTGCTATTCTAGGCTTTTTTCACGGGGAAGTTCATGCGGGAAATAGCAGGAAAAAAAGCAGCTATGCAGATTTTAATCAATCGAAAACAGGATTGATCATTGCTACATATACATATTACCAGTTGAAATTTTATAACAAGTTCAAATCACATAAATCAAATGTCTGGTTCGTAGACTTCCTCGCTTATCCATGAGATCAAGTTTTTCTGAGCCCCTTGCATCCGCAGGATTTTTGCTACTTTGTCTATTTAGTTACTATTCGCTTAATTTCTGATTTGTAGGCGTGTGGAGTTGGATAAATTTACATTCAGTTAGTCAAGTCTATAAAAAAATCAATTTAATATTGGAAGTAGGTGGAAGGTAGGTGGAAGTAGGTAAGGTAAGACACTCATTTCTTGATCCTGAGTAAGAATACGTACACACATGTTCCACCTGTCTGCATACCATAAAACAGTATCCCTTTGCATACATACATATGTATGTAGGCTATGTATTCTTTATGGGTAATCATGTGCCATAATTGGCTTTACTTATTTAGCTTATCTGTAGTTTATCAATTTTGTATCATATTATAATAAATAATACTTTCTTCTATCTCATTTAAAACGTTAAATGCCAACTATGTATTTCAGCATGGACATAAACATGGACTTGGGTGCCCCCCCGACTGCATCACAGTCGATATACCCGCATTCGGCAACAATGTTTGCCGCCATCAGTGCCTGCGTCTTTATGACTGTTGGCGTGCTAGGTGAGTGAATAGACATCTTATGAATTTCCTTTATCGCCAACTGCTAACCTGCTCAACTACTTCTGCCCCAGGAAACCTAATCACATTGCTGGCTCTACTCAAAAGCCCAACGATACGGGAGCATGCGACGACAGCATTTGTCATATCCCTGAGTATATCAGACCTGCTATTCTGCTCCTTCAGCATGCCTCTGACAGCAGTTCGCTTCTTTCAGGAGGTGAGTCCGACCACGCATACACATTCCACATTCGGTATTTGACCTGAGCGTAACCAGTAATCGTTTCCACCACAGAGCTGGACCTTTGGCAGCACCTTGTGCAAGATATTCCCTGTCATCTTCTACGGCAACGTAGCCGTCTCACTTCTCAGCATGGTGGGAATCACCCTCAATAGGTAGGAGTTGGTGGCTGAGCCGCTCTGCGAAGGCTCTCGACTAATCCACACCCTGGTGTACTCGTAATCCTCTTCCAGGTACATATTGATCGCTTGCCATAGCCGATACTCACAGATTTACAAGCCTAAGCTCATAACGCTGCAGTTAGTTTTTGTGTGGGCCGTTTCCTTCTTGCTTCTGGTGAGTAAAAATGAATACCAGCATGAGATTAAATCTAAAAAATATCAAAAATATAATACGAGTATACGTATTACAGTTGCCGCCCATTCTCGGGATCTGGGGAGAAATGGGACTGGACGAGGCTACGTTCTCCTGCACAATACTCAAAAGAGGGGAAAGTCTATTAAGAAGACGCTTTTCCTTATTGGTTTCCTTCTGCCGTGCCTGGTCATCATTATCTCCTACTCCTGCATTTACATAACTGTGCTGCACCAAAAGAGGAAAATCCGAAGCCACGACAACTTCCAGATTGGTGCCAATGCGTCGGGAAAGGGCACATCCGGCGGCTCGTACGTGACGACAACGTGCACAAGAAAGGTGCGCGAGGACAACCGGCTCACCGTAATGATGGTGACCATCTTCCTGTGCTTTCTTATCTGCTTTCTGCCACTGATGCTGGCCAATGTGGTGGACGATGAGCGAAAAACCTCCTATCCCTGGCTGCATATAATAGCCTCAGTCATGGCCTGGGCCTCCAGCGTCATCAATCCGATCATTTACGCGGCTAGCAATCGCAACTACAGGCAAGTGCCATGGAAAACCTTTCCTCCCATCCCCCTCAGCATCCAATCATATTTATCCTTTCTCTTGCAGAGTGGCCTACTACAAGATATTTGCACTTCTCAAGTTCTGGGGCGAGCCCCTGTCGCCGATGCCTAGTAGGAACTATCACCAAAGCAAAAACTCAAAGGAACTTTCGGGCGTCATCCGCAGCACTCCGCTCTTTCACGCTGTTCAAAAGAATACTACCAACCAAATGTGCCAGACATATTCAGTGTGATTGAGTCGATGTCGGTGTCGGGCCTTTGCCTTTGTATTAGAGCTTTACACCATACCAATTACCAACTAATTACTTCGTAATATGTAATATGCATATGTAAGTCGCATATGTAAGTCGAAGCAACCGAAATAAATATAAATTTAGATCAATTGAGAATGCCATGTCTGAATTAACTGAATTAACGGATGCGTGAAATTTTAGAGAGCCTGGGCAATGCATGGACACAAGCTTTACTGTTATTGGCAACGGACTAGTCCATATTGGATTAATTTTGGTTCAGACTCAAGCCTAGCTATTAACTTCGAGGAATTGCACGCGTTACGCAAAAAGTATTCACGACAGTTGGTTGAGCGCTATGACACTATCTGGGAATCCAACCACAAAATCACAAATTCATATGATGAGGCACACGCGTTTTTCACTTCATTTAGGGACGCTCCCAGAATAGCGAGCAAAAAAAAATAGTTGTAATCACATTAAAAAAATTGTTTATTTTTCTTTTTCTTCTATTTTGCTGGATAACTCTTAACGTCCTCAAGATGTACAACAACATTAATTGTTGCAGTATTTATGCCTTGACGGCATATTTGCGCTGTGGGAAGATGGAACGCTTGCGAATTTCCTTCAGCGTCTTGCGGTTAGCATCGCGGGGCGACAGAGCCTTGCGGATTGCGCGAGTCTTCTTGCGGCGCAGATCCAGGGGCTTGTACTTCTTGTTCTTGAAGACCTTGCGCAGGTTCTCCTTCTGCTTCTGATGCATCACAATGTAGACGCGAGCGATGGCCTTGCGCACCACACGGCTGCAATTGCAAACAAATAAGTCGATCAGTCATGAAGCCGGCCAGGGGAAAGGGGAGGGTAGCCGGGCTACACTACTTACATCTTGGAGAGCTTGGATGGCGCTCCCCCGGTGACCTTGGCCACACGCAAATTGAGGAGCTCATTCTTGAGCTCATCCAATTGCTTGGTGAGCTCCTTCTTGTCCTTGGTTCTCAGCTCGGAGCACTTGACCTTTACCTAAAATTAATGAGGCAAACATTCGTCGAGTTATTAGTTATTCAGATAAGCACACAAAAAAATATAATTATCAACACGAATTAGGAATTGGTGTCTTTGTGTTTTACACATTTTTTTGATATATTATGCACGGATGTTTGTTATTTTCATAGATTAGTTTTCACGCTAAATTCGGCACCAACCATTTTTCTCGCTGGTCACGTCAAAAAAGAAAGAAGGAACGATAACTAGTTGACGTGAAAACGATTTCGGAGCCACCCAATGAACCAGCGCACTGGTTCAAGTTCCATGTCATCGAATCGTGTCGCTTTGGTTCTTTTTGTTCTAGATGTATAGGAATGCTAAAACTAACACATATATGCACTCAATGTTTTATACGAATATTTACAACAAATTTTACCATATCCATGTGGTAATATAATGAATCTTCTTCGACAAAAAGAAAATCGATGCAAAGAATCGGTTCATTCTGAGCTGCAATTTCGACGTATCGAACTCATTGTGGCGTCGAGCCATGTAAACAATCTCGGAACCTTCTCTGTCAAAGATTTACTGTATAATTAGGTTCGCAATTGTTCAACAAATAAGGAGCCAATGAGTTATTTAAGGGAAAACAAGGGAAATATTAATTGATAACAATGGCTGATAGGGCTATCAAGCTGTTAGTCATCGGAGAAAGCGGTGTGGGCAAATCCAGGTATGTTATATATGTATTTATTTCTGTGTCCCAAACCTGCTGCGTATATTCCATATACGCACAGATATGCTCATATGTATATACTGACGAGATATAAGCGAGAGTTTTAACAGCTTGAATCATATTTTGCAAACAGCTTAATACGGCGCTTTGTCGAGAACAAATTCGACGAGAATCATGACGTCACAATCGGCATGGACTTTAAAAGCAAGGTGATGAATGTCGACGGCACTGACTACAAAGTAGCACTCTGGGACACTGCGGGAGCCGAAAGGTTTCGCAGTCTAACACCGAGCTTCTATCGGAAGGCTCTTGGCGCCATCCTGGTCTACGATATCACGAACCGCGACTCCCTGGTCAAACTCGAGGCCTGGCTCGCCGAGCTGGACAGCTACAGCGATAATCCTAACATAGCCATAATCGTTGTGGGCAATAAAATCGACCAGGAGCGTGTTGTGGATCGGGAGGAGGGGCGCAAGTTTGCCCGAAAGCATCGTGCGCTTTTCATAGAGACCTCGGCCAAATGCGACCAGTTCGTTAGTGATGTGTTCAAGGATATTGTCGAGAAGGTAACTGATTCCACGGTGAAGTGGAAGGTATTTTCCATATGTACACATGTCCAGATATAATCAATTGTTCCCTTTCAGATTGTATCCTCCGAGTATTTTGGCAATGGAAATGGGTCCAATGGCATGGATATTGGCAATGGCAATCAAGATCGGGAGGAAACTGCATCGACGTGTTATTGTTGATGTCCGTGTGTTTTAGCCAGATGTTATGTGTGCTTTGTCAAATGTTTAGCCTGTATTTTCTTAATCGTTTCAATATCATTAGCATAAAGTCAACCCAACCATTCAACTTGTTTCGCCTATGAAGCCCATGTTCGTTCGTACACTCGAACGCATTGGCCTGTAATGAACGCAAAACTTAAATAGTTTCATAGAATAATAAAAAGAATAACTGTCAATCCTTATTGTTAAATGCAGGAAAGTTTACATCGGCCCGCCAAAGTTTATTCGCACATGTAGTGCAATAACCAATTGAAGTTTTTTTATACTGAAATCGAACATTTGTCTACCCGTAAGCTTCTTAACAGATAACGCCCCTTATTACTAGATGGAAAGACAAGCAATTGCAAGCAGAAGCAGCCCACGACCCATGACCCACCGTTTTACATCTCTTCCTCCCCCTCGCATATATGAATGTATGTATGTGCATACATATGTACCGACGTACAAGGAACAAAGCCGATGAAAAGAAACGCTGAATTGGTTTTTATACTTAGTGTGGAATGTAGTTTAGGCTTGGCGAAGATTATAAACCCTTCAAGTTAGACCCTCAATACCCCGAGCAGGCATTATGTTAGGAAAACATTCACATTTATATCATATCAGCTGTCATCCAGATGATAAGCGGTCTGATCTTGGCGCGATCTTACTGGATTACATATGCATAGGTACATATGTATGTATGTACATATGTATGAAAGCACTCATTAATTCAATGTAGACGATTGCTTGGAGTACCTGCATGCAACTGCGTTTTTCTCACGGCTGCTCGACAGAATCCTTATTTTGCAGCTATTCATTGCAGTATACATTGTGATCTGATTTATACCAATGCACATGTGAGTGATTATTTGGCCTTACATATTTATGCGAGTATTGTGAGAAGAGCTTGGAGCATGGCTATTTATGCTAGTCAAGAATAGGGCGAACAGGGCATACAATGGTTTTAATATTCATTGACGTTTGCATCTCCTTAACATATGGGCAGTTCCTATCTGGCGTTACGTTACATTCGTACGACAAAATGTTGAAAAATATAGTCAAAATGCCGAAATTTGGAAAAAGCATCTATATTCACAAAAAAAAATTGGAAAATTCGAGCATACGGATTTAAAGATATTAGCCAAAATATGACCTAAAATTGCGTTACATAAAACACAAGTGGTTTTCGAGCGACGTTACCAAATTCCGCGATTATAAAAGCCTAAAAATATACTGTTAGCCGAGGTTGGACAAACGTTCTGATAATTTTTTAGGTAGTTCAATATGTTAGAAAGACTTTAAGGAGAAACTTTTATCAAGAATCATCTTTTTCCTAGGAGATATGGTAAAAGAAAACATGTCTATACAAATACCAGAAAATACCAAAAACGTGAACTTTTGCTTATTTTAATAGGTTTTAGCATGAAAGTTAATAAAATTATATGTCAATAAAGTAAATTACCTTTCAATAAATTTTGGAAAAAAATATCCGGAAAAAATTATATGGAAATCGGTTTTTATTGACTTTTCATGATTTTTGGCCTGGCGGAACTGCCAATATGTACATATGTAGGTATGCATGTATAAACGTGTAGGAACGAAACCCAGTTGCAAAGTGATATCTGATTAAATATTAAAAGAATACGCTTGGATTATTATTAATAACCAGTCGTAAAGTTTAGGGAACTCAGTTTGTACGTATTTGAATTTATGCATATGTATATGTATATCATCCCACCATCGAGATACCATCCAGTCGTTATATCTCGCTCGTTATATTTAGCTACTAGACGCCGAGCGCATGGCAGGGGAGTCTCGGGAAATGGTTGTCTTCATTCTGGCCATAATAATATTCCGATCTGATCCAAAGGTCACATTTTGTTAGATGATCACGTTTTCTTCTCCCTCATAATCCAAGCCAAACATATATAAAGTTGATAATCGCTTCTTCCTTTAATTCTTCGTTTTTTATTTATATGAAATTTCCTTTTTCTTTCAAGTCAAAATGTTCTTTCTTGAAGTACTTTATGAAAAAAAAACATAGAGTAAATTGACTTCATTGCCAATAAAGGAAATTAGGTAGGATGTAGAATAGCAACAAAAGTCCAATCGGCATGACAGTTTAGGGTAATTTTAAGTTTAAAATTTAAAACGAAGGTGCACTGTAATATATGTATTATAATAGTACGACATCCCCTTTTCCATATACACGGAAAAATAACCTTAAACGGTCACGCTGACTGAAATTTTCATGGGTTTACGACATTGTACGGGTTTTCGTACGGCTAGTTTTTGCTTCTGCTCTAAGTTTTTGTTTGTTTTGCTTTGAGTTAGAGTGTATTTACATTTATCGGCGATTAAATGTAGCAATTACCGCTATCGCTAACAAGGTGGATTGGATTGAGAAATCGTTGAGGATGCGCTATTGCTTTAGAAAGAAAGAGAAGGCTTATAAAACACAGCTCGACATTTGGCCGCAACAATTCCCGGAGCTTGCCCTGTATTTACATTTTGTAGTCGTATAGGTTCCGTAAGTGTAACTTAAGATCTATCCACGTATATCGTTCGTCTTTCCTACAGCGAAGATCTGATCGCGATCCGGTGGCTGCTTCTACTTGCCCGAAATGCCACTCTTTTTGGCATCCAGTTCGTATATGAGCAGTCGCCACATTTTTACTACAAACACCTCAGCTTCCTCATCCAGTACCTGCAGGAGCAGCAGTCAGCACCGCATAAAAGTGAGTGAGAGTGAAAGAGAAAAAACAAGAAAATGAAATGAAGCTTGGATTAGTTTTCAGTTGAAGCTAAGCGTCTCAAAGGAGAGCTTACCATTTGCACATCGTCCAGGATGCTCTGGGGCTGACTGCCGGCCAAAACTTTGGAACATATAAAGTCCACTAAAGTTGGCTCCGGCTCACCGATATACTCAATGATTTTCTTATTTATCCATGGACGTATTTTTCGTTCCATTAGACCGCTATCGATCTCGTTGCGGTCAAGTTTATAATTAAATAGTTCCTCCTTTTGCGTGGGTATCCTGTCAATAATGCTTTTTATATGGCGCCGTTTTTCATCATACACCTTTGCACCATTCTCATCCTTTTTGGTGTTTGTCGCGGCAGCATCTGCGCTGTTGGTCGCAGATGCAGCTGCATCATTCTTACCGTGTTTGCTACTGTGATGTTTGCCGCCTGATTGGCTGCCGGCATTTGCGCTGCTGTTGTTTTTCCCGCCGCTCCCACTCCCGGACGACGCCGATCCGGACCCAGAGCCCCCGCCAGCTTGGGCTATCTTCTGGCTAACAGCAGCGGCGGCAGCTGTAGCGGCGGACACGGCAGAGCTCTGTCGCTCCGCTGCAGTCATAGTGCTGCTGTTCCCAACGCTGCCGACTTGATGATCGTTCTCATTGCTCATGTCGTCGTAATCTTTGTACGGGGTGGAATAAAATGTTAGGGGCAATGATTCATATGTGAAAATCCCATTCTGTCTTGTCTCACCTAGTGGAACCAGCTTGCGCTTCTTGGGGTTGATGTTCTCGTCGTTATCGTCGTCGTTGACGAAGACTCCGGTGGCCTCGATCTTCTTTTTCTTGAGGTTGTTGCCCAGAGTGAGCGAGATGAGCGGCATGGTTATAGGGGGAGTGGCTGAGGGGACCATGACCGAATCGTTCCCAGGGGCCAGGTCATTCATGGCACTCTGAGAAGGCGTGTGGATGTCGGCCACCGACAGTGAGTCCCTGGACTCACTGTTCTGCCGGCTTAAGCTGTTTTGACGCGACGGCGACTTCTTGTTGTTGTTCTTGGCATAGGCACTGGCATTGGAGGCAGTGTCGGCCATGGAGCCATGATCATCATTTGATATGGAATCATCGTTGTGTTCAGCCATGTCTGGATCGTAGGCCACCATCTCCTTGCGGCGCTTCTCCACCGATATCAGTGTGGAGTCCTGATTGTCAGCCCCTGTCGCAGCTCCTGCAGCTGTGGCCTGCTTAGTGAGGCGATCGCGCTGGCCGGTTACCGGCTCTTGGTTAACGGTTACAAGAATGCGCGGTTCGTACAGTTTCTCGATTTCGCGGCGGGCCTTCTCGTATTCCAGCGAAGGATTCTCGAACTCACCGCTAAAGATTTTGGTCTTCAGCTCGGCCAGTTCGTCCGCCTCCTTTTCCCGGTCCTTAGAATCTGCATCCGCTTCGCGAACGCGCTCTGCCAGACGCTGCTGGAGCTCCCGTCCTTTGTAGTACAGCGGGTCGTCGCGTTCATCGTCGTAGTCTTCGACGAACTCTTTCAGGCGCTTGGCATCGCTCTCGCGCTCCTCATGACGCATAACCTCCTTCAGGCGGTACTGTCGAAAGAAAGAATGAGACCAAATGAAATATTGCAAAAGCGTATGGTGATACTCCTTTCTACCTTTTCGTTCTCCTTGGACTTGCGCTTCTCGCGCATCTCCCAGTTGGAGAGGCGCTGCTGGTAGGCGATTTCCTTTTCGCGGGCTTTCTTTTCGGCCTTCTTGCGCTCACGCGTTTCCTCCTCCATTTCCTTCTCGCGACGCAAGTCGCGCACTGGCTTGAGGATCTTCTCCTCGCGCTCGCGCTCTCTGTCCCGCTCTCGTTCTCTTTCGCGGTCTCGCATTTCATTACGCTCCCGTTCCCTTTCTCGCTCCCGGAGCTCGACACGCTCCCTCTCCCGTTCACGTTCACGCTCCCGCTCGCGTTCACGCTCCTTCTCACGGAGCTCACGCACTTCCCTCTCCCTGTCTCGCTCTCTCTCACGTTCGCGCTCGTGATCCTTGGAACGGGACTTGGAGCGGCGACGTCGGCTCTCCTTCGCTTCGGGACGTCGCTCTTTCTGTGTTATATCGATGGTCACGGGATCCTTGCGGCTGCTGCCACTGCGAACCGAGACAGAAGCGGTACTGGAGCCAGTAGCAGGGGCAGAGGAGCCAGTGGCAGGGGCGACTGAACTGGGTCCAGTCGAGGCAGGTGTTGTCACATCCTTTTCAACGATCACGACAACGTCGTCTTCGGTGGCGCTGGCTTTTCTAGTGGAAGATTTGCGCTCGCTGTCACGCTGCTGCTTCTTCCGCTCTCTGTCACGCTCCTTCTCCTTACTGGCGGCCAGCTTCTCCTTTTCCTTCTCTTTCTCCAGCTCCTTGCGATGCTCATCGGCTTCCGCACGTTTGCGAAACTTACCGATCTCGCTGCTTATCAGATTACGTTTCTCTTCCTCCAGTGCATTTTCGTTGAGGACCTTGATCTTGATGTCATCCTCCCGACGGGTCTTCTTGTTGCGGTTGCTGCTGCCATACAGATCACCGCGAGTGCTGCCATCGAAGCCTTCGAATTCGTGCTTGTGCTCTTCGAGCAGATCCTGCATCTGGTTGACGGCGCGTTCGTCTTCAGTCTTTTCGTCCACAGCATTCGCTCCCTCCCCATTCTTGCATTCTTTCTCCTTGTAGTCCTCGATGAGTACTTTATTCTTCGCATCCACCTTGGCCACCAGTTTCTTGCCGTCGATTTCCATCTCGCTGAGCAGGCGAACGGCCCGCATCGCCGCAATAGGGCCACTGAAATAAGGCAAGTTGCTGTTAAAGGTGTGTGTATCAGATAGCTCGCACCAATCACCAATGACAGACAGATGAGATAGAAGTGAACTTTAAGTGTTTCCATTAAGGAGCAATCGTTCAGTTCACTGCTACCTTGCGTTTGTCGAATCATTGCGACAACATACTCAAACTCGCAGAATCCGAATGTGGAGACGCGCTTCCAGTTGATGACCATGCCGCATGTGGCGAGGATCCGTTTCAGCAGAGCTTCAGGGACCCGTTCACTTATGTTGCCGACGAACACGGTTATGATTGGTCCACGGAACTGAGGCTGTGGCTCCGGCGGGCGGTGATATACTGTCGGTTGAGAGCTGATTGTGGCAGAGTTGCGAAAGCTGCGAGGCGGATTGCCCATGGACTGCATCATCTGCAAACACAGTTGGAATCAACCATATCAGTGCTGTTGGCCGCAATGGTCGATGGAACTACAGGTTTTACTTACGTGTGGCGGCGGAATAGACGCATTCATGTAGGGCGGCATTGGAGCACGAGGTGGATAGGACATTTTGCCGACTTTTCTTTGCTTTCAGCTTTTCTATATATTTTCAAAATGTTGGCGTGCGTGCAAATATAAGCCGACAAAATACACACACACACAGTTAAATGCAACCACACACAGTCACACGACAGCGATACGCGCAAACGCCACACAAGAGAATGTGTGTTGTGATGTCGGAAAGCTTTACTCCACTGTATAACTGAAAGTGGTGGCAAAGTTAATCGGCCATTGACTTTACACTAAATTTCTTATGAGTGAGCAACTCTTTTGTACGCATACGAAACTACACGCCAAATTTATTTAATTGATTTTCGCTCAAACGTTGAACTGAACCCAATTTTTTGAGTAGTAGCGACTCACTCAACTTACTTTAATTTACAGCTGTACTGTACTACAGCGACGCCGGCAGCGCTGCCTTCCGTGACTGCGTTGATATATTCCTCGGTTTTGATATTCGGCTGAGGATTACTTGCTAGATGGAGTCTTCAGTACCAATCATATAATATTCGAGGATAAATGAATAAATTTCTCAAAAGATTTACTAATTTAAAGTACTCATTTTTATTGGATTCTTTATAAAATAAGGTTAAATCAAAAAAGGTTTGTTCAAACATTAATTTTTACTAACATGGTAACTACACATTTGCTACATATTAACTACATATGTATATGTATATTTCGAAAGAGACACTGACGAGGAAATGTGTACGTTTCCCAGATGGATGGTGGAATTAAGCCTAGTACTCAGACGCGCTAAACTTTCCGTCAGCCTAAAGCCTAGTACTCAGATCGAAAAAACCACCTAGCGAACAGAATCAGGGTTGATATTCGTATGAAACCGATAAGAAATGTTTTACGGCAAAAACTGTTTTCTAGGCTCTGTACGGAAGGCAGTACTCAGATCGAAAAACAAAAAGGTCGGTATATACTGGACAAGTATCCGAAGTATTTGCTTGTGTTTTTGGTATGTTTAAGCCTAGTACTCAGTTCGAAAATCTGTTTGCTAGCAAGCAGATGTCATATATTTTTCGAGCGACCAGTGGTGTGACCAGAGGTATGCACTGCATTCCGAACGGTTACACTGCTCAGACCGCTGCTTGGTTTTGTTTAAAGTTAACAAAATGCACTTCTTCGGCTGGGGCCGCTCTTCCCCAGGCATATCCTGGGCTCCCCAATATTTTATTGGCAAGGTAATGTGTCTGACTATCAGCAGCAGTAGATGGCGACGCCTCCCGTGCCGGACACCGTGAAAAAAAAATGTTTTGAAAACAATATTTGTTTTATATATATGAAAATTAATAAAAATAATAAACTATAATATCCATATAATTGTCATTCATATAATACTGCATTAGCTAGATTCTATTTTTCTTCATTATTAAAATATTTCATTTGGTTTGTTGTTCTCTTATTGCAATGTTTGCTGGCAAATTATATCAAATTGATATCTTTTTCGAGGTGGGTCGTACAGAGCCTAAAAAACAGTTTTTGCCATAAAACATTTTTTATCGGTTTCATACGAATATCAACCCTGAGTCTGTTCGCGAGGTGTTTTTTTCGATCTGAGTACTAGGCTTTAGACCCACCTCGAAAGTTATATCAATTTGATATATTTGGCCAGCTTTAGACAAAAAACCAAATGAAATATTTTATTGAAACAGTTATATCAATTTGATTTATATTTTTTAATTTCAAACACGAATTGCACAAAATCTTGCTGCTGCTGATAGTCAGACACATTACCTTGCCAATAAAATATTTGGGAGCCCAGGATATGCCTGGGGAAGAGCGACCCCAGCCGAAGAAGTACATTTTATTAACTTAAAAAAAAACTAAGCAGCTGTCTGAGCAGTGTAACCGTACGGAATGCAGTGCACACCTCTGGTCCCACCACTGGCCGCTAGAAGAATATATGACATCTGCTTGCTAGTAAACAGTTTTTGGATCTGAGTACTAGGCTTAACTCTCAACTCTCTACACTTTTTACAGTTCAAGTGTATTCATCGATATATATCAGTGTTATGTGATTTTTATACGTTAATAGCCCTATAAATATATAAACAAAACAAAATGCGAGTTAATAACTTGCTGAGATTCCGCACCACTTCTCTGCAAAGGTGCAGCATCAAGCAGCAATATGTGCCGGAGCACAAGCCTGCGCTGGACGATGATATAAAGCGGCTGGAGGATTTTTTGCTCTCGAAACCAAATGTTGTAGTATTGACCGGGGCTGGAATTTCAACTGAATCAGGTGATTTGCTTATATTAATGACAAATATTCAACTCTAGTTGTACGCAGAACATTCATGAAACTCCTGTTGCTTTCGCCAGGTATACCCGACTACCGTTCCGAGGGTGTTGGCCTTTACGCCCGTACCAACCACAAACCCATACAGCACATGGAGTTCCTAAAATCCTCTAACGTACGCAGACGCTACTGGGCGCGCAACTTTGTGGGCTGGCCTAGTTTCTCTAGTAAACAGGCCAATGCGACACACCACGCTCTGTCTCGCTTCGAGCGCGAACTGCGCATTCAGTCTGTGGTCACCCAGAATGTCGATCGTCTTCACACCAAGGCTGGCACCAAGAACGTGGTAGAACTTCATGGTAGTGGTTACGTGGTAAAGTGCCTGTCTTGCGAGTATAGCACTGATCGTCATGAGTTTCAGAACATATTGGCCTCCCTAAATTCGACGTTCAGCAATGCGCTTGAAATGATCCGCCCCGATGGTGATGTGGAGATTCCTCTCGATTACATAGAAAACTTCCAAATACCTGACTGCCCGCAGTGCTGTGGCGATCTCAAGCCAGACATTGTGTTCTTCGGTGACTGCGTGCCCAAGCAGCGCATCGATCAGATCGCTAAAATGGTGTACAATAGCGACGGATTGCTGGTGCTTGGTTCTAGTCTGCTGGTTTTTTCCGGCTACCGCATCGTTCTGCAGACGAAGGACCTCAAGTTGCCGGTGGCGATTGTAAACATTGGAGACACACGGGCCGACCACTTGGCCGACATCAAAATTTCGGCAAAATGCGGCGATGTGATACCCAAACTGTTTGACTTTCGCAAGAGCGGCTCGGCCAAGAGCACTAGCTAGAATATGTTCTACCCGCCGCCACAATAAGCTTAGAAGGTTTTTTTTTGTGACAGGGACACTGCTATAGTATCAAAAAAGTTGTATGTACATATGTATTTACCCCGAAAAATTACAACACCTTTATGTTTGAGGATCGACTTTGGCAATAATGGCGAGATCTGTATCTGCCATCAGCTGGTTCTATATGGCCCCAGGAGATCTCGTAAATTTGATGGGGCATGATATTCCGGTGCTGCCGAACTCGTAGATAATCAAGTAAAAGAATGGATCTTTCGGACAGGACTTCCACAGACCAAGCGTAAATATTCCTGATCAGGCTGGGGATTTGTTTTTTAGTGGCCATATCATAGTCGCTTCTACAAAAATGTATGTACACATTTTCAGAGCAGCCTGACATTGACTCTAAAAGATGGCTGCTGGGATGCGATCATCCCAGCTGCCGACGTCAGCACAGAAAAATTTGATAGCTATGTATGCACTGTTTTTATTTATATTTTCTGGACTTTTATAGAAATGGCAGCATCTCTATTGTACGATCTGAAATTTGAAATATGTCCTGGTGCGAAATCATTTGTTTTCCCATTTAGTGTGCTGTGAATGTCAATTATTTAGAGTAGTATTTGAAAACTATCGGGTAAATATCGTATTGAAACATGCTGACCAGAACATCCCAGGTGGATGCCGGAATAAACTAGCATTTTTCGGACAGCCAGAAATTACGAAATATATCTCAGAATAGAGAATTTATAGTATTATATCAACTATTGACTATATTTTGACAAGTAAATTTCTGCGCAAAATACCGATATGTCGCGTAAGGAATAGAGGTGGAGAAACATCGATGTTCGTAGACATCGATGTTTTAAAAAATAGAAATTTTTTTTCTGTACATTAAATTAATTTAATTGATAAGATTTGGTTCATTTTATAACAAAATAAAAAGCTTTATTCGTAAAAGCGAAAAAAAAACAAATTCAATGAGATCAAAATACAAAACTTATTCTATAAGTTTAGCAGAAAATGGTTTGGTTCTTATTGATAAACATAAGTTTATCTACGACAATAACTTTAATTCTGGTACGACGGTCCGATATGATCTGTCCAGCCTTGCTGAAAGTCCTTTCGGACTCGCACGATGTTGCCACACATCCACCGACGTTGCCTACACCAGCAGTTGAATATCTGAAAACATCTAAATACTGTGAATAATTCAATTTATAAATATATTCTTAGTAAGAATTTCTCTTCTCATACTTTACTTAAGCCTAGTACTCAGATCGAAAAACTGTTTGCTAGCAAACAGATGTCATATATTTTTCGAGCGACCAGTGGTGTGACCAGAGGTGTGCACTGCATTCCGTACGGTTACACTGCTCAGACAGCTGCTTAGTTTTTTTTTAAGTTAATAAAATGTACTTCTTCGGCTGGGGTCGCTCTTCCCCAGGCATATCCTGGGCTCCCAAATATTTTATTGGCAAGGTAATGTGTCTGACTATCAGCAGCAGCAGATGGCGACGCCACCCGTGCCGACCACTGTGAAGACAAACTGTTTTGAAAGCAATATCTGTTTTATGGTTATGAAAATTAATAAAAATATTAAATTATAATATCCATATAATTGTCATTCATATAATACTGCATTAGCTAGATTCTATTTTTCTTCATTATTAAAATATTTCATTTGGTTTTTTTTTTCTCTTATTGCAATGTTTGCTTCGTGTTTGCTGGCAAAAGATATCAAATTGATATCTTTTTCGAGGTGGGTTGAAACATACCAATACTTCTGATACTTTTCCAGTATATACCGACCTTTTTGTTTTTTGATCTGAGTACCGCCTTCCGTACAGAGCCTAGAAAACAGTTTTGCCGTAAAACATTTCTTATCGGTTTCATACGAATATCAACCCTGATTCTGTTCGCGAGGTGTTTTTTTCGATCTGAGTACTAGGCTTAAGCACTAACCATACAGTATACTGTACTGTATACAGTATGGCTTAAGGTATACTTAAGTACTTGTTAAAATGACCGGCAACTCCATTCGGTGCACAAAATTTTTCGGTAAATCGTGGTGGTTTTAAAAAATTTGCTCTCTTTTACGTGGTGTAAGCCACATGTATTTAACGGGAACGTTGCAAAAAATGAATCTACTTGATTGTTATTATTAATGATTTTAAAATTATCAATGGATATTTTTGTGTTATAGCCTTTTTACACTGGGCGCGTCTGCTATCGATATCGGAATAGACGCAATGAAGCAGAAAAGGCGTTTACATTGGCAGACGTGCGTCTTGAATTTTGATTTGGGTGCTTGATGACAAGGAAAGTAAACAAATTTTGAGAAATCAACAGAATTATGCAAGACGACAAGAAAATGGACGAACGAGAATTGATTCTTATATTTATTTATTATTTTCAGACATTTCTTTGTAGAGTTTGTGGGAGTTCTTCTTCAAATTATGAAAACCATCGAAGTTCGTCTCCAGCAGTGTCATAATGGCATCAGGGGTAACGGTAACCGTTACTTTTTTTAACGTATTTTATATCGAAAGGTATTTTTTGGGTACAAAAAGAAAATTTGTATAATTGTATATCAAATACATATTAAACTTAAGCAAGTAGTAGCTAAAAATAATATTAAAAATAAAGTAACAGTAAAATAGTAGAGTTGACAGTAAAAAATAAATTTTAATCCTAATCAGGATCCGTCCCTGGGGTCTGTCAACCTCAGGTTATAGATGGAAACGTATCAGACATAATTTCTGGACAGAATACGTTTATCATCACCAATAATTGCCGCATTGGGGTTCGGGATTCTTCGTATCTCTTTATCAAAATTTCAACCATTTTTCATTGGTTGGTGCTGTTTATTGGGATTTTCTACTCTTTTGGGAAATTAAATTCTAAATGTTGCTCGAGTACATGGTAGAAATCTTATGTTTTAGGTGGGACCGGGATATATGTCTACACAAAACACAAATCAAATGCATGAATAGGTAAAAACCATATCAGTCTAAGAAAAATTCAATATTAATATTTTAGAGCCGCTTGGAGCAACAAATTGAACATTAATTAAAGTAAATAAGGTGTAAATTGTATACTACACGACCCTATTATGTAAGCAACCCAATAAAAAAGGAGTTCTGAAAACTAGCCAGTCTTGTACAATGTTTATTGATGAATTGGATAAAATTTGTTGTTTAGGCCTGAGAGGGCTAACTAGCTAGTAATATTAAACCGAATATCAAAATCGAGGAATATTAACGCATCTTGTCCTATCCGTCAGTATATTTATGGTATATTTTGATAATAAGATATATTTCGCTATATTTCTGAGGCGGTATATTTTATCGATAAGTCCACGGTCGCACTGGCCGAAACTAACAAGAACAACAACATATTTTAGGTTGTTATTAATTAAAAACTGAAAAAATGGCATACGACTTAAAAAAGGAGTCAGATGTGAAGGAGTATATCGACAAGCTGGGCGTGGAGTATCGATTTGGCTGTTATTCGGAGAGGAAACCGGAAGGTAAACACATAAAAACAGTAAAAACAACTCTGTTATAACCTATGTTACTGGGCTCAACTATTTTAATTACAAAACAAATCGTGACCTGAGATAACACCTACATATGTATATGCGTACACTTTAATCGCAGCTTGCCACCTGCTAGGCGACTATCTTGAGGGCATCAAGAAGGACTTCGAAAAGGCGTCAAAGGTATACAAATCAACATGTGACGATTATGGTTACGCAAAGTCCTGTTATAAGTTTGGCAACTATAGCATTCTGGGCAAGGGTAAAAGCGGAAGCAAGGGCGAACCCCGAGTGGCGTACCAGTACTACGAGAAGGGATGCAACTTAAACGATTCCGATGCCTGTCTCCACTCCGGCCTGTTGCTTGTCTCGCGCTCCATGCCCAAAGAGATCGACAGAAATGTGCCGAAGGTGAGTTGAGTACGATCTAAAGATGATGTCTGACTATCTCTTACTAATTATGCAGGGCTTGGAGTTCCTCACAAAGAGCTGCGACATGAATAATGCAAACGCCTGCTTCTATTTGTCCGGCATGCACATCTCTGGCGTTCAAAAAAGGACAGAGCCAGGTACCCTGGTTGCGAGCAGTGGACCCACGCCCGCCAAATCGCTCAAGGACTCCGATTACATTGTGCTCAAAGACATGAAGAAGGCATTTCAGTTTGCCTACAAGGCGTGCGAGTTGCGCAACGTGTACGCATGTGCCAACTTAAGCCAGATGTACGCCCGCGGCGACGGCATCGAGAAAAACGAGAAAGAGGCTGAGAAGTACAAGAAGCTAGCCCTGGAGATGCAAGAGGAGATCAAGAAGCAGCAGGAAACGCTCGGCTTTCAGCAGGGCGTCGGCATGCCAAACTGATTCAACACTAAATATATTTCTATGCGTGTTTCGTACTGCAGTAAAATCAAGCACTATCTACTCAACAGTTAGCAATTACCATGCTTCTGTTTCTTCCCTCACTTAGTTCAATGTATCGTTTTCGTGTTTTTTTTTATTTTTATTTTTTTTCACTTCCCTACTTTCATCTTCAATCTGACCATTGTGGTTCTACAAAATAGCAACTGTTTTTAGTTTCAGTGTACATAGGCGGCATGTGCGTTTTTGGCATGTGTACGGAAATGAGCGCGAAGCGAACGACGGAACAAGATCGGCGCTGAGCAATCGAAGACAACAAAATATTAATTCCTAGATTTAATTGTTACTGTTATCAAGAATGAAACTAAAACCCTTATATAATTCTGTTGATACCCCTATATTAAATACAAAAAAAAGTCCAGCCAGGACCATAGACCAAACTTCGAGGTAAACTACCTTTTCCGTGTTTGTACATATTTTATCTGCTCTTCACAGAAATATATACAATCAAAAAGACAACAAAGCACTGGTGATTTATGGAACGCATGCTCAATTATCTTTATTTGCGATCGCCATTTGCCGTGACTGTTACGCGTGTTCAATTTAAAATCTATTTGAATGTATATGTGAATACAGTGCGACACAAAACTGTACCACAGATCAAAGCCAGCGGCGATATTTATTATCTACCAAGAGATTTATTAACTTGAGTTATTTTTCAAGTTAACTTTGATAGCCCACGGTATTCATTTAGTCAAGAATCGTATGTTTATTGATCTCTGCTAAAATAAATGGGTTCTCCGTATATAAAATATTAAATTACATACATACATACATACGTATGTAGATATACATTTTTAATTTAATTTATAAAATAAAAATCTCTATCAAGAAAGTGCGACCAGTTTAAGAATTTATGTTATTTTAAGTGCACTTTCGAAACGAAAATATTATCAAACAAAAATAATATTAATGGAACAAATTGAATTACCCAATGATACCCACATGGTAGGGAATAATCTATTCGCAAAGAATGTTAATAGAAATACACTCCAATGCATATCTTTTATAAATTCCTTATCCTATGTGTACATACATGTACACTTAAATAAGTAGATATTGGACACAATAGAAGTTGTAGAAATGTAATTTGATTTGCATAGATAGCTAGTCGCAAAGACATCCCGAAAATCGCTACGTCTGGTGTGGAGTGCAGTATTTTCATCTTCTTCCTCATTCTGTGCTGGCTTATCGGACGTATTAAATTTAGAATGCTTAAAACTAAAGTCGAAAGACTTTTTAGGCCAGTAAAAATGATATGTTTCTGTTATTATGATGGATTCTTTTGTAGCCTTAGCGCTTTTTGAATTGGGGGAAGTGAACAAAAAAACCCCCTTATCAGCTTATCAAATTTGAGTTGAGCAGAAATCCCACTGCATTCACACATTGCATACATATATTGTTTTTGCATTCTCGGTCTGGAGGCTAGGTGGGGCACAGCTGCGCATACCTAACACGGTGGTTTTGTTTTTGGATTCCCGAGAACGAGCCTTGGACGCAAAGACCGCTTTTTACAGCTGTCTTACATTTTTGAGAAGCACTGCCTTTTCGTGTATATTTGTAACCTTAGAGAACTTGACAATCGTCTGATCTACTGTCTATTTTAATAGATTGAGGCTTAATTAATAACGCTTTTGTTCAATTAGTGGCTGCTTAGTTAGAGGCGTCCGCCAACATCCTCAACACGCTCGCCCTAGCTGCTCGTGGGCTTATTCATATCTCGCCGCAACGGTAAACACAGACAGTGGAACCTGGCACGTAAACTTAAATAAATTTGGAAAGCCAAAAATAGTACGATTAGTATTCTGTTTGGGGAGCCCTTCTCATGTCCGAGAATCCTGATAAGGGTGCATAGGAGAAGATGATGTGGCGATGAGCAATCGTCATTTGGATATCCCTGTGGAAAAGTCGGCACGAGTTGGCGCATAACTCCAATTAGTTGATTTGATCGCTCTAGCATGACTCGACCTTTGGCTATTGGATGCCATAAAAGAGATGAACGTAAATACATACATACATACATACAGATATACATATGTATGTACGTACATACCTACTCTGACAAAAGGTAAAACGCTCGCGAACAATGCATTGGAGAATCCCGCCCCCACAAACACACATGAAAAGCATTACACACATCACAGTAGAATACCATGCAATCTGTTCTTGAATGAATGTTTGTATTAGTATAAAGTTAGTTAAACGGTATTACAGTTGCCCATGCCTATAAACATTTGCCTGTTCATACATATGTATATGTATGTACATGCATATGTATATACCACACAGCGATTGCTTGCTTTATAGAAAAAAATCAGGCTTGGCGCTCGGCTTGGACTAAAGCGCTCTAAACACCGATTCAAAATCAGTTTACTGTCAACGTCGGCGGCATCAAGACAATACACACAATAATATAAGCCAAGCCAGATTCAAACTACAATAAAACTGGGAAAAGAACAGAAACAAACTAAGGCAGAGTCAATTTGGACACTAAATAAGTGGACATTTGTGGATAGTGCCCGCTCTCAAAGCACATAAGAACGAGTCCGAGATTGATGCTAACGAGTATCAACACGCGAGTGAGCGCCAATTACGGAAACGGGCAACGGAACGGAGAGAATCCAAACGAAACGAGAAGCTTCGAAACGGGATCTGTGATTGGAGATTCGCAATTTTCATATTTTTGTTGTTGTGCGCTAGTCAGTGAGAGTGTCAAGAGCAATAAAACGCGAAACGGAAAGAACAAATAGAAAAGGCAAGCATTATTTCTGCTTTTTTTTCTAAATTTCCCTCCATTACTTTTGTTTTTTGCCTTTAAAGCAGCGATGACCAGGCCGAAGCAGATCGTCTGGCCACTGGCACGAGCCGAACGGCGAGCCGAAGTGGTGGGCAGAGAGAAAGCCCTGAATCTTTTTGTCGTCTGCCTTTGGGCTACACTGGCAGATATTTTTCCACAAATTGAGATTTGAAATGCATTGCATGATTGAAGAAAATCAATCGAGCATGTGACAAATCATATTTTCCGGCAACTTCAATGTTGTGCTAAGCCAAACCAAGATTTGGTTAACCGATATTTATATTTGAAATTTGCCACCAGTGTTCAAGAAATGAGTATTTACCCATTTCAATTTCGATAACATCTAAACAAGATATTTAAGAATAACCATTATCATATGTATGTATGTATGTATGTATGTATGTACATATGTACATGCACACGTGTGCTTTCAATTAGAGATCGCTTTACTGGCCGGCTCAGAGATAGCCCCATTTCGAACACAGCTATGGCTGCTTGCAAGGACTTGGGGCCGAAGTAATTGTATTGTCATTGATTTTCCTGAATTTCTCACTTTTGTGGTCATCGCTGCTTTGCATTTAGCAATTTCGTATCAAATTGTTATTGTTATTGTTATCGACATTGCCCCCCACAGATCGACCGATTATCGAATAAAGCGAGATGCATTAAGCGAGCCAGAAAACTTCCAGAGTTGCGAACGAGTCCGCGTGCGTTTCTGCGCCTGTGTCCGTCAGCGTCCGAGAGTGGGCAAAGTACGTTCCAAACCGCGCCTTCGGTCTTAAATTTCCTGCTTCGCCGCCTTCCGCTCACCAGAGTGATTGTGACGTGCTTTTGGATCATCAGCAACAATTGAGATACATACATAGCTCTCGCTCGCACTGTTTGTCGGTCGTCGCTAGGCCGAGCTGAGTGTGTGCCAAAGGCAAAAGGCGGAATCCAACTATGTAAAAAAAAAACCAAAAGTACAGAAAGGAAAGGAAAGCAAAGGAAAGAAAGGGAAGTGAAGGAAAGCAAAGAAAAGAAAAGAAAAGAAAAGAAAAGAGAAGGAACAATACGAAACGAAAAGAAAAAATCAACACCATTGAAGTGGGAAGTGACAGAGATTGAGATTGAGATTGCGCTTCACATAACGGCGCATCGCAGTTTACGAGTGTCCATCACCACTACAACACCGTGCAGCAATGGAAGACTATTGGGGTCTTAGCAGCACTACGGGTACATACTAATTAGCCAGCTTTCTAAGCCTTACTACACTAAGCCTCTAATCAGAGGAACCAGCGGCAGAGCTCCGCTGCCGGATAAAACCTACCACAATTACCTGAAAGTGCCATCAATTAATTAGCAAATTTATTGAGCTTTATAACTACGACTACGACTACGACCACTGTATAACTATAGTGACTAAAAATGCCATCTAAAATCATTTACCGCTGATGCAAATGCAAATGGGAAATCTTTTGTTTTTTCTTTCTGTTTTGATGTTTTTTTGTGTTGGGGCACCAGCAGTGGCTAAGGAAATTATAAACAAAATCACTTAAGTTCAGATGGAATGCAATAATTTTAATTAAGTGTGCGTGTCCCTGTCGTTTTGCCTGTGAGTGTGTGAGTGTGTGAGTGTGGCTGAATTAGTGACGTCATATGCAAATACATAATTACAATTGTATGTATCCATACATATGTATGTATGCATGTACATATGTACATATGTTACATGCAAACATGTGCTGGAAGCCAAAGATCTAGCCTTTCGGTTTTTTCTGCACATTTCTCTTTGCCTTGATCCCACTCGCGCTCGCGCTCGCACTCGCACTCGCACTCGCACTCGCATACACATGCACTCCCATATGCATGCATGTACATCTGTGCATGGTATTTTGTATTTTGTATGCGTATGCGTATGCGTATGCATGTGTGTGTGTGTTTTTGTGCTTGTGTGCTTATGTGTTTGTGTGTTTGTGTGTGTATGTCGCTGGTCGCGTAAACTAAGGCATATGGATCAATTGTCTAAATTGGCTCATTAAGTGAATCTTAATGACATTTACTATGAACAGCCACAGCGACATCAACAACAACAACAACAACAACAACAAAAACAACAAAAACAACAACAAAAACTACTATTGCCCTGCCTTGGTGTTGTGTTTTTTAATAGTTATTTTCTCTATTTGTGTGGTTTCGTTGGTGAGGGGGGAGGGAGGATGTGGTGTTTGGCATCACCACTCGGCATCGCCAAAGGTTGTTTTTTTTTTTTGGTAGTAGGAGAGCATTTCATTAAAATTTCACAAATTTCAAGAAAAGTTCTTTAACCCTGGATGGTCATCCTCATTTGATGTACGTCTGATGTACACGCAAAAAGTAGTCGTTTTGACGATGTTATTCTTCGTCCACCCATCGAGGGTTAAAAAGGTCTTCAAATGCAAAATATTTCCTTATTTTCTTACTTAAATATTTTGTATTACTAATTTATTACTAAGCATCGTCAACCCATTGCGACAACTTCTATAAATTAATCCATTCAAAACCAGTATGAAATAGGGGTACCAATCCGTAGAGCAGTCGGCTTCCCTATCACACCAAATTGCACGCCAAAGCAAAGTAGACAAAACAAAAGAAAAAAGAACAAACGAAAAATTGTAAACGGATAGGCCAACCGCCATCGAATGCGTCTTTGTGGGCTAGCATTGAAGCGTAAAGACAAAACAAATTGTGGAGCAGAAAAAGCTCACATTTGTGGGACAGATTACTGTCAAACAAAAATAACCAAGCAGAATAGAGCAAATATTGGGACACTAGTTTTCCCTTATTTTTCTGCTCGTAACATTGGTTTGGTGCAGGCAAACGAAAGCCTGCAGCCAGACTCAGGGATGCTATTAAGTAAGACTCACTATCTAAAAATGGGAATCACTCACACAAAAACCGAACACACAGATATATGTATGTACATATGTACATGCATATGTATGTAGGTATGTATGTATGTATGTGCATAAATTTGTAGATATAGATACTTGTGTGGTTCTGTTAGTTGAGTTGTGCCGAGCTCGCACTGAATGTTTCCTTAAACGGTACACAAAAGTCATATTAAAAGGCATTGTCGCCGCGTTGATTCTTCCTTACTTATGTACTGAAATGAACTTACATATGGGCATTCACATGCGACACAAATAAGACACACAATTTGGTCACTCCCTCTGTGTGGGAAGCGAGAAGTGGTGATATTTTTCTATAAAACAATTGTGACGACGGGGCGTATACGTAATACACACTTATGCAGCCGCAGTCGAATTCTATTTAACATATGTATGTATGTATGTATGTATGTACATGTACAGTTAAACTAACTGTCAGTGCACATGGAGATCTGTTAATCAGCTTTGTTGTGCTTGTTATGAGTAAACCATATTTTTGGTCATCACAATCATCCTCCACCTATGTACATACATACGTGACGTCATAGTGACCTATACATATGTACGTACACATATGTATGTGTGAATGTGTATCTTTTGGGAAATCTGAAAAGTTGGAATTCGTGTCAAAATATCTCATATTCGAAATTCTACGTCCGCTTCTTCTCTCTCAAATCGAGTATTTAAATGGTTTGTTTTCCAGATGTTAGCTTGCGTTTTTTTCATATGATCTGACTATGCTACATATGTACATATATCTGGTTTTAAAGAACTTACTTACATATGCTGTATGCGAATAAAATACAAAACACAACAAACTAATTTATTTAGACTTCTTCGGAGTTTTTTGGTTCCAAATTTTTAAAACACGTATTTTTCATTTTTTAAATCTGAATAGACGGTGGGCTTAAGCGCTGCAACGGGACGGAAACGGGTAGCTTAGTCCCTGCCAATTTATTTCTTCATTCTGGCTATAATAATGATTCGATGTGATCCAGATCCGGCATTGCTTTTGATTATGATTTCTCGTATCTTTAAAATTGCGGATGTCACAGATTTTCGACCTTTGTGCGGGCGAAAGGGGGTGGGGAAAATTTTGAAATACATTTTTAACGGTGTGATATCACATGAGTCCGACAACAAAATTTCGTTGCTACAGCTCTTATAGTCTCTGAGAACTAGGCGCCAAACAAGACGTACGGACAGACGGACAGACGGACATACATACAGACAGAGATTGCTATATCGGCTCGGCTATTGAAGCTGATCAAGCTGATATATATGTATACTTCATGGGGTCGGAAACGTTCCCGTCTCTGCGTTGCACACATCCACTTAGACCACAAATCGAATATATGTACATATATGTACATACATACATATGTACTTTAACTCTCCGAGTGCGGGTAAAAAAAGACCGCACCGCCTCTTTTATCACTCCACCGATAAATCTCTTCCCATGAAAGTGGTGTCCTGAGCTCAAAAACAAATTCATTTAATTACACCTTGTAGATTTTGGTAAAATTTTGTTCCTGTTGAAAGAACGGACTCTCACATAAAGATCTTGTTTTTCGATCTTGGTCAATCGGTCTTGGAACGTTTCACAAGCACGGAATTTTCTCTTCTAGCGGTCTAGCGGGGGAAATGAAATAGTAATCAATTGAGCCACACATGTACGAGCCTGTATGGAATAGTCTTCGTTGAACGTCTGCTTCCAAAGAGATATTAAATATGAATACAAGCAGCTCTAAAGTTAAAACAACTCACTTTCCATGAATTCGATAGAGCTGCTACTATTTATGCGTCTCTTACTCAATTGAAGTGAACTTAATTTACTGTGATTGAATTATTCGCCGATTGTTATCCACGATAAATTGGTTACACTATGCAACAGTTAAAACAGTTAAAACAGTTAAACAGTTAAACAGTTAAACAGTTAAAAACGCCCTCGCATCAAGCCAAACTTCTCTGATAGATTTTGGAATCCACTATGTTTAATGAAAAATGTTTTCTTATAGATTGGGTTTTTCAGAGCCCCACATCTATCAGAAGAAGTCGGTTTAGCGCCAAGAAAAAAATGCAGCTTTGTTGCATAGTGTCATCATTAACAGCGGCTCCCCCTCTCCCTCTCCCTCTCCCTCTGCCCCTCCCTGTGTCTGTCCCTGAACACATAATCATTTTTGTTGTAAGAGCTGTAAATGTTTATTAAGTATTATTGCATTATGCGGGTTGATGGTTACAAAATGCATTTGTCTCAATTGACCCAAGACTCCGACTACGTCTTTGTCTCCTTGTGTCCTCTCGCCCTCTTCCTCTTCCCCTTCCCCATCCCCCTCCTCGCCATCACCCTCGCCCTCAACCTCAACCTCGCATGTACATGTATTTGTGTGTGTGTGTGTGTTCGTTCATCTGATCTATCCGACTCCGACTCCGACTCCGACTGAGCGTGTTCATCAATACGATCCGAGTCTGACCCCCCTCTCGCGGTTATGTGGAGGCTTGAAGGGCCCATGGGAATTGATGGGCCCTGCAGAAACGGCCATGACTCAAGTATTGTACATACATATATGGAGAAGTGTCCCGTAGCAAGAGCGCCGGCTAAAGTCGGTGTTAGCCCGTAAACATTGAGACTGCCAATAGCAGATGATTGCCAATAGGCCAAACTTCTGGATCTTAACCCAATCCCTGGACACGGCGTACATACTATTTACTTATATATTTTAATTTTTTAATTTTAATTTCTAGCTTTTTCCCACACATACTACATATGTACATATGTACGTATGTAACTTGAGTATGCTTTACCTTGTTTTAAGGAACTTTGCACTTGTGAGCTAATAGATTCATCGTTCAATTGGCGCTCGTAACTTCGAAGCTTAAGCTTACAGTCTTGACCTCTTAAGCTTAAACTTTAAGCCTAGGACCTTGAGACTTTCAGTTTGTTCAGCTCCGTGAAGGACCCAGCTCTATTACACACCGTTCAATACGTTGGAAATACAAAGGTCGTGTCTCGAGGAGCGTTTAGTGGAAAGCAGCAAGCTTTCCTCTGGAAAGAACATTGAAAATGATTCTATACGAAAAACTGGGTTCGCTCCAGTTCGATTTTTTGCCTAGTGTTATCGGAACGTTTTTGATAGGTGCAAAACTCGATATATGTATGTATGTATGTAACATAAATTGGGTACCACATGGCTTGAGTATCATAAACATTGTGATCCAATCGAATGTTAAGTGCTTGATGTATGTAAAGAAACTATAACTAGTAAAATTCCAAAGAAGTGTCAAAGTTGGTAGAGCTCAATCAGTGATCGGCACAAAGCCAAATGGATTGTACACCTCACGAGACAGGGACGGACCACTGGGCAAAATAAATAAATAAATAAATACATACATACATACATGTATGTATCCGCGTATGTCATCGCCATCGAGCATACCTCAGTGCTACGATCGTATTTCAATGGATCATTCGTGGGCCGAAAACGATCAAAAGATTCAATTGATGTGTGCACTCATCGCAGTCATCGATTAAGCGAAGTCCAATCGATTTTTAAGGGTACAAATCAATGCTTAGCTTTGATCGGGGGCTTCAGCTCATTAAACCGTGAGTTAATCGGTAATCTATGTACGGCGCTAAAGAAAACTCATACCCGTATACTCGTACCAAATTGAATTTTCGAAAACAATTCGTTTCATTGGATGAGCCACACAATGGTGTTCCATATGCTGGACTGATTGTCTGGGTCCAGCTTCCTAATTAGTGAGTATGTGCATACATTCATACATACGTCTATAGTCTGTAGTCTATAGTCTATAGGCTAGAGTCTGGAGTCTAGAGTCTAGACTGTAGACAGTAGACCCACCGTCGACTCTAGGTCTATGACTCTATCAACATATGCCGCGCCATCGATTTTTATTATTTGTGCTGCCGCCGGACAGCTTTTTTTATTGTTTTAATTTATCCGACCAAGTCGGCTTTGCCTCTTGTTCTCGGCACGGGCTCGTACTGGCTCTGGGAGTGGGGCTCGTCTCAGGTGGCGCTGATCGGCTGCCTCGGCTGATTCGGCTGCCTCGGCACTGTGTCCATTGGTCTGTGGCCTTGGTCTCAGTTTCGTTTTCGGTTTCGGTCTCGGTCTCGGTCTCGGTTCCAGCCTGAGACTTCGTTTTGTTGTTTAGCAATTCAATTTGATAACATCAAAGGCGTATGCGTATTTATCGCTTCCGTTGCAAATTAGTCGCCTCCGATGATCACTGACTAGTACCAGTTGGCTAGTACACTGTACATTCGTCGCATATTTGATCGATGATCAAGTACGAGTACGAGTACGAGTACGAGTACTGGGCAACATCGGAGATCGAGACATAGGCACAGCAATAATAAGTAAGCGGGGGAAAATGTTTCTGCTTCTGCTTCTGCATCTGCTTAAGTTTCAGTTTCAGCTTCAGCTCCAGCTACTGTATCTGTATCTGTTACTGCTACTGCTACTGTGACTGTTACTGTTTCGGTGTCGGTGTCGGATTCGGTTTCGTTTTCGGTTTCAGCTTCTGTTTTGTCGACTCCTCGGCTGGGGCCCGGGGTCTGGGGTCTGGGAATAGGAATGGGACTCTGGCCCGGCCAGTCTTGTGGTCGTTCTTGCAGCAGTGCTGGTTCAGTTCATTACTGGCGCTTGACTCTGACACAAAAAGAAAGCCGCATAACGGGAGCGACGCATTCGGCAATTTCGGAGCCTCTTCCCCCCAGTTGATTGTTCTTTATTGAGTTATTTTCGTGTGTTTTTTTTCTGTGAATTGTTGCTGCTGCGCGGCGCCCCAACAACATGAAATGTACGCAATACAAATTCGATCTGCCCAGATTATTCAGCATAAATATCAAAAAGAAACTGCTGCTCACGCACCATCACCATCACCATCACCATCAGCATTAGCATCAGCATCAGCGGAACAGACGATTGACAAGTCTCAGTCATACTCGGCAAACCTTTCCCCGTTTCACCATTCGCTCCACAAAGCAAAAGCCTTCAAACTCGCGCGAAGTGGAAAGCCCCAAATTAAATAAAATCGAATTTCACCCACACCTGACACCCTTGAGGAAGAAGGAATAATTTGGTTCTCTTGCCGTTGACCGCCACTTCAGGGACTATCGGAATCTATCTAAAAGTGGCGCTAGTTGCATGGCTTGTCATAGGTCATAGGTCACAGGTCATAGGAATTGAGATATGTATACCAAACAGCGGAAGGAAGTCTTTGATGCAAAGAGTTTGCCATAAGAATGAACCTATGTATTATTGCCACTCAAGACCCAAAAGTAGGCAATAAAAAAGGATTTGAATTCGCGGCTAAGGACCAACCAACCAACCAACCAACCAACCAACTTATTAACTAATTAACCAATTAAACAATTAACCAACTAACCAACTAACCAACGACTAACCAATGCGCATGCCCGACCTCTATATGGATTGATTAGGATAAGCGTGCTTCCCGAATCGTTGCAGATATAAATTGCACTCAGCCCGCCATTGATGACTTCCCCAGAGACCTGTTCTCGGAGGCGCAAAGACAGTCCGGTGCTGTTGTACTTCATGTTATAGCCAGTTTATATTTATTTGTAGCCTTAGCAGTAGTGTGTGATGAGTACTTTGTTCCAGCAGTTGAGAAAATATGTGCAGGTGAGTGCAGTGCGTTCCCTCAGGCACTCAGGCCTTGACCCGACCCAAACCGAACTCCATCTAGCACTCAACATGTCCAACGATGTGGCGGGGGCCACGTTCATGGCCGCGGCCACTTCCGCTCCGGAGCTGTTCGTCAACGTGATAGGCACTTTCATCACGGAGGGCGACATCGGAGTGGGCACCATCGTGGGATCGGCAGTCTTCAACATCCTAGCCGTGGCCGCCTGCTGCGGTATCGGAGCCGGCATGGCAAGTATTCCCAACAACAACTACAACACCAACAAAACAACAAAACCACAATCTATTGGCCAGTCCAACTGATCGCTTTGCTTGCAGACCATACCGCTGGACTGGTGGCCGCTGACCCGAGACAGCATCGCATACGGCGTCACCGTGGCCATCCTCATCTGCGTGATGCACGACGAGCGCGTCGAGTGGTACGAGGCCCTCATTCTAGTATCGCTCTACGCCGTCTACCTGGCGGTCATGTATTTCGACAAGACGTTCCAAAAGTGTGCCAAAGGTGGGTACCCACCTTTCCCCTTTAACATCCTCTAATTCAGTTCCAAGATATCTACATATAATCAAAGGGTTAGCTTAGCTTAGCTTAGCTTAGCTTAGGTTGGGTTGGGTTGGGTTGGGTTAGGGGGAGGGATGGGGGATGTTCATTGATTGTTTAACTGATCCTGCTGGAGTGTACGAAGGAGTGAAATGGCTGGGTTGAGGGGAACTTTTGTTCATATATTTGACTGAGTTTGACTGACTATAAAACGAAATGAATCAGCGATTTTGGTTCTGCTTATGAAGATATGCATACACTGATAGAAAAAAGGCATAGTAAAAATAACTACAATCATATTTGAATTTAAAATGCCATTTTTAAATACAAACATAGTAAAATTTAATAGAATTCACTTTGATTCAAATATAAATGTATTAAAAATGCTTTTTTAATACGGTCATATTTAATCTAAATACAAAACACTTCAAAATAACTATAATATATTAAATTTGTAGTTTAATATGTTTCATATTTAAATTGAATATTATTATGACTTGATTTCAAAATTTTTCTTTTAAAATCCAAAGGAAAAACTTTTTATTTTAAATATTCCATATTAAATGAAATCAAATATTTTTTGTATTTATTTTAACTATGTTTATATTATTTTTGTATGTCCCTCGAATTCCCAACTAGTTCCAGCTGCTGCTGCCTTGAATGCACAGTAAAAATATCTTAGCGCAGGGTCATAATCACAACCAATGTTGAAAACTTTAACCAATTCACACCATGAGGACTTGAATACATTTCATTTTGCGTACGCAAAATAATAACCAATTAGTTAAAAATGAATATAAATATAAATATGAAACATATTAGATTTAAATATTAAACATATTAAATTTAAATATGAAGCATATTAACATTAAATAGGAAACATATTAAATATGAAACATATTAAATTTAAATATGAAACATATTTAATTTAAATATGAAACATATTAAATTTAAATATTCTATATCAAAATTTAAGTGAAAAATATTCAATTTTAATACAACCACTCTTGGATGAAAATCAATGGCATAAATATTAAAATCTAAGTGAAAATATTAAAATTTCAGGGCTTTTTTCTATCGGTGTAGATATGTATGTACATACAGACATAAGTCAGACGATTTTCAATACACACATACATATGTATGTACACATGTAACTATATGTTTATAGTGGGGGGTTGGTTTGCACTCTTCCAACCATTGCATTTATTTGGTCTAACAAAAGTAAAGGCGATAAAGTAAAGGGTCCTCTGTCCCGTCCCGAGTCCCGAGTCCCGTGTTCTGGGGAATTATCTTTTGTTGAGAGATAAGTCTAGAGATCATCTCTCCCCATCGAATCAACCCGAAAAGACCGATTGTTGGGCCAACAAGTTCCATACTGCCATACTGCACAGCGACCAATGGGCGACGACCCTGGATAGGTGAATCTAGGATAGACCAGCCCCAGCACCAGCCCCAGCCCCAGCCCCAGCCCCAATACTAGACCACTCCATCCACAGAAACACTGCCCGATTGGGAAACAAAGACATACAAGTACACACCTACCTAGCTACATACAAACAAGTACAAACCTCTAACACACAGGTGGCGTAAAGCAGGCGCGCACGCGCAGCCGGTCCTCCAACTGCAGCATCCACACAAAGAACAGCAATGAGAAGGAACCAGGTACACCATAGATCTACCACACTACCACACCCAGCACGCAGCACCCAGCACCCAGCACCCTCTCGACACCACCTTGTCCATTCCAACCCCACTCTCAGCTTGTGATAATGGCCTAAGCTTGTTTCTAATGTCCAATAACACCTCTCTGATTGCACCCCTCGCAGACCTCGTGGAGAACCGCATCTGCCAGAATATGGCCAGCATCCAGCTGAACGGGGGCTTGAACAATGACCAGGCCAAGACCTCAACGGGAACCATAGCCATTACCACAACCACAACCACGATCACATCAGCACCTGGAGTCGCAACCACAACAGGCGGTGGCGGTGGCGGTGGCGGTGGAGGAGGAGGAGGAGCAGGTAACGCCCAAGGTGGGGTCATAACTGACATGGCACCCCTGGATAATGCCGAGTCCGAAGCGCAGCCAGTGGTAGCTCCTCCTGAGCAGCAGCAGGAGGAGGGCTACTCCCTGCTGACATATCCGAAGGACAAGAGCTGCTTTGCTCAGTTCACCTGGCTCATCATTTGGCCCATACATCTGCTCTTCCGAATCGCCATTCCCGACTGCAAAAAGGCCAAGAACAACAAGATCTTCCCGCTGACCTTCATCATGTGCATTGTATGGATTGGATCCCTTTCCTACGTGGTGGCGTGGATGATCACCATAATTGGTAAGCTTGGCAAATACAATTTTGCCTCTCAGCGGGAATTTTGAGGGCAATATTATTGCCCGAATTTCAGTAGCCCATTTTTCTTCACATTCCACATATTCCATATTGCGGAATTTTGTTTTGTTTTTGGGGATATCGAAAAATTAATGATACCTACTTATCCCGGTCCAGTCCCAGTTCCTGGCCCAGTTCCTGGCCCAATGTAATTCATTTGTTAATTAATCTTTCTTTATTCTTTTGGTGAAATAACCCCCCAATAGCCATCCAAAACCGTTGGCCACCTCCGATACTTTATCCGAAATTGACCAATGATTTCTGACTTCTTTTTGCACAATTTGTTGGTATCTGTAATCTGTAATCTGAAAAATGCCTCTCCCGTTTGCTTCCACAGGCGACACACTTAAGATACCTGATTCGGTGATGGGGATCACGTTCCTAGCAGCGGGCACCAGCGTGCCAGAGGCCGTGTCCAGTGTGATTGTTGCCAAACGCGGTGAGTGTTCAACTGTTCGGGTTCAGTGTGCTATGCTGGATGATATTGTTGGTATTGTTGTTTGCTAAATGAGGGCTGTGAATTGCATTGCAGGTCACGGATCAATGGGTATTTGCAACTCGATTGGATCCAACACCTTCGATATTCTTCTGTGCCTGGGCGTGCCCTGGCTGATCAAGGCAGTTTTCTTTCCTATTCAGCCGGGCCAGAACTATGTGGCCATCAACTCGGCCGGACTGGAGTACTCGGCGATCACACTGCTGTCCACACTATTTCTGCTCTACTTGACATTCTCCACGAATAAATTCAAGCTGGACAAGAAGGTGGGCACCGCGTGCCTAGTCATGTATTTGGTCTTTATGGTCTTTGCCTCACTCATCGAACTAAATGTGTTCTTCCGCGTCAATCTACCCACCTGCGGACGGTCATGATCTTGCACAGATGGATGGATGGATGGATGGATGGATGGATGGATGGGTGGGTGTATGGGTGTATGGAAGCCTGGAAGCATGGAAGCATGGAAGCATGGATGAATGGATAGATGGACCCTTCACCGCATACTGATGCTGATTGTAGTTCTGGCCCTGCTTCAGGTTCAGGTTCAACTTCTGCATCTAATTCGGATTTGGATTCGAATTCTGAATTCTGATTCTGATACTAATTCTGGGAACTGGCTGGAATCAACTACATATGAGTGCAGTCGTTTAATTAATTAATATGTATTTTCTGTTCTATTCTATCTACCTTGATAGTTGGTTATACGTTATACGTTATACGTTATGCTGTTATTGTAATAATACTTTTTTTTTATTATTATTATTATAAAAGTAGACTCTTTCACGACATTCGGTCGCAGTCGCAGTCGCAGTTGCAGCGCAGTCGCAGTTGCAGTCGCAGGGATCAAGTGAGCAAAAAGGCAATGAAAATCAAATGAAAAAGAAAAAGACAAGAGATGAGAGTTGAGAGATGAGAGAAACAACCCAACCAAAAAACCCAACAAATTCAATAATGTATTTTTATGATTAATATATGAGATTTAACAAAGAAACTCTACAATTTGGATTTTATTCACCCCCAGAATATATACGTAATACATATGTATATGCACATACCTACGTAATTAAATTAAGGCACAATCGCATTACTTTGGATAACTCTATCCAACTCTATCTATCTATCCAGCGAACCCAGCGGGAAATCCCTTGCTCACGTAAGCGCTTACGTGATGCTTACTTGGATGTTGTAGGTGCTTCCTTGCCTGTGTAAACTCCCATTGCATCGTGGCTTTCCTTTGGTATGGGCCTATGGGCATATGGGCATGTGGGCCTATGGGCATGGCCGCTTTTCCTAGCAGGCACATCCCCGAGGCTGCTTATTGTGAACAAAATTAATCCCTCACAAGTCAGCTGCCCGTTTTAATATAAGTAAGCGCTTGTGTGTGTGTGTGTGTCGCTGTTTCAATTGCTTATATTATTGATTACATATCTGAAATTGATTACATCGTCGAAAAATATAGCTGAAAAATAGGTTCTCTAGGGGCAAAAATTAAAAAAAAAACGAGAAGGAACGTGTGAGTCGTTTCTGGGGACACGACTCTACTTATACCCGTACTCAGTCAGTATATACATACACTTTTGAGCTTATGATTTTTTAGAATTTTAGAAAAAAAAAAAAAAATTTTACATTTTACATTTTTTTGCTACATTTGTTATCTACATCTCATCTACAATGTCTATTCTACATCTAACATGTAGATTGTACATGTACCATTTAGATTCTACATCTTCTCCGCTAGGGGTTGCTCGCGCACTGAACGCGGCAGCGTGTGCGAGCGAGAAGGAAAATGAGTTGCGTTGTCTGGGTCGGGAGGGGGAGGGGAAGCAACTGAAAATTAATTTCTTCATTCTGGCTATAATTATGATCCGATCTGATTCAGATTCGGCAGTCTGGTAGATATGGTCATTCTCTACGATACTGCGTTTTTAGTTTTATCGTATCTTTAAAACTGTGCCTGCCACAGATTTTCGTCCTTTATGGTGGCGGAAGGGGGCGGGGCGAAATTTTGAAATACACTTTTAGCAGTGTGATATCACATGAGTCTGGAAACCAAATTTGGTTTCTCTAGCTCTTATAGTCTCTGAGATCCAGGCGCTCATCAAGACGGACGGACGGACAGACGGACGGCGACGGACAGACAGACATGGCTATATAGACTCGGCTATTGATGCTGATCAAGAATATATACTTTATGGGGTCGGAAACGTTTCGTTTTCTGCGTTGCCACAACCTTTACCACAAAACAAATATAACCCTTAACTCTTTTTAGTACGGGTAACACCCCCCTCTTCTTTTTGTCGTGGCGGGGGGGAGGGCACATCCCACTCTCTACCCCGTACTCCAGCTTGTCATGTCCATTTTGCTGTAACAAATTCAGAAATAGCCAATTTATAGTTATTTTTTAAGAGTTGCGAAATAGGGCCCTGTTAATATTGGAACTATTATTTTTGTTAGCGCTACCGCAGGTACATATGTATATGTATATCCCAAACGAAGTTGAGTGCCGCAGGCGACCGGGCTGCCAAATTATCCGGATAGTCATAACCATTATTCAAGTGGATATGGATATGGATGTAATGTTGTTATATATTTATGTATGTACTTGTATGCACATACGTATTTTTCGCTTGCCATGTCCACGTCGATATTCATCAGGCTCTCGGCCTTCATTATGGGAAATGTCATTATTCCAGAAAAATCTGGTTCGGTCACCAACTGGTCGAGGATGGCTAGACTTTCGCTTTGATTGCATTGGATCCGTCTGAAATCCATCTGAACTTGCATCCTGCTTCTCCTCTGTTTTCTCATTTGTGGGTTTTTCGTCGGATACAAATTCTGTGGGGGATGCCCCAAACATTATGGCCTTTGGCAGTACGTTAGTTCCTGATGGAACAGCTGGGCATACTTATTGTACTTATTGCCTTTGATGCATATGACTTAGCTCTATAAATTTTCAAAAATCCAAACAAAAAGTAAATCACAGAACAGCACAGCCCGTCGACCACACAACGAAATTAAACGTGCCTCTTTTTCTTTGCACATTTGGGCACATATTTAGTGTGATTGCATGACACCACACCATGACCTTGGAGTCCCCTCAGTCGCCGACAGTATTAACGAGCAAGCCACAACGTCCCCGCAAGAAGATTGGTGAATGTCCTTGACCCTTAGCAAAAGTCGCTAATCAACAGTAAGAGTAAGAGTAAGAGTAAGAGTACGTTAAGTAATCGTACTTTATTGCCTGTGATAATTATAATTATTCACCATGCTCTCCGAGAGAGAGGCACTTGGCTGGAAAGTCAAATGCTGCTGTGCTTACAATTTAAATCAAAAAAACTCACAGAACTCACAGAACTGAATAGCTCACCTTTGTGAGTTCTAAATCGAAAGGTTATTGGAGTTGGAGTAGGCCTTGAGACCACATTTTCCTGGCTAGGGGCTAGGGGCTAGATTATTTGTTTTTTCTCAGTCAGTAGCGATCCGGCTTGTGTGAAGTTCATTTGGTTTTCGTGTAAAAATTCGTTTTGTCGTGTTTATTTATTTGATTATTTGATTATTTTTTCATTTTTTTTTTTCGTGGGCATTATGTTTTTCGGTGGAGATTCGGACTTTCAGAGGTTGCTCAGGGAGAGCGGATTTGGTAGGCGGGAGTGAGAGCTCAATTGAAATCTACTGATTTACTCTGCATCCATAGACAGCAGTGATCTGCGCGGTGAAGCCAGCACAAACTGCACTCATCCCGCTATCCTGGAGTTTCCCAACCTCATGCGAAGGAAGAGCATTGCGTCGGCGATAGCGTGCTTCCTGATCTGCTTGTATTTGTTCATCCTCCTGGCAATTGTGTGTGACGACTATCTCGTGCCCTCGATGGAGCGGCTGTGCTACAGTAAGACACAATTTTAATTCTTTTTCCTATTTTTCCTATTTTTCCTGCCTATTGAACCTGCTCTCGTAAGTTCAAAGCCCACTGAACGTGTGAAATCGCAGTGTGCCCTGACACATCGCTCGGCACTGCTTATCCCAGTCTGTCATCTGGCCAAAAGTCAGATTAGTGTCACTGCGGGTTGAATTTAAATGTTAATTTTAATTTTAATTTTAATTTGTAGCTCTTCGCTTGACCTACGATGTGGCTGGTGCAACTTTCCTGGCAGCGGCCACCTCGGCCCCAGAGCTTTTCGTTGCCTTTGTCGGCACTTTTATCACAAAGGGCGACATTGGGGTGGGCACCATCGTGGGATCTTCGGTGTTCAATGTACTGGGCATTGCTACCGTCTGCGGAATCTTCACAGGCGTGGTACGTATCATTTAGCTCTGACGTCGTGCATCCGGCATCCGGCATCCGGCGTCCGGCGTCCGGTCAGATCCTCATCCTCACATTTGTACTTTTACTTTGCTTGCAGACGGCTAAACTGGATTGGTGGCCCATTACGAGGGATACCCTGTGGTACTTGGTCTCCATCACACTCCTTTTCCTTGTGCTCCTTGACTCGAAAGTGCAATGGTGGGAGGCGACCATCATGCTCAGCTTATACTTCGTCTACCTGATCACTCTTATCTTCGATCGGAAGTTGCAGAAAATGTGTCGATGTGAGAATAGAAATCGGAAGCTGCGCTGCTGCGGACAGGGAGCACTTTCAACGATCTTTGAATGATGATTTAAATTGCTCGTTTATCTATTTTGCAGCGCTGGAAGGCGAGCGGGAGCTGATGGACGAGGACCCAATGCTGCGGGAGGAGGAGCCACTCATGACATTCCGCCAGCACGTGTGCAGCAAGCCAGAGAAGGGAGCTCCCTGCATCGAAGTCACCTGGTGGGTGATCAAGTATCCGGCCATTTTTATACTGGCCATTACCACGCCTAGTGTGCGGACCATATTCTTTTTCACGATGTTCATGGCCGTGCTATGGATCTCCGGGATATCGTATCTTCTCGCCTGGTTCCTCACCGTGGTCGGCTATAACATTGGCATACCAGACTCGATTATGGGCCTGACCGTCCTGGCCGTCGGCACTAGTGTGCCCGAGGTGGTGTCCTCCTACATCGTGACCCGGAAGGGTAAGTCTTGTGTAAATTCTTCACCTTCATCACCTTACATCCCAATCGGCCCTCCTCCATCCTCCATCCTCCATATGCTCGGACGACTCTAGGGTACGGCTCAATGGCCATGTGCAATGCGATCGGCTCGAACACTTTCGACATATTCATCTGCCTGGGACTGCCCTGGTTGCTCAAAGCTATCATAGAAAGCACCTTCGTTCTGATCCACTCTGAGGGCATCACCATCACAGTGGCCATGCTGGTCGCCACGATTGTTTTGCTGTACGCGTGCTTCCTGCTGACCAAGTTCACACTGGGCAAGACAGTGGGCTGGATGAGCCTCATCACATATGTCCTGTTTCTCACCTGCGCCATTGCCATCGAGATAGTGGGCGAAAATCTGAACCACTGCGACCTCGAAAACGATGCCTACACAGATCTTCTGCACAAGAATTTTTGATCTCGTTTTGATCTAATTTTGATCTCGTTTTGATCCTTTCGCACCCCAAAATTCTCCAAGCAAATTCTCAATACTAGCCGCTAGGCTCCCCTGGGATCCTTTTCTCCTTGGCTTGGCGGCTTCTGCAAGCAAGATAATGCAAGATACATTTCCAATACAAATTCATCCGTAGTCTAGAGTAAAGTCATAAAGCGAGCACAGCACAGTGTATTTTATTAGGGCGGCCTGGTCTGTCCATCATCGATAGCCACCACTCGAAAGACTTATCAGCATGGCATGCCGTTCGCTTCTTCTGGTCTGGTCGGGTCTGGTCTGGCCTGGCCTGGCCTGGTCGTAAGTACAAAACATTTACCAGATAACCATCGTAATTATAATCGAGCCAGCTGCGCTCCCTGCACGAGCATTGGCGGAAGATGATCTAGAGGTAGAGGTAGAGATGACTGGTCTGGGCCCATGCTCGTCCATCTTCTCTTTCTGTCTCCTCGAGACATCGAGACATCGAGACATCGAGATTTCCCTCAAAGAGCAAGGAAAAAGAGGAATCGATTTGCTGGCTGTGAACTGGAGGGAACTTTGGCGCTAACGGAAGACAGCGAAAAGTGTTGGCAGAGAAAGAAAGCAGCCAAGACAAGTGGGCCACATATGTACATACATATGCATATGTACATATGTACATATACATACGCTGCATACTGTACAGTGTACACCAATCTCCAATCAAGAATGGTGACGTCAATCAGCGGTGCTATGACATCAAGGAACCATCGAATGAAGATACTTGAATTTCACTTTGTGATTGATAATTGATAATTCACATCTGTATTTATGTGTGCACATATGTACATATGTATGTATGTACGTACAGAGCCTCGAGTAATTTATAGTTACTATTGTTGATACGATTCGGTTTTTGTATTCTCTTCGAGCGTCCGAAATTGTGTCTGAATGCCTAGCCGAGATAGCTAGACATTATATCTGTATGTACATATATACCTATTTATATGTACATATGTATGTATATTAGTGTCTTCCAGTAAAACGGTGCATATACACTATACCCTAAACCCTAAACCCTAAACCCTATAGATAGTGTAGGGATAGAGATATAGATATAGATCAGGCTCAAGGGTTCCCATTACTTGCTGACTCCCAAATATTTTTGGGACTAAAACTACCAGCAAGTGTAAGCGCTTACGAGCGCACGGGCTAGATGCGGTTCCATCCGATTCGGGGAATGCATGGGATGCATATCAAGCGGCGAGCCCTTGCCTTCAGAATATCCCCAGCAAAGCATCCCCGACCAATCGCTCCCATTATCGGAGCGTGCAGCACCCGCGACAAGAATCGGAAACGGATGTGGATGTGGGTGCGGGTGCGGCCCCAGCCCCAGCCCCAGCCCCAGCCAAACCGCCACTGGAGCTGAAGTGTGCCCAAATCTTGATCAAACTCTCGCTTACCATGTCCAGAGTTTGATTGAGTTGGTTCGCTTGTTTGCGAACTGATAGCCGTGCCCACTTGACTTTCCTCGTTATACTCTCGCTTACCTCATGTAGCACTTGAGCGGTGGCGCGGCTGACGTGACCAACTGCCCTGTTCGCGACACCGTATGCTGTGCTCCCTTTGCCCCGGCACGACCGCGCGCCCCGCGCCGGGGGTCGGTGTTTATTGCTGCTTACTATACATTCTGTTTACATTTTCATCAGTTTTCATACATCTTCATTATACATCTTCATTATACATCTCCGACATGTACAATATTTGCCAAAAAGGAGCAATCAATAAATTGAAATCAGCCCTGATCAAATGAAGTCATATACTTATATATATATACATATACACATACAGACATACACATGTAAATACACTGGTCGGCATAGGCACTTTACTTTGATGTAACCTTTTCCTGACTATTGAAGCTTAGCTTAGCTAAGTACCGTGAATTACCGGTGAGGCTATGTTTAGCTCTATGCATGCCAAGGGGTAAAAGCTGACTAAAGGGCGCTCAAGGCATGGGTAGAGCGGCTCAGTTGAGAAACTGCATCAGAAACGCACTCAACACAACTCAGCGCAACCCGAGACAGCGTCCTTTTGCGCGAATTAAATTACAAATAGTTCCCTGAAGCCTCAATCTGCTGCAGACCAATGGAGTTGGACGGCCCAACGACGCGTTGCGACGCTTAAACTTTTAAGGAAAGCGATCTTAAACCATAAAGCTAAGGACGTGCCGCATATCCATATGCAGCAAAGGCAAACAAACTCAAGAGACTGGCCTTTGCAACAGAACACCTGCCACAAGCCAAAGGAGTTCTGGAGAAGCGTTTCACGGTGAGATGAGATGAGATGAAAGCTCCCTTGAGCATAGCTCATAGGAAATGAACATTGTGCTAAGACTGCCAAGGGTGCGAGTAGTAGCGCAAAGCAACCGACCCGTTTGCCACAAGTGGGCCACGGTGGAGGCTCTGTCATGTTCTGGGGATGTGATGTGTTGCTGGATGACCATTATTTGAACGCCCTAGCCTAAATGAAAATGCCTCTGCTTCCGAAAATAGGCTTGTTGGGGAATCTTCGATCCTGCAACGGGCTAATGCCCCGTGCCACAAAGCCCGGATGATTCCGCCAGATCGTCGCCCGTCACACATCGCACCTGGATGCTTGGTACGGACTTCCGCTCCTCCCCATGTCATCATTCCGATCCTTCTCTGTTGCTACCAGTTCGCTACTCATTATGTTTCGAACAGCTCCGATGTCAGATGGGACTGACACTACTCGTATTTTGGTATTTGGGTCCTTCAATCCCCTTTCCGCCTTTACCTCGACAGCTCTGCCGTTAAGTCAGTCTGCATACGCGTATTTGCCCTTACTACAAAGAAGAAAATCAGCCATGCTGTGGATCCTCTGTAGGAAAGAAGAAAGTGTGTATTGGAGCGGGGGGGGAAGACTGGGAATGTCGAGGTCAACACTGCAACAATGCAACACAGGCTCAGGAGTTCGCTGTTCCAGCCCACCCACCAACAGCCTGGGAGGGGGGGGGTAACGGGCTAAGGACGGCCGAGCCGTGAGTTACTTTAGCCCCTGACCTTTTGGTCAGCCCCTGTATCAGTTTTCAGGTGCAGTCCGGCTGCCACTGAGGAATTATCTCAGAGTAGTTGACACACCTACATACATATATGCATGATATCAGTAGGTATATATATGTATGTGTGTGTATGTACGTAATCTTTGAAGCAATGCCAGCGCTACGCCATTGTTCGGCCCATGACGTATGATTGGCCCCCAGACTGCGTCATGACCACAAAGAAAAAAGCACAGGAATCGGACTCCAAATCAAATTCAGGGGCGTGCTGATTCGATTGGCCGGCAATCGGTGGCACCGACATGATAAACGCACGGAAATAACTGCGGCCCCGCGAGCACTATCTTTTTTACAAGTTAGTATAAATAAAATTGAAAATTTAAAAGCTATTATTTACAATCCTTTGTGGGGCACGCATATCATATGAGCTACATATGCACATATATGTATATGTATATGTATATGTATATGTATGCATTGTTGATGTGAATATGTACCTAGTAAAACTCTGCAAAGTCATACATATGCATGTATGATATATGATAAATGATAAATGATGTATGGATGTATGATGTATGGATGTGTAAGTCACTCGTACAATAGAGTATGTGGGAGCGATCAATGCAACACTTTATACATATACATAGATGTACATACATACATACATACATTCATAGTAATGAAGTTCGCAACACTTTGCGAGCTTCGAGTAGGCAGCCGCAGCCGCAGCCAGGCTGTCAATTCCTAAGTAATCAAATCACAAGACGTCCTCAAGATCCCCCATTCGTTCTGGCGTCAAACTAAAAGTTCATGCCGTCTCTTGCCACTAACAGCTTAATACCCTTACGATTTATTGGTGAGTGACTGCGTTGCCGTGTTCGCAGGCGAGTGTTGATAAACTAGCCATAAGACGAGAATCTTCGCAGAGGGAAACTCTGCTCACTGGGTATCTGGACGTCACGCGGCAAGGTGTCGTTTGGCTTTCTGGAATTGCTCTTTGACTGACTGAACATATATATGCAAGTACATATGTATGACTGTGTAATATCCTAAGAAGGAGGGGCGCACTGAAATTGAATATTGAAATTGAATAATTATTTCGAAATTCACTCGACTACAAAATATCTGAAAGGATATAGCCCTTGTTGGTCCGCCGAACTTTGATGGCCACTTCCAAATCTTCCCGAATAAAAAATGTTTTCTTATAGCTACGTTTTTGGAACGTTCATCCCTGTGGCAGCTATATAATATAGAACTCAGATCCGGTCCATTCCCGTGACTGATTCCTCTTCTACTCGGTCGTTACATCGCCTTCACTCCGATGGCTACAGTGGGCGGGGCCGCACTCTGAAGGAGGATGGTGCAGGGGAGTCAGTCACAAAATGCTGGCTATGATGATGATCCGATCTGAAATTCTTTACGGTGTATTGAACCCAACAAGTCTGGATATTACAAGCGACAGAGGCATTCGAAATAGATCGATTTCTAGTTAAGTGTACGACACGGAAACAAAAGGATATCTAAAAATAAAAATAAAGAACAACAACAAACAACGAGAAACCAGTGTCCCTTGCATTTTAATCACCCCCCCCCCCTCGGCCCGACAGCTTTTTCTTCTGCTTTTTACTATCTTTTTTATTTCGGCAAAGCTGTCGGGAGTATAGGTTTATAGGAGTATTAGTGTGGAAAGGCAGAATCATAGAGACTGAAAGAAGAACATCTCCCAGACTGCCGAAGTGGTGTAGATCGGATAACTATTATAGTTGGAATGATCAAATAACGTTTCAGTTGTCACGTAATCCCTTCCATGCGCTATCTATCTCTGTCTCTGTCTCTGTCCCTCTATCTATCTCCCTCCCTCCAAGGCGAAGGGGCGCGAGATATAACGGCTGGTGTTGATGCGAGAAGAGAGGGATCTATGTACATCTATTGCCGGAATAAAAAACAGCCAAGGGAAGTACGGAGTCAGATGAAATATTTTCAAAATTCGAATACAATGGGTCATAGGCGGAAAAGAGGATAAAACAGCCACCAGCCCCTGGCTGCATTAATCGACCAAATTTCAGAGAAAAGGGTCAAAGGGGTAATCAAATAATGGGGGCATGGTTGAAATGGGTTGCATCTACTCTTGTTTTTGTTGTTTTCTTGCTTTGTTTTGTGTTGTAGGCCTGTTGAAGAAATAGTTTCCATCACAATCTGTACTCGATTAACGATAACCAATTTTAAAAAATATGATAAAAATACGAGTATCAACTGTTCAAAATCAAAACCCACTCTGATTGGACTGCGCTGCATTACTCGTACAAAAATTGCAGCTGAGTTGTTTAATTTTACACTTTGTGGCACTTGAACAGCTGATAACCCAGCTGTGGTACGAGTATGTACAATGTACATACATACATACATATGTATGTACCTGCTCATGGCGTTTAAAAATATGTATATTATTTTTGCGTATTTTGAAATATGCGTTTGGTGATTGGTCCCATCGTGCACTCTACGAAGCACACACACACACATTTGTGTGCACATCTATGTGTGTATGTATGTATGTATGAATGTACGCATGTATGAATGGACATATAAGGAAACCGATATTCGACATGTCATTGAGCACTATCATACGGACATCAAACGAATACATCCACATGTAGGGCTACTTGCGTAGCTCGGTTAGTGACTACCGCCAATAGATTGATAAAATGTCAGGCAATTGTTTTTTCGCTTTCTTATCAATTAATGACTCCACGCACAGATGGAAAGGGAAGGCGTACCCACGTACACACATACTCGTATGTCTGTATGTATGCAAGTACATACATACATATTTGGGCAGCAGCAGCAGCAGCAGCTTGAGCCGAAACGCTCGACTGTCGGATACCTGGGAAATGTTTTGCCCAAGAATGGCTACCAAAATCCTGCCAACCATCAGTTTCAGAATTCTGAATTCTGACTGAGCCAAAGCTCAGATAGGGAGACCAGTACAAAAATCACCCAGAAGGTTTCGGGCAGATTGGGGCAGACTGGGGCAGAGAGCTTTGTTTAGGACGATTCCGAGAATGCTTCGGGAGTCCCCTTGCCATATCGCGCCCCTACTATGCATTGTGTAATCTTTGGCATCCCCCCCCCACATACCCTTAACCCTTAACTTCTGTAACCTACACCTACACCTACACATACACATACACGCGAACAGCCGGTGAAAAACTTAGCCCGATGGAGAGTCGAAATAAAAGCTCACATGAATCAGGGTAGGTGTGGGGAAAACGGGCAAAGTGAAGCACTAAGCAGTGTACAGGAGAAATAAAACATGCAATAAAAAATAAAACTGACAACGTGAAGTGACTGACTGGAGGTGACTATGCCTATACTTACTAGAGAGATATCTTTATAAAACCGTCAATACCAAAAGACGCTGACGCTGGCGCGAGTGATGGAGTTGGCGTTGGCGTTGGCGTTGGCGCTGTCAGTCGACGCTGCCAGTCGACGCTGCCACTGCTGTGTCCCCCCGGCGCTGGCGCTGGCACTGGCGTCGCTGTCGCTGTCGCTTTCAACGTCGACGTCGACGGCGACGTCGCAGTTTATTATTAAGACGGGCGCGCGCTGGTCGCTCTTAATTAGTTGTGCGATATAATTCTAGCCAAGCGGTTTGCTGGAGGAACCGACGGGAAGCGCAAAATCAAATCGAAATAGCCGGAATTCGATATCCGCACGTTGCGCATACGCCGTGTACCCCAAGCGATGCGAGTGTCGGAACAAATCAGAAAGCCAGCATTAAATAAATGCTAAGACACCTGTTTCCCGCAGGCGCACTACGTTACGCTATTTTTTTCCGTTTTGTTTTTTGAACTTGGCCAAAGGTTTGGCTGTAAGTGTAAATAATGTTGAAAAAAGTCGGCCCTTTGCTAGGCCTATTCGTATTACTATTTGGCAGCCTCGCAACGAGTACCCACGCAACAGGTGAGTCAAAAGAGCCTTCCATTCAGGGATATGTATGTACATATACGAGTATTCGTACAAGCAACTGGGGAGCCCGCCTAACCGTTCAGGAGCAATGCAATGCCTGGCTTTTGGCTTTAGTATTTCGACACTGGGTCCTTTTTTATTGAAGCGAAGAGTGTGGAGTGCGGAGTATGGAGTACGGAAAGCGGAGAGAATATGTACATATTTTCCAGTTTTCGTGTTTCCTTGTTTGCCTTTGGACATGTGTCGAGGGTTGGGAAACCTGAAGCCGATTTCCGGCCCGTTATCTTAACTTGGTGTCACTGCAGATTACAGATCAATGGATCGATCGATCACTGCGCTGGGGTGGGGACAGGGACATGTCGTTGGGCACTCGTGAAATGGAGGAATGCTCATCACCAATTACCTTTTTAATGGACTTATCGTTGTCGAGGAGGACTCCCTGCAACGGCAACGGCAACGGCAATGGCCGCCATTTGCCTGGTTACGAGCTACTACATATGTATGTATGTATGTACTATGTATATGTATGTGTGTACGTGTATGCATGCAGCTTTTATCTGGACTCCCAGCAGCGATGATTTATGCTCGTTTATAGCATTGGGCCTGATGGCTTTATGACACATTCAGAATGGGATTTAGATTCGGAAATATACAAATGTACTATTTATATCTGTCTATTTATATGGCTGATGGCATTAACAAATAACAAATCAGGGCTGGCCTGGCCACTCACTATCTACATACTCCTCCTGCCTGCCTACCGCTTTCTGAATCGCCCACTTGGCCTGGCCCATTATCTCCGAAAGTCTATTTCCTTTCATGTCTTTCACGACTTGATTGCGGCCAGTGGATGTGGATCGAGTCGAGGTGGCACAATCATTTATTTCGATTATCAGCTTGTCGGATCTATGCCATGATCTGCAGATTGGAGCTTCGAGCTTCGAGCTTCGAGCCTCCGTAGACTGGCTAGAATGGCTACGGCCAGGGATTCGGCCACACACATAATTACATACTACATACTACATATGTACATACATAAGCCCCTTTGGGGGTTCCTTGGGATATACATATGTATGTATGTATGTATGTATGTAAATGCCAATTGCTATTGAAGTTATCCCTCGCTCTCCACACAATGTATTCAGATTCAGATGAACCCATACAAGTGGGAGTGTAGCCATGTAGTTAGTGCACGTGCACGTGCACTTGCCGATCACGTCGCGCTCTCTTTATGCGAAACACAGACCGAACGGGATTCACGGGGAATGTTTGCGCATGTTTGGTTGTCGGTTGTCGGCTGTCGGCTGTCGGCTGTCGGTCGGCAATCGGTGAACGAAAGCGCCGCGGCGGTGGCATGTGATTCCCGGATTCTTTGGAAACGCAAATCCCAGACACTCTGCCGAGTTGCCCTGCCTAGAGAGAGATCCACAGTCAACCTCAACCTCAGCTTCCACCAAGCCCAGATCTATAAATACGCTACCCATATACATACATATGTATGTATGTATGTATACATGTGTATGTATGTACCCATGTACGATTAATATGCTCAGTTGGCGTTTGGTAATTCCGAATTCCGAAATGCGATTTTCGCTGGAATAATGAAAAGGAATTTGTTCGAGTCCATTCATATTTTGGGCGATGGCTCTTCCCAATCATCCGGTATGGGGGACTTTTCGATCTCGTCTTTGTCTCTGTGTCTGTGTCTGTGCCTGTGTCTGTTCCTCTCTCTGTTCCTGATTCGATCCGATCCGATACAAGCTATCATCAAAACTGCTGCACAATCAGTCCGGAGTGCCAAGCGATCCCCCGCTCGGCGGTGCACAGTGGTCGATTCTGCCAATCTGGCAGGCAATAATTAATAACTCAAAAAATAAATGAGTAACATTTTTAAAAATATTTTTGTATTTTGGAATATAAATCCGCGGAGTATTTAAATAAATTTTAAAGTTTTATTTTTTAACTTAAAAACTTTTAAAAATAAATTTAAAAAAAAAATAATTTTTTTTTATTTCAAAATATTATAAAATGTTTTTATAAACACTTTATATTAATACAAAAAAGTATAGGTCAAAATTAAAACTTATGGTCTGTTTTTTGAAGTATTTTAAATTTCTGCTGCACACTTCACTCAGAGGCAAAATTAATGAATTTTTTTTTTATTCGCTAACAATCAGTTTCGCTGAGTTTGTTTTTATCAATAATTATTTGAGCGAAAACATTGACCCAACTCGCTTCAGCTTTTTTTCTTACTCAGTTTTTTACGAAACATCGCGAAAAGCGTGCTTTTTGACACTGCCATTCTCCCTATAAAATCAAATAAATTAACGTGTTGCACGTAGTTGCAATTTGTTTTAACACAGAAGATTAAAAAAATACTGGTTTCATAAATAAAAAAAGATTGAAGGCGGAAGGGGGCGGAAGTCAAAAGATCTATTCCATGCAAGTGTCGGGTATGATATTAACAGCACACTAAAGGAAATGTTAAGTTCTACAACGATTTACCTCTAATGCATGCAAGCACGGGACCAACACATATATTTTTTATTGAATACTTACCAACTATGATCAAAATGGATGGTAATTTTAATACAAATCGCAAAACATTAAGATTTATTTTGCTTTACCAAAAGCACTGAAAAGGCGGTAAAATGTACTTAGGTATGGACAGAAAAGTTTGCTGCGATTCAACCGCGTGCAGGTACTGGACTGTTGATACGAAAAATATATAAATATCGCAATAAATATCAGTGGGATGTTTACTTTCCAAAAAGTAAAAAAAATTAACAAGATTCGACATTTTAATTTTTGATTTATTGCCTACCAGATAGGCAGAATCGACCACTGTGCGGTGGCTGCATTCCCTTTCCCACTGTCCCCATGACGTTTCGCCCCCACACTCCACAGATCCGACTCGCATCTACCTCTACACCTGTGCCAGAGGTGTTGCTCGGTCGCTTGGTTGGGGACTCCTGCCACTTCGAGCTTGGGTATCATTGTCTATGTACTTATTATTATTTAGTTATTTGTGTACTGCTATTTCGTGTTCTCTCGTTTGGGGGGCCTCAAAGAAGCAACATTAGACGGCATCATGCAACATGGCTTCCACTAGCTCGCCAGCTCACAGTTCTCACCTTCTGATGGATAAAGTACCATCCAATATTCTAGGCATTCGGTCGCGGCTCGTGGACTCGTGGACTCGTGGACTCGAGCTTACCACTGCACGAATTGTTGGCGGTGGTCGATCTACATACATGTACAACATATAGATGTACATACATACGTACACACATACATGTAGATATGTAATTACATATATTCAGTATGAATTTGTAAAAATAGCTTGTATTATTTCTATGTACTTGTTTCATTAAAAAACATTCTTCCTCTCGTCATTCTGTTTTCATGTCCTCTCCTCCCAAGCGCATAACAGAAGTCCACATTGGGTAAGTCAGGATGCATCCATAATTCATTCATACAGTCACACAGTTGGTGCACACAGGTGCCTATGTACATACATGTATGTATGTACATCTGCCACTAATTTACACTCTGCTGGTCTCTTGGTAGATTGGATGGCTAAATCATTGCTTGCCTCATTTCCTCTTACACTCGAAATACGAGAGTTCGTAATTATTCATGATAATTCAGTTGCACGTGCAATGTACATACATATGTATGTACCTATGTAGTATAGCAGTCAGTAGTATTTAAATTTGTTTTCTGTATGAGACAACGAGCAAAAACTTTTTACGAACTTCTGTAAATTTACTTTTTGGTCGAAAGTCAAGTAAATTGTAGTCTGTAAGATAAATTATTGCATGCATACACACGTACATACATACATACATACATACATATGTACACACTATATAAAAAAAAAACAAAAAACAAAAAACAATACAGCGGCCAAGCGGTACGGTCATCAAGATGAGGTGTACGTATATATGTATGTACATGTACATGCATATGTACATGTATATGCATGTGGGTGCTCTCATTCGCAATCACTTACATATGTATATACTTACACTTGCATATGCATATGATGATGATCTATTAATGGGAATCAATTTATAGGCCCCACTTTCACTCAATAACCAACTTTATATCATGGTACTGCCAGTCAGCATTAGTTCCTTCGGCTCCTCGTTTACTTAAGCCCAAAATTGTGTTGTCCAGTGCAAGTAGCCAACGCTGAGCCGAGCCAAGAGCCAAGAGTCGAGAGCTGGGAGCGAACAGCCGCAAGGCAGCAAGCCAGCAAGCCAATGAATGGCAATAGCTAAACAATTAGTCAGGTACTTTGGAGTCAGTTGGATGCCAATTGGTTCGATTTGCTGCCAGTTCGCGTTGCTTGGAACCGCAACAGGCTTTCAGCGAGTTTCCCGCCCCGACTTCCGAAACTCGCCACGTAATTTCAGCGAAGAAAAAATGAAACAATTATGGATTGCAAAGCAAGCAAAATACGCCAAAGAGCATATCGAAGGGCGGCCAGGTAGCCAGCTGGTGCTTGGTGTTTGCCTGATTGCGCGCTCAAGCTGCAACACTGCAACAGCAACCTATGGCAACCACAACAAAAGTCATCGAATTTGCACAATGTCCGTAAGCGGGGATGACTCTCAAGAATGGCTCTGGTTCGACTAGTGCTGGATGGGTGGGTTAGGGCCGAGACTGAGACTGACACTGACACTGAGACTGAGACTAAGACCGAGGCTAAGGCTAAGGCTAAGGCTAAGGTTGGGCTGAGGTGTTCCCAACTTGTGTGTTTGGCTGGGGTTTTTTCTTAAATGCATCTCATAATCACTCTGCCGGGCAGCTGGCAACAAGTTCAATAAACTTGTTTGCCGGCAAGTCAAGCTCAATTCGGAGCGGAGCGGAGTGGAGCGTTCTCTGTTTTGTAGTTTTGGAGTTTTGGAGCTTTGCTTGGCTTAGAATGGAGCGACACGTCTCAGTTCGGTTCGGGCCTGAGCTTGAGTCGGGCCTGGTTGCTTTTGGAGCTAAATGCATTTCGTCTGCACAGCCAACGCGACTCCAAGTAAGCAGATGGGTGGGGGTGCTTCGTGTGTGTGTGTGTGTGTGAGTGTTTAAGTGTTCGCAACCACAACTAGTATATACATAATTATGTACATACATTTGTATGTATGTATGTATGTATGTATGTATTTATGCCTATAGCATATGACTATGACATGACCCACCGATATCGGTCGCCTGCAGCCTACGTTTACTCGCCTCGATTGTCTTCTGCTTGCCGTGTTTCCATTTCCAGATGCCAGGGCTCTTTTTTTCTTTTTGTTCTGTTTGCTGTTTGCTGTTTGCTGTGCCGAGTGCATCTAATTATTCAATTATGACTGATTGTGCAGCTCTTGTTGTATATATCGCTGTTGCTGTTGCTGCTGTTGCTGCTTGTGGTGCAGGTGGTGCAGGTGCAGGTGCAGGCATTTTGGCACGCAATTCTCCACAGATAAATACAAGCAAAGCATAAACGGGGGAAATCCGCCGAGCGTATCGCACGTGATGAAGGAATTTCGAATCTCTGGAATCGGGTCAAGAGGTCAGTGACGTCACAAGCGCGTCTTTATTTCAGTCCCACCACAAAACCCACACCCAGAGCCGCCAGGTACCAGGGACCAGGGACTTGGTTAACAATATGAAAACGAAAAGAGACAAAAAGGAAACAAAACGAAACGAATCGTAAAAGCCAATAGTAATTAATGGGCCGCTTTAAGAGAGGGTGTAAACCAGAGAGCGCTGATAACCGTTAACTGTCCCACACATGCACACATGCACACATGCACACACATATATACATGCATGCATAGACAGAAACCTCAGACAAGGTTCCAGCCCCCACCCCCACCCCCAGTACACCACCTTCGCTTGATTTCTTTGTAAATCTGACTAGATAAAATAATCACCGTGTCCCCGTGTCCCCGGGTCCCCGTGTCCCCGTGCCAGTGAAAGAGATTATAGTGAGACGTGGCTAGCTCGGGGCCGAACCAATTAATACCCTCACAGATCAATGCCTCTCCTCAATTATGATTGTATTTGAGTCTGTTAATGTATCTTCTTATTTGTTGCTGAGCTACCTTCATTTGTGCATATGTACATACATATGTATGTGCAAATGTACATATGTATGTACACATGTATTTGTTAGTTTCGTGCATTGCTTAGATCTGGTCAAAATCGTACAACTCGCAGCAAGGGTATAATAATTACACGGAGAAAAAGCAAAACAAACACGGGCAAACGACCGAGACGCCTCCATGACTGTCCCATTTATTTTGGACTGTCGATTCAACTGCCGCCTGCCGCCTGCCGCTTGCCGCTTGCCGCTAAGCGACGCCAAAATGCACAACAGCCATAATACTATAATGTTGTAAAACTCCAATCGAATTGCCAATCACAACCAATAATGGTTATAATGCCCCTGGCCACGACTGGCGGGGGTGTCTTGGATTGAAGGCGCATTAAACTGACATCCAGCCCAGCCGCATATGCATGTACATACATATATATGTATGTATGTATGTACATATGTGTGTGTGTGTGTATGAATAAGTGGTTATCTGACCACGAATATAAATGGAATATTTTTGTTTTTCTTGGCATTCTGCTATAACTTTTCGCGAGAACTGAAGGGAATTATAATGAAACCATAAAAATGCTGAAAATAACAAATACGATGGCAATGAGTGACGAATATGCATAGTATGTACATACATACATATGTACATATTGTGGTATATACATACATATGTATGCATCCCCCCCTAGGGCAAAAATGGTGAAGATACGAGAATACCGGCTATGCAGATTCATACAAAATTATCTTATCTGCTATGTAGACCCTAGAAAATCGTTGCGATCGGATATAGCCAGACATGATCCAAACAGCAGTAAACATGCAGTGACTAACTCTCTCCCCTAACTTGTCCCAGTGTGGCTTAGCAGATCCCCGCTCCATGACTCACTCTTACATACATATACATATATACATATATATTTATCTAGGACATGTGCTTATAAATATATAAAACTAAATAAATATTGCGACAAGGATCACGCACACATCTTGATTCATCATTAATTATGTACATATGTATGTATGTATGTATGTACATATGTATGTATGAAAGGGTCCTCGTCTGGTCACATGATGAAGTTAGTCGGATAGAGTTTGGGTTTTTCTGGTCGATTTGCCCGTCAGTCTGTCAGTCTGATAGTTGGATAGTTGGATAGTTTTCTTTTTGCTGTTGTTGTTCGTAATCTATCGTAATCGTATTGGTTTGTGTATTTTCCTTAAACTTGAGAGAATCAGAGTCGATGCGCATATCAGAGTGGATCGAATTTCGACTAATTTTCTTTTTTTTTAATTTTTTTTTTTTTAGCCGGCAATGAGAGTAACTTTCTGGAGGCATCCCTGAGATACTTCGATGAGCAGCTGTTGTACGACATACTGCCGCGTTCCTCGTGCCCGGGCGACAATGAGACCTCCCCGATGGACGAGTTCTCCGACCTCTTCACAGGTAAGCTTTGGATGTGGGCCAGTCTGTTGGCAACACCTACCTACCTACTTACCTACCTACCTACCTACCTATGTACATGCATGTATGCCTGTGTCTGCCTATGCACAGATGTATACATACATATGTAAATAACCAGCATCAAGTATTATCCGATGCAATCCGATGCGCTTTTACGCGGGCATTATCGGTCTACATTGGATAGACTTGAACTTGCCCGTGTGAGATGAGGTGAGGTAGGTGAGGCGTCCGTTGTTTGGACTCTTTGGGGCAATGTCTTTCCTGCTTCACACTCCTCATTATCAGCAGGTTCCCCCGATAACGGACGATTGATTCAATGGGAATAGAATAGAATAGAATAGAATAGAATCAGGCTAGCCACGAATTTCTGTTCATATGTGCACACAAACATATGTATGTACCCATGTATAGTTACACTAAAAACGTACCCCACACAGGCACAGGAACAGGCAGAGGCACAGGCACAGGCACAGGCACCGACGCCTGTCTATGCCATGCGGAACACTCTGCTCTGGGAACGCGCTCTTATCGCGCACAAGCTTGAACTGTACCAAGCACTACAGAATGCTTACTACGTGCTTACAATTCAGATTCAGATAGCTCTTCTGGGGACTGTATGTACATACATACATACATACATACATATGTGCATGCGAGCATGTACCTGCCCATGGTAAGGTGTCTAGATTTCAATAAGAACAGCGATAAGATTTATACTTGCTGTTTCTACCTCAGCTACATATTCAAAATTCTGTGCTCGGGGTAGATTGTAGCAATGACAGCGATAGATAGATTTATTTTGTTCGAGCTCGTAGATGCGGTGCTCGGGGAAAGATTCAGATTCAGATCCCAACGGTAGTTCTCAAATGGCATCCAAAGTGTTGCCTACTTTTAGGGCACACATACGCTCATGCATACATGCAAAGATACATGCATCATGCATACATGCATACATATGTACTTACTCGCATGTTCCTCTCCTCCTCTCTTGCAGTGGAACAACTGCGACAGGGGTGGGTGGTGCTTCATGTCTTTGCCGCGATATACTTCTTTATACTGCTGGCCATAATATGCAACGACTACTTCCTGCCCACGGTGGAGTGCATCTGCGAGGACCTGCACCTGTCCAAGGATGTGGCGGCGGCCACCTTTATGGCCACGGCCACATCGATGCCGGAGTTCTTCACCAACACCATCAGCACCCTGATTCTGGAGTCGGACATGGGGCTGGGCACGATCATCGGCTCGCTCATGTTCAACACCTTGGGCGTGGCTGGTCTGGCGGCGCTGTCCATTGACAAGGTATGCATGCCCGCCCCTGCAATGTTGCCACAGTTCCCACAGAATTCAATTACTAATCTACGCATTTCCACATGCTTGCTTGTTTATCGGTCGATCCTCCTGAATCTGGCAGCCGGTTCAGCTGGACTGGTGGCCAATAGCGAGGGACTGCTTCATCTACATATTCAACACGATAATCCTGCTGGTACTGGCCTGGGGCGGCAGCATCAGCTTCGTCGAGTCCTGCATCATGATGGGCTTTCTGGTGCTCTACTATCTGATCACCTTCAACAATAATAAGTTCATGCCAGCCATTCGCGTATTCATAGAGGATCGCATGAACTGCTGCTTCTCCACGCGCTATGGTAAGTCCGCTGCCCATATACATAACATAAATATGTACATATGTATGTATGTATGTACATGCATAGTACATGAACGTGCTCCATTTGTATCCTTAATGCCTTGCAGATCTGACGGAACCTCCGGAGAACAGTGCCAAGGCACAGCTTCCTCTGAAAAAGGATCCCCTTTCGGGCGACGGCCTCTTCGTGGTAAACTTGCCCGAGAACACCTCATCCATATCCTCCACCGCGAATCTGACTCACTCGAAGCATTGTAAGCGCCATCCCTCGCTCCATGCCAACTGCCAACTGCCAACTCAGCATCCCTCTATTACAGGGAACGGCGATGACAGCGATGAAGACGATATGCCGAAAAGCATCTACGCCTATCCTCACGACGCCTCCCGCTTCATGAAGTGCTGGTGGATCTTCGTTTTCCCCATTAAGTTCACCCTCTCGTGGCTGATCCCGCATCCGATGAAGCATCGCCGCCTCTACCCACTCTCCTTCATCATGTGCATCCTCTGCATCGGTGGCAATGCCTACCTGATTGTCTGGATGCTGACGGCTTTCGGAGTGGCCATCCATGTACCCACTATAGTAATGGGTCTGACCTTCCTGGCCGCCGGCTCCACCATGCCGGAGGCCGTCTCCAGCCTGATATCTCTTAGGAACGGTAAGTGGAACGAGCCTTGATTCCGATTCCGATTCCGATTCTGATTCCAGTTTGACTAAATTGTCCCAAACAGGTGAAAGCGGAATCGGAGTCTCAAACTCGCTCGGCGCCAACTCGCTGGCCATTCTGCTGTCCCTTGGCGTGCCCTGGTTCATCAAGAACTGCATGAACTATGGAAGTGGGGAGCCGCAGCAGGTCGGCACCCAGGGCATCGAGTACAATATCATGATACTAATCGTTTCAACCGTGGCCCTCTTCGTAATACTCAGCTTCAGTGGCTACCGCTTGACCAAGCGGGTGGGGGTCGCTCTCTTCGCCGTCTATGGCGTGTTCATCGTTCTCCAGATTCTGATCGAGATGAATGTGTTCTTCCCCAGGGACTGCAGTAGCTAGTGGTGGGTGGGTGCATGGTTGGGTCCGTCTGTGGCAGGTGCTTCTGGTGCTGGCATCAGCAGAAAACCACATTCAAAATGCAATTTGTATAGGAGTTTTTTTTGTTACGTTATCGTTGATTTCTTGTTTTCTATTTCATGCATTGATTTTTGCTCAAGACTGTCTTTAGGGTTAAAAACAACGAGTGCAGGAGGAAAGCTTCAATGGAATGAATGGAAATCATAAGCTCTGCAATTTTCTATTTATTTTCCCGTGTATACATACACATACATATGTACATACATGCCTATGTACATATATATTTATACTTGTTTGTTTGTAAATATTTTTGTGTGTATAGTCGCATAGTTGTAGGCATATAACGAGGACGATTCACAAATGTTACCACTGAACTGTTACCAAAGCCCAAAACGAGATACTAGGAATTAAGCGAAGAAAGGGAAGCCCTCGAAACCAATCAAACCAAACTTAATAGCCACATACTATCTACTCTAGATGGTCTTCTGACTTAGTGCCCCACGATATTTCCAGTCTGCAGCCTGGGCTCCGGGGAGCTCTGTCATACTTCTGTTGATATTGCGCTAATAAGTGTTTAATACGAGCACTAGCAACTAATGTTAGCGTTACATGAAACCCTTGATACCACTGTTATTAATTTATAAATAAATTCTAAGAACAATTTTACAGAGTGTGACTTTCATTTAAAATTTAAATGATGCGTATCCGGGATATAGCGGATTAGCTGAATGGGTGGGTGGCTCACTTGTCGTTCCCATACATAAAACAAAATAAAACAACAGCTGGGATCGATTTTCGTTTTCGTATTCGTTTCTTTTTAGAGGGATTTATAGCCCTTCGCAGTAATGGGGGGTCGGTATTTTCTAAAAGTTACATCACAAATCACAAATAAATAAGTTCACAAATGAGATCAAATATTTTGCGGCCTACAAAGATAATACATTCACATAAATACAAATACGGATTCGAATACATGTACATCCACACATATTTACATATCTATATTTGTATATGGAAATACAGTGGAAATAAAAGTGATTTCAGGGGCATATTTTATGCTAGTTATTTTGTAGGTTTTGTTGTGTGTGTTTATATAATCCATCTTAAAGATATCTATTTATTTATCTGTATAGGCTTTTCCCGCTTGAAGGGGCGTCTATGTTCTTCCTTCAGCTGAACAAAACTGAATTTGTAATCAAGTTAAGGAATCTTTTATGTTTCCACCTACATATATGGGTGGCAAACTGTCTGGGTGATTGGGGGATGGGGTAAGCGAATGTTGTCACAGTATATGTTTGTTTGTTTTATAATACAGAAATAAATACTTAGAACTAGATACTTGGATTTCATACACACACATATATATATGTGTGCATATTAATTTGGTATTTTCACAAATGCAGCACATGTACATACACATATATATGTATATATTTATATATACATATATAGATAGACATATATAGATATCAAGGAAGTTTTAAAAACTTGCCACATATGTAACATTTGCCAATCTTCCTTACCTCGGGCAGGGCATGCAAGGTGGCTTGCATGCCGTCTGCTTTTCCTTGTCTTGTCCTGTTTCCCTTCTTTTTTTAAACAAATCAGTCTGAGCAATTATAAATAAAATGTGCTTGCAAATGCGAACCGGCAGCCAGCAGCCAGCAGCTTTAAGCTGCTTCCTAACAACCTGTCGAAGCAATTGGCACAAATTACAATCAATATTCACACGCATTATTCATAGCTATAACGACGACGGTGTTGCACTGATCATTGTACACGCAAAGAACTGAGTAGGTAGTATAACGCTAAGCTAAGCAGCATCTCCCAGCTTTGGGCATGGGAAATCTTGAATGTGCTGATGTTAGGCTGGCCATTAGGTGCAGCAGTGGTGTCCGTTCTTTACGTAGTAATTGTGCATGGCTACAGTGCCGTTCTTGCTATAGCTGCCGTTGCTTCCGTTGTACATGTTGCTGGTCAGGCCTAAATCCGTGCCGGTATTGCCTTTTCCACTGAGGCCGCTTCTGGCTCCAGAGTTATAAGGTGAAGGGAAGGCTGCTGCATTGGCAGCATTGTCGTCGTCGGTGCTGGTGCCCGCATCAAAAGCTTTTATTGGATTCTGTATAATTTTGCATGTGAACTGGCGGTGGGGTCCCGGCTCCTGTGGAAGTGAGCAAGCTTTAGTTGGCAGCCTTGGGCTTTGTCAGTTTAACCACTTACCTTTGGCTGAATGGGAAAGCAGCACCAGAGTATGAAAGCTATGAATGCTACCAATGTACCGACAAGTAATATGAAGTCCTCAATGGTCTACGACATGGACAAAATCAATGCACGATTTCAGTTTCGCGTATATATGTACATGCACACATACAGATGCTCGAGTGTCTGCTTGCTCAAACATGTAGGCCTTACTTACCGGCTCTTCGCCTAGCAGCACATGATTAATTAAATAAACAAAGTCATCGAACGGTGTCATTGCGAAGCTCCGCTGTTAATCAGTTTCCACTTTGTTTGGCTTTTGTTTGGGTGCGACGTTCGGCCGACATTAACAGCGCCTGCTGCTGCGGATAAATCTGTTGGTACTTACAAATGGCGCAAGGCGACAGAAAACTACATACTTTCAGAGAATATACTAATAAAGATCATAATCACCATAATTAAATATTATGTTTTCTAATTTAGAAATCGTAGTTATTCTACTCTGCTACGCTACCCAACGCATTGAGATGAGATGAACATGGCGCGATGTTGTACTTTTGTACTGTATCGATTAGTATCGACTAAAAGTATCGTGCAGCTTTAAATTGACATAGTAAAGTGAGCTGTCCTAGTGATGTAACACAATCGCTCTAGCCGATGAGAAGACGGATATCGATGAGCCCGGATATCGCATATCGAACAGCTGATGGAGTACCGATATGCCATCCCTATCCAAATTTCAAAGCCAATTTAGTTTGTGTTTTTTGTTAATTATAATATTTGTGATTTTTTTTAATAACAGCGATGGGCAAAAAACGTAGCACACCCAGCGACCAAAAAGAAAACTCTGGGAGTAGCGACGAGGATCCAAAAATGCCTGAAAAGAATGCGCCTGACCTCGAAAAGAGGAATCGAAAAGAACCACGGTACATTTCGAGTTCATCTTCCAGCAGCGAGAGTAGTAGCAACAACGACGTATCAAACACCGCAGCGTGCAAAAAGCAAAAACGCACTAAAAAAACTAATCGCAGCACAGAAGGCGCTGAAGAAATACAAGAAAAACGGATCAGAAATATAGAGAAGCAGTCTGAGCCAAACAGCCAGAGGGTGCAAGAGCAACGCTCGAAGTGGGACAGTCCCGACCGTGGCAACGGCGGACAGCGTCACAATTCCCATAGAAACACAAAACAACGCAGACACAGTCGTAGCTGCTCGCGAGAGCGGGAAAGGGAACGCGAGATAGGAAGAGAACGCCACAGAGACAGCGACCGTGACAATCACATGCGCCGCGATCGCATCCGACGGGATCAAAGGGAGCGTTCGCCTGTGCAACGACAACGCGCACGCAGCAATGAACGGAGGGAGCGACCGCGGCGTTCCCCCGAAAGGCGTCCAGAGCGGCAAGTACATACGTGACATCCTCCCAGACCCTTGACCAATTCTGCATTTCTTTCCAGGCGCAGTCGTAGTCGCAGTCCCCGCGATCGATCAAACAGAGACGGACGGGACTTTGTGCGTCGTAAAGAGCAGCGCCGCGAAAATCGTAGCCGAGGAGACGACGAACACTTTGAGTGGGGCAGGAAGGGCGAAGACAAGGCGCCGCCGGATGAGGAGCCTGTCGAAAAGGAGAAACCCAACTTCGGTCTAAGCGGAGCTCTCACCGAGGACACCAACAAGGTTAATGGAGTTGTTGTCAAATACTCTGAGCCAGTCGAGGCTCGCAAGCCGAAACGTCGCTGGCGCCTGTACCCGTTCAAGGGCGAAACAGCACTGCCTACCCTGCACATACATCGCCAAAGCTGTTTCCTGGTGGGCCGCGACCGCAAGGTGGTCGACCTGGCGGTAGATCATCCTAGCTGCTCCAAGCAGCATGCCGCCCTGCAGTACAGGCTGGTGCCCTTTGAGCGCGAGGACGGTAGCCAGGGAAAGCGTGTGCGTCTCTACCTCATCGACCTGGAATCGGCCAACGGAACGTTCCTAAACAACAAGAAAATCGATGGTCGCAAGTACTACGAACTGATGGAGAAGGATGTCATCAAGTTTGGCTTTAGCTCCCGCGAGTACGTTTTGCTTCACGAAAACAGCAAAGAGGACCAGGAGGATGATGACGTGCATATCAAGGAAGAACGTTTGGATGTACCTTCTGAGGAAGTTAATCCCTAGAGCAGCCCCTCAGCAATTGTCTCGGCTCATAACTTTTCGTTAGGGGCGAGCATTTGACCCTTTCATCATGTACAATTTTTATTTTTCGCACCTTGGCTGATATCAGTATACATTTATTGAAATAACACGGTTCTGCGTGCCCACTGCCAACAAAATCGTAAATAAATTTCAAAACGAAAGTTCTCTGAATTTTACCTACCCAAAATGACCAAATGGAAATCATCCAACTTAAAGCGACACCAATAAGAGAAGAGGTCAATGCTAAAAGTGCCAGCACCAGCAAAAACTCCACTTCACGACTCGAAGCGTTGCCTCGCTCCAATGGAAGCTTTCAATGTGTGTTTGAACCCGAAGAGGGCAACAGCATGCGGTGCCAGCTCTCGATTTTGCTGATTGGCTTGGCGGTAGCCGCTGCCTTCCGGCTGCGTCGTCAGGTAATTGCACCCACCTGGCTAAGGGATCCAGTGCGACAGACGGCCTTGCAAGTTTCCAAGGTGGTAGTGACGCCGCAAAACCTGCGGGAAACGGCTGCCATACGCACAACAATACAAAAGGCCGTGCAAGAGGATACTTATGTGGTAGCTGCCCGTCCACCGCTGGTAAGTAGATTTCAGCTGCTGCAGTCTCACAGCTTCAGAAAAGCTATGTAGAAACACGATTGATTAGCCTTATGTACATCTTATGCATATTCGAATAAGAGATACCGATCGCCAATATTCAAACTATGTATTAAGTTTTATTTTATTAATAACGAACTGCCATTGGAGCATTAACAATCTCTCTTCCCTCACCAGGAGCTTCGGACGTCACTTGGCAGCGGCAGCATCTGGCCAATGCCAGTGTCGTTTTCACCAACACCATTCTTCCAACCATGGAATCTAACGCTGCCAAATTTGGGCGCATTCAACCTTTGGCCCGAAATGGGCTAAGCCTCTTTGACAGAGTCGGAACTCGAATTTATTACTCGAGTGATAATAACAATATCAAAAGATTATGTCTATCTAATATGTACATGTGTATATACCAAGTATACCTAGTATTTCCGACACGCAGGCAAGCCCCTCATCGATCGAATATATGCGGAAGCCTGAGCAACTTCGAGCTGCGCCTCTTGAGAAACTGAAAGGATAGATGATTAGTGATTAAGATTGTTTAAAAATTTAATCAAACTGCAAGCACTAACTGGGATGGTTTTTGAATGGTTTTATTGTTGTTTTCAATCAAATCAAACGAGGGAATAGCAGCATCAGATTTTTTAGAGTGTCGGATGAAATTACTACAGTTTAAACAGTTTTTGAAAATATGTATGTTACCTTTTCTCTGTCCTGAGACAATTTCAAATCTCTAAAACCGTTTTTGGCTGTACAAAACATTTTATTAAATAATTACTATCCATTTAGGTTTAGCTCTATAAGCAAGCTCACTAGATCCATAAACAAAAAAATTACACTAAAATATATGTATGTATGTATATAGTATAGTGTGTTGTATGGGACCGCAAATCAAATTTAATTGCATATGTATAAAATTCTTTTTGGGGAGAAACAATTATGGCGTGTTTAATTTTGTGTTCTATAACTAGACCATGTATGTACGTACTTCATATACATATACACTATAGAGTATCTACACGTACATATATGCATGTATGTATATTATTCCTATACGCAATATATCATTTCAAAACATTTCTTCGACATGTGTTTTATAAATTTTGTTCCCTTTGTAATAAAAAACGAATTCTAACTAGAGCTCAATGCCTCGATACATGAATACACGATAAAACAGAAATGGTGAAAATGCCATGGTCGTTTTGAATGGAATGTCCATTTAGAGACCATTTATTTCGAATATCTGAATACTTGTGCACTCTCTTCCAAGCAGAAGATTTTTAGTTTATATATCAACTGCAATGACGAGTGAAGAGCCAACACTAGACCATTTCCCCAAGGAATGCACAAAAGACGCACATAAATATACTGCCATACATATCCATCTCCTATCCATACTGCCATCATAACTTTTTGTACTCCCTATTGGCAAATGGATAAAGGATGGTCTGTATTGAATTATGAATAGCCTGAATGGTAGGCTTTGGCATCTGCATCTCAGATGCGATCTGAATATTTAGAGACACAAGCAGACAGACGGATAAATGAACATACATGTATGTATGTAGCTAGATCATCTGAATTACGACTGGCACTGGCGGGCACAAAAAACAATGCGAGCTTTATACAAAACAGTTTTGTTTTGGTTTTGGTTTTTTTTTTAGACATACATTTATATAGTATATGTGCATGCATATGTATGTATGTTTGTTTGTTTGTATGTAAGTAGTTGCTGTAGTATTTCAAGTTCAGCTTGAATTCACATTAAGTTTAGTTTAAGGGGTCGTAGAGCTGTCGCAACAGTTTATACATACCAGTATATGTACATATGTATGTATGTAAGGCGTCTTCTCAGAGAGTGAATTAGGTGATGCAGCACTCGGGTGCTTGCCTCGGACTACGGAATGTAATGTCTTTTTGCGGATTTTTCCGTCCGAGTCCGTCTCCCACTAGGTCAGTTACAGGGTCAGAGGTGCACATGCACAACATACGGAACTAGCACAACAGATGGCTAGTCTTCTGGTTGCTTTGATCTTGGGAATGACGCAGTGTATTAACGGAATAACGGTATAACGATGACAATGAAAACTGTACGAATATCAGTTAACAATACACAAATGTTACATGTGATAACAAATAAGTACGAGAAGTTCCATTTCTAATTAAAGTTCGACTCAATCAGCAAGGAACGACATTTAGCTTGGCTGGGGTGGGGCCTGTCTTCAACGATTCCGATTGCCGTCCTTGTTTGGTCTATTATTTCTGCGGCTGCTGCGGCTGCTGCGGCAGATGTTTCTGTCCATGGCCCATTAGATGTGTGCGAAATGTGCGTGCATACATGGGTACAAGTATGTATGTACACATGGATGTCTGTCTTATCTAACCTCGTCGATGTCCTCGCCCTCTGAAGAGCTGCGAATCGTATTGTACTGGGAGTTGCGGCTGCGCAACATGCGCAGGAAGCTTCCCACGGCGAAGATGGTGCGGCGATGTCGGTGGAAAATACCCTGATATAAAGCGTCTCGTAGCGTTTTCCGATCCTCCACGTCCACCGATGACGTCAATGATGTTTGATGTTGAACGCGTGCTGCGAATACACAAAATGAATCCGACTAATAAGTGATAAGAAAAATTCGTTGATTACGGTGGCATTGAATATACAATTGAATAGGTTGAAAAATGGGTCCCGAGAAGCAATTGGTCGAATTTGAGAAGGGGCAAATAAAGTCGCTACATAGCTATACATATGTATGCTAAATCGGCCAAAAATGCAGACAAATTAGACGATTCCAAAGGAAGTTGGTAATTTTATTTTTAAGTGGAGCAAAATATATCTCTTCAAATACTTGGCTCTTCGAAAAAGGCATATTAGAGTTTGCAAACTAGCATTTACACCGCATTCTTGCCTGATTTTTCTGCACAATGTAAGGAGTTATAATGATACGTCGCCTGGCTACTGCTGTTGTCACGATGTAAAACCCTCCTTTTATGTTTTCATAAATACATACATGCATGTCCTAGAGACCGCAAACTTTCATGTTTCATTCAAAATTAATCAATCTATAAAATAATAATTATTCTATCAAAATCAGTAAGTTTGTTGAAAAGATAGAGCGGTTTTACTTCGTAAAATTGTTGAATCTATTTAGTTGAGCGACACCGTATGACTATTAATCGGCCGACAAGGTAGATAATGCTCTTGCCTAAACAAAAATCGAATATAGTTAAATGAATAAAAGAAAACAAAAGGAGGATCTTGACCCAGTTTTATTCGACTCGCAAGATGAATTGTCTAAAACAGTGTGGAGGACATTGCATAGCTGATTCGGATCAATCAATCCTGCTGAAGTTCTGTAACTCATCTAACATCAGGTGTTTGGCCCAAACTAATTTAGTTTCACAGCCGTCATAGGTACTTTTACATTGCGCTCAATGTTGAAGCAGCGAGCATGTTGGACTCGTGCCTAGTATGTACATATTTCTGTATATATTCTGTATGTATACTAACCAGCTATGGGCGACTTGGGCGACTTAAGTGAGTACTCGTCCAGGCTCTTGCCACCCAGATCTAACTGTAACACCTTCTTGGTCAGCTGCTGGGCGGCGGGCTCCATGTTAGCTGTCTTCTCGATCTTGATGTCCACATTGCGCTGGCTAACGGCGCTTTTTGTGGGAGCTGTCTGCAATTCGGGAGCGGCCGGCACTACCGCTTTGCTAGAATCGCCGATAGAATTGCTGCTATTCCCCTTGCCAGCATCGGTCATATTGTCGCTCGTTTTAGAGGTGACAGGTGTGTTGTTGTTGGCCTCTGCCTCCTGGGGAGTCGTTGGGGCGCTCTTATCAGTACTATTGTTATTGGAGGCCGATGCTTGTGTACAGCTAGAGCTGCGTGCCGTTAATTCCGCAGATTCAACGCTGCTGCCGCTGCTGCTCTTTTCAAAGACGTCGACGGCAGCAACAGCAACAACCATTGTTCGAGCGCGAGCTTCGGCCAAGACGCAGTTACGCTTCCCAAATCCGTTTGCCGCTTGTTGTTTGTTTGTCGTTTGCATATAAACTATTTCCGCTGACGTACGCGCGATTCGGTTTGGCTTTGTGTGTTGTACTCTCGTCTCCCTCTCGCTCACGCTCTCGCTGCGTTTGTTTTTGATGAGTTTGTGGGGATTGGATTGTTTGCCCAGCACACCTTTGTTTTTGTATTGTTAGTTGAGTATTGTATCTTTTTAGTTTGTTTCTATTTAATTGCAATTGCTGCGAGTTTTTGCTGCTAGTTCAACGTTGCTTTGGCTATGTTGGTGGTCTGGTCAGGGGTCTGGCTTCGATGGGTATCTGCAATTGATTGACGGCGGCAATATCAAAACTCGCGCTGTAAAGCGCCACCTTGTGGGTGCAGTCGGTAAGCGTAATTTGCGGTAGTTTGAGCTGCGGATTATCGATACTGATACTATCGCTCAAGCTGAGATGGCTTAAGTTATCGATGATCTCGTATATTTTCAGCTGATCCAACGTGCTTTTCTGATTGTTGCTCTTTGAATGATGCTGCTGACTGCGATGCTGGGCATACAAATCACACATAATCCTAGACGCCGGCCCCACTGCCCTTTTTATTTCCGAGCTGCATTCACCTACTACTGCTTCCCCAGCACATGACTTATCTGCTGCTAGTTTCAAGGGTCTTATATGCACGCTGATGGGTTCTGGCGGACAGCTTTTCCCTCGCTTCCTCGAACTACTTGCCGCCTTGCGCCGTAATCCCTTCAGTAGCGTAAAAAATCTGGCGTTCAACTTCTGATCCGCTGCTTGCCGCTCCCTAGAACTGTCGACTGTGCCCAATACAACGCGAGGCGACGACAAAGATGACTGCGATTGCAACTGCAGCGTGTGCCTTATTGCATTACGCTGGCCAATCGATTCCAAGTACTTGATGTTGGCGTGCAACCCTCGCTCGTAGTATCCGCTGGCCAGTTGCAAATATGTGTAGAAGTCCAATCTCCCTCTGTGGGGCTGTCGTTGTAGGCTTTCCACCTGGTTATTAGAAATATTTAGATTATAAATGACACGGCTGCCGCTGTCGCTGCTTCTGCTTCTTCCATTGCCATTGCCGTTGCCGTTGCTGTCTCCGTCGTCTTCTCCACTGACATCATTGCGGGTCCTCGTGTTGTGCCGACGTCGCTGCCCACTACTGCTGATCCATAGGGCGTGCTGTCAGGCCAACTGGCATTGAACAAGCTTCTTTAGCTGGTCGAAGCTTTGGGCCCTCTTTATTCGGCGCACTGCGTCGTTGTAGGTCTCATCGGGCGGGTCATCTGAGCAAATTGTTGCCCGTCCACGGGCTGCATACGTATCGTCGAATCTGTAATTAGTGGAAGCACCACAACAAAAATAGATAAACAAATGTAGATATGTAGAAAGGGAAACCAAACAAAGCATTAATTACAATGGCAAAAGCGAACACGTACTACAAACAGGCCAGCAAACAAGCACGGCCCGAACCACGGCCCGAACCACGAACCCATGCTCGCTCGGTGCTGACCGTCGGGTAATATAATTAAAGACGAATGTGCGGGGTGCCCTGACCCAAGCTGTGTGTGTGTGTGTGTGTGTGTGTGTGTGTGTGTTGCTCTCTGTGCCTACGTATCTCTCTTTCTTTCCCGAACTCTCCCCCCAAATATTAGTCAGGCAGGCATATTACTCAGATATTGCGATCAGTTTCCACACAATCCCCAAATATGAAGCCAACGAGAGAGATGCACATTGTCTATCAAACGCCACCCATATTAGGCTTGCTCTAGGATCTTCCTTACTTTCTCTCCTCTCATACGAGTAGTGTCATTTACGGTGATCTTTGGTTAATTTGTCTTTCAGGAATCGCAATAGCCGTCTTGGCAGTTTTCCGTCCAGAATGTGTCCCAGTTAGTCCCAATTAAGGCTCGTAAAATTTACTGTTCGTTTGCTGTATCAAAACGCTGCCAGCCAAATCTCGGACGTCATCCGCTGGAATTCCTGCCAAGGCCGTGTAACTCGAGCTGCATAGATGCGGCGGAAATCCCACATGAGGCACAAAAGCTATGAACTAGATACCCCTGTCAAGCTCCTCTGTCAACCCAACCTATTTTTAAGCCTGAAACTGTCAAGCAGATACCCATCCATACCACCCTGCCGCCATATACATAAACATGCTCCATGCACACAAAACACCCACAGAACTTGGATGCAATCAAATTACGGTGGGATGGTGGGATGTATTTAGATGAAGATGTAGATGTAGGTGTACCTGGGGAAGTACTGCACAGAGGTGGGCCAAACATCGCGCAGCTGCGCATATGTTGGCGCTGCTAATGAGATGGACATTCTAGATGCCTCCGCTGCTAGTCCTAATCCTGCGACCCTAATGAATAACTGTCGATGACGCCTCTTTTGGTGGCGGTGGGCAAGCGGATGCTTCTGACGGAGATGGAGGTGCTGCTGTATCTGGTAGTCGCGGTAGTGATTGCCGATCTCATGACGGTAGTGCTCCGTGCGAAAGCACTTGGTATCGAAGACGCGTCGCATGGTCAGCCGGGGCGAGTACTTGTTGCCCGTGCAAAGCGGAACACCCACGACCACCAGGGCACAAGATGTCCCTTGAGCTGTCGCCATGGAAATGGCTGAGAGGCTGCGAGAGGCCGTGAGATTGACAGCCAAGCAGACAGGGCACAACGACAGGGAAAACGAGACAAAGGAAAAAGTTAGCCCGCGCCGCAAGTTGAACTGGTCCGCTGGAGGCAACAAAGCGAACTACGGAAATTGACATTGATGAGTCTGCCATTGTTATTAGGAGCGGCTGAGCAGGAAACGAAGGAGGGGATGACGGGGTTTGCTTTGGCTTGGTTTGGGTGCTTTAAATTATGTACCTACATTTATTGAACAGCAACAATTCTGTTAGCAACAACGTTTGTGGTTATTTGTTATCACGTCAGGCCGCGATTTGTTGTCGTTTGTTTGACATCAAAATGAAATGGAATAAAATGATGAGCGCGAACCCGAACCCGAACCGAATCCCGACTCCAACCTAGCTCCACCCACTTCAAACCAAACCCAACCCGACCCTACCTCACCCGAATCCCCCGAATACCGAATCAGAATCATTTAAGTTAAGTGGGTGTGGGTGGTTCCCAATAAAAAAAATTAGTACGAGCAGTGTTCATGTCGTTAACTATTGTAACTGGTACATTTTAGGAGGAGAGGCTGCCTTGCCACTGCTACTGCCACTGTCACTGGCTGCCACTACCGGATTCCATTCGAACCATTTGCATATTTCGACTCACGATAAGTAACAATAAAATACGTCAAGAACAATGTCAAGAAACGATAGAAAAATAATAATGGGACAAGCAGGAACTATGTCCACAACCGCCACCTTTCCCCTACGTATGTATGTATGTATGCATATTCGTCCGCTGCACAATGGGCCAGAATCATTTTTTATGTTTGGCATAAAGTCGAATACATATTATAGCTAGAGAGATGAAATTTTGTGGAATTGATCAAATAAGCTCTTTAAATTGGTATTAAATAATGCTATCGTTTTTTTTTACTTCCAAATCCAAATCTTAAATGTCGCAATTGTACGAAGACATTTAGGTAGATTTTCTATAAGTTTGTACTTCGCCTCTAGAAAACTATTTTTTTTTGTTTGGTGATTTTGGCTTTTAAGTCAATTGATATATTATTTAAATGTAATTCACCAATAATCCAGTCAAATAACGCTTTTTCATTTCGGTTTCCATTGATCCACACATCCATTAGGACAGAATGGCACACCTTAAACTTGGCTTACAAATTCAAAAAACGAGGGCGGATCAATAAGACCGAGACCTTTTGAATTTTGATTCTATGCAAAAGAAGGCCCACGTGGATTTTTCAGAAAATAAAGTCATGGCGAACGTTTGATTATAATCAACCAATAATTATTGATTACCTTCAGAAAGGGTAAAACAGGCAATATCGAATATTATGTCAACTTATTGGATCGATTAATAAAGATTTAAGAAATAAACGACAGTATTTGGCCAAGAAAAAATATATCCCACAAGAACAATGCAAGGGCGCAGACATGTGCAGTTTCCATTGCGAAAAGCCATGAACTAGTCTACGTATTGCTCCCTAACCCACTCAATTCTCTGAACTTAGTCCCCACTGACTATTTCTGGTTTCCAAACCTGAAAAATGGTTCGGCGGAAAGAGATTTAAGTCCAATGATGAAGCTTATTTTGAGAACCTCGAAACATCATTTTTTTTAGGGGATACAAAAATTGGAGAAATGTTGGAAAAAGTATATAGAGCTAAAATAAGACTATGTTAATTATGTTAATAAATAAAACGATACGGAACGTTTGAGTCACTTCTGTGGACGCAACTCTACTTTAATACCCGTACTCAGTCAGAATATAAATTTGTGAGCTTATGATTTATGTAAAACTTTAAAATATTTAACATTTTACATTTTTATACCCGTACTCAAATAAGAGTTAAGGGGTATATTAGATTTGTGGTAAAAGTGAATGTGTGTAACGCAGAGGAGGAAACGTTTCCGACCCCATAAAGTATATATATTCTTGATCAGCATCAATAGCCGAGTCTATGTCTGTCTGTATGTCTGTCTGCCTGTCCGTCTTAATGAGCGCCTAGATCTCAGAGACTATAAGAGCTAGGGCAACCAAATTGTGTTTCCAGACTCATGTGAAATCACACTGTTACAAGTGCAGTTCAAAATTTCGCCCCACCCTCCCCCACAAAGGACGAAAATCTATGGCAGTCACAACTTTGAAGATATGATAAAACTAAAAACGCAGTATCGTAGAAAATTACCATATCTATCAGATTGCAAAATCTGATCGGATCATTATTATAGCCAGAATGAAGAAATTTTCATTTTCAGCTTCTTACCCCCACCCCTCTCAGCACTGCATACGCTACTTATTCAGTTTCTCGCTCGCACACACTCTGCCCTGTGCAATGCGCGATCTTTGCGGAACAGATGTTGAAGCTACATTGTAGATGTGTAATCTACATTTTAGAAGTATACATGTTAGATGTAGATAGCAGATGTAGCACAAAAAAATGTTAAATGTAAAATATTTTAAAATTCTACATAAATCATAAGCTCACAAATTTATATTCTGACTGAGTACGGGTATAAAAGTAGAGTTGCGTCCACAAAAGCGACTCACACGTTCCTTCTAGTTTTTTTTGTTTGTTAATTTGGTCAACTTTGTGTGCTTATACAGTGAACAATGCCAGCAAGACGCAGGGGGCACAGTTGCACTGTCAAACAAATAATGCAACATTCATGCGATATAGTAGAGAAGAAAGAAAAGTTGAACGAATCGAAGAAGATAACGAAAATGTGCGTGAGGGCATATCGCACTTGCGTGAATCTCAATGACCAGAGGTACGAACTGAATAAAGAAAATTGGAACGGAGACGTGGGCGCCGCTACATAATTGACAATAATAGAGAAAATGACCGACAACGTGAACAGGTACATGGAGCATTTAAATTCGCTTCGTTCCTCTCGAATTCGCATACGAGCCAGATATTGAAAATTCCGCACATCAGAAAGTGGTGATTGGTGCTATGGACAAGAAATGTCCCATTTTCACGCACTCAAATATAAATATGAGTCAAATGGTACGCATCAGGAATAGTGCAACTACCTGAAATTGCTTGCTCATCGGCACGGATCTAGATTCAAACATCTTCCGGAAGTCCAAAAATTCGAAAATGCAATTCATGCTTCCAAATAACATCGCCATGACATCACAGCACGTGTATTCAAACAAAAATTGAAGTCTTTAATGAGATTTATTACAAAATTACACGTTTTCGGTCAAGCAAAATGCTGGATGTATTCAGTTGAATGGAAAAAGCGAGTATTACCTCATGCATACATTTTAAATTTGGGAGTATCATATACGAGATTTTGTTTTTTATGGATATAAATAAAATAATCAAATTTAAAACAATAATAAATTTTTAATAAAGAAAAATTAATAACTTTAGCTGACTTGGGGGTTGGCGAACGAGCGAAGCGAGTGAGCAGGGGGCTGGCCCTCTAGTTCTTGATAAAAATGCTCCTGTAGGAAGGTTTCTTCTAGTTTTAAATTGGTACACATATGTATGTTTGTTTAATATGCAATTGGTCAAAAGATATGAGGCAAAAAAAAAACTATTTCCACAACCGGCACTTCTCCCCCATACATTTGCATGTTTAATTGTTGGCACAACAAGTCCATTATACACAAATAAAACATAACAAAGACAATCCACAACTACAACATTGAGTGCATAATCCGAAATCGTTAATGACAATTATATTTGGCATATGTACCTTGACCTTTATTTGCCATTTTTTCCACAAAGATTTGTAAACCTGTTGCTTCTACAACAGAAACGCAAAATTGAGTAAAAGCTTCTGGCAAATTTTAACAGACAAACAGATGACCAAACATCTGACTTTGTTAGCACTGCAAATATGCAGCGTAGTCACTAAAATGTTTTTATTTACTGATTCAATGTACCCAATGCATGCCCTTTCAAAATATTAAGTTAAAATCAAAATAGATTTAACAAAAATGTACGACTTTATGCCAAAAAAAAGTCTGGCCTATTGTGCGCTGGGAACATTATTATTGTTTTCTATTAAAGGCGTATTCAGAAAAAAAAAAAATTAAATAAAGGTGGTGTTCCAGCTCCACCCGGTCAGATTTGTCAAATGACGTTCTTTTGCTGTGCAAACATTCGTGGAAGAGGAGTGGTGGAGTGATTCTTTGCGAGTCTTTTTCTTATACAATACCAACAGGTGTCTTTGGTACGTCTAACAATTAAAGGTTGCCTCATTGACGAACATTTCTAAAATATTTCAAACTTATTCAAAGTAAGACAAATTATTGGTTACCTGACCCACAATTTTGGGACTGTGATATTATTGTGATCCTTCCCCTTAAAATAAAGTTTTTTTAATTTACGCAGTTCCAAAATATTTTGACGTTTGGACGGCTAAACTGACTACATATGCATATTTATCAAACCGTGCGTCCGTTTTCACAAAGGACTTTTTATACCCGGTACTCGAAAAGTTAATGGATGTATCAGTTTTGTGGTGCATGTGGACGGTGTAACAGCAAGAACTAAGCGTTTCTGACCGTATAAAGTACATACATTCGCTCTCTGATATTTTTGAAAGGAGAGTGTAAAAGTAACTCGTTTCTGCACCACCACCCTTTTTCCTTACTATTTTTGTTATTTGTAATGATATAAGAATACATTTCTTTATTCTCAAAAGAAGGCTCATAAATATTAAAATGACCATCTGAAAAATGGGAGATGTTGGAAATCATTGTTAAAAACCTCGACGGAACGGGAATAAATCTCACAAATGGCAATTAATTCGCAAGTGCTTTTCCGTATGTCGAAGATATTATCATATGCGATGCACACTTATCAGAGCTTTCATAATTATTGCCTTTTTTATTATGGGTCAATGGATGAAATCTCTGCCAATTTCCCGCAATACATATATTCTTCTACATGTGTTCGGATTTCTTGGGCCCTTCTTGGGTCTCGTATAATAAATAAGAAATGGCTCTAAATAATCAAGAACCATCTCCAAC